TTGTTTCTTTGTTTGCTGTTGAATCGCCAACAAGTGATATTGTGCCATGGACAGAAAAATGACGGAAAAAAAGATTAAACTAGATTGATTTATTTTTCAACGTGGGGCCTCTCTTGTGGTTTTTAGTATGGGTGCTCCAATTTGTTTTTTCCTTCTTTCATTTCTTTTGGCTGTAAAGCAATTCCACAACCCCATCTCTCTTTCTTGATTCGAAGAGCCGCTTGTGTGTATGGAGTGGACATCGTAGGAGCTCGCCACCTCGCATCCCATAAAGCTCATAAAATTTTGCTCGAATTTGATGCACCTAAAGGTTAAATTGTACACGAAAGGTACCGTGTGGGAGATCTCCTTATTATAATGTTTTTTTAGCTTTATGAAATCAAAGAACTCAGATAGATAGATATGTTTTAAGTCCCGTTTAGGCCTGGGACCATACTAAAATTTGCTAATGTTTTCTGATAAAAAGCAAAAAGATTCATCCAAAACCAAATCCACAGAGAAGTTCCCTTTTCCATTTTTTTTAATTTTCTTTCCCTCCGAGAGCGACTTTGTTATGGATGACGCACCACCAAAGCACGCGAAGGTCTCGTATATATTTTTCTCTATGTATATATATTCTTCTATATTTTTCATGTCATAACATTAGAGCTCGTCTCAGCTCATTCATCAGTGTGTTGTCCTTGTCTCGTCGATTTATACTGTGTGATCTTCATCGAATAGACGAGGGACGCGGCAACAACTCGGATAATAAAAAGCGATATTAACAAAGTACCTCTCTTTTCTTTTCTCGTGAGAAACATCCATAATCACGCAATCTTTCAAGAGCATCCCTTCTCTCTTTTATAAATCTCCACAATCATCTCAATTTCCGGAATCTTTCTCTCAGTGGTCTGCAAGTAGATTGATTAAGCTGGTTAGTGGAACAACACAAGAATCATATGCTTACCAGTGCCAAGTGAAAGGAAAATAAAAACTGTAGCGGATTTACTTGAGTAGCATGCCGATTTGATCCTTTAGACTGCTCTTCTTCTTTGGTTTTGGCTGGATGGACCTTGTTTCCTCGATTGACTGTGGTGCCTCGACTGCCACTCTCGCCGGTGCTTCCATCACATCCCTTGGAACTATTGCTGGCCTTGGAACTACTTCTGGCTCGGGCCTTTGCAAGTTAGCTTCCATCGCTTGAGGGGGAGCCGGAGCCTTCTTTGGGACGTAGCCTCCAAAGAGCATCCCGAGCATCTCATCCTCGAGAGTGTCAGTTGACACGAGCCTCGCAGCACCTGAAACAGTTTGCTCCTCTTGAGCTCGATCGCTTCCCGCGAACCCGGCCTCATCCCTTCCAACAGTGCTGACTCTTTCATGCTCGTAGCTTTCCCTGGTCGGTGCTTTACTACTCGAGCTTCCCGACTCATTCTCTGCTGCAGTAGCAGCTGACTTGCTTTTCCACCCGCTCAAAGCAAACATGGAATCGTTCAGCTTCGCTTTTTTCTTTGCTGGCTGGGTGGAAGTTCCGTTCACGTTGCCGGCGGCTAATGGCTTGGGGCTGTACTGTTTGTCTTCCACATTGGTCGTGAGGATAGCCTCAGGGCTGTCCTCGTGGTCAAGATTCTTTTAAAAAGGAAAGAGGCCACAGTTATCCGAGAGAAAACGAGAAAAAAAAGAGAGAGTACAATACCTGGTGAGCTATGCACATAAGTTCGTCCAGTGTCGCGTCTGTAGCCTCCTCGTCCTCCACGACTTTCTTTAGTTTCCGCTTGCTTTTCTTGGTGGCCTGGTCCTTTCCCACCTCGGGGGCCGGAGCTCGCTTGCAAAAAGCCTCGAAAGCTCCCTTCATGTCCACCCCACCGCTGGTATTTTCTGGCAAAGCCTCGTCACTCTCGGCTTTTCTCGATCTCCGCTGCGCTGCTTTAACAGCATCTGCACCTGGAGCTTCGTCAGCTGCTTTGTTCGCGGGTTTGTCTTTGCCTTGGTCGCTATCATCTCCCCTGTTCCTGGTTTGACGAGCGGTTGCTTTCTTAGCAGGTTTCACTGGCTCCTCGTCATCTATAACTTCTTCCTCCGCGTCGTCAACTTTTTGCTTGCCTTTGGAACTCTTGGCTTTCCTGGCAGCGGGAGCTTTTCTCCCGGCGGAAGTCTGGGGCTCGTCGCCATCCTCCTCTTCCACCTTTTGCTTCTTTGATGCTCGCGCCTTCTTCGGCTTTTCGACGGCGGCAGCAGTCATCCATGCCGGCAGAGCTCGCCGTGCCCCCGGATCCGGAGTTACCTTCACTGGATTTCTCACCCATTCGATCGTTGGTAGTGTCTCTAGATCCTCCTCTTCCTCTCCTTTGATCTCGCTAGACGAAGCACCGTTTTTCAAGCAATGGAGCTGCACGGAAAAGAGTCTAGAACACTTTCAACCAAGAGGAAGAAACTAACGTGATTCGCGCGGTGAAGTAGCAAAGCTATGACGTGCTTACACATTCCCCTTCCAGCGGGACAGGAGCAGCGATACGTTGGTTGCTTGGATGCATCTGATGGATCGATGCTAATGCTCACATAGTAGCTATCCCCTGGACCGGAGCCTAGAAGCGACAGGAAAAGCGATCGATCACATCACCAGCGAAAAAAAAAAAACCTCACCTTCACAGACAGCCGACGCCTTCTCGCAATCCTCCCCTACAAATTCCACCTCGTGGAGCTTCTTGGCCTTGATCAGCTCTTTCCCGCGCTTGAAAGCCGCATCGTTCACGAGCGCCTTGACGGAGGCCTCGTCTTCCATCGCCCCAGAGCTTCTTCCCTTCTGCCCTAATGTAATCGTCAAGGGTTTATAAGAACAACATCCAACGGTCACGGTCGGAGGGGAATATTCCGCTAGATCTTGCTTAAATATTTAGGTAGCGAGGAAGGGCTTTTTTGTGGATCCAAGAGGGCGGCGAGACAATGCAGGAGATCAAGAATGTGTCGCTGCTCGTCGTGATCTCCACCACCGTGCTCTTCCTCGTCGCGTTTGGCCTGGCGGTCGGAGCCGAATCGAAGCGCAGCACGGTATGTAGTGTGAAATTCTAGCCTTTCCGCTCCAAATCCTTGCCTAGAATGGGGAATTCTAGCCTCCCCGATGCCGCATTCTTCGCTGGCATCGCGAAATATCGCCAGAGATCCAGGAAATCGCTGATGATTCTTGGCTGTCGATCGATTTCCAGGCGGCCGTGGGGCACGATGACACTGGGACGCTCACCTATTGCGCCTACGGCAAGGATATCTCCACCGGGCTGGGAGCCGGCGCCTTCTTGTTCGTGCTGCTCGCTCAGGGGATTATAATGGGCGCTACCAAGTGTCTGTGCTGTGGAGCGCCTCTCAGCGACGGCAAACCAAGAACTCTAGCGATCTTCTTTTTCATATTCTCATGGTAAGCCATCTTTGTCTACTTTGTCCTTGCTTGGTTTTCTTACGAGCTCTCTTTTTTTCCCAGGATTTGCTTCTGCATTGCACAGATCTGCCTTGCCGGAGCCTCCGCTCGCAACTCCATCCACACGAATGGATTCGCGACTCCAAACGAGCCTCTGGATTGCGTGGAGCTCCGGAGGGGGGTGTTTGGCGCCGCCGCCGCCTTCATCTTCTTCACCATGCTGCTCAGCGAGGCGTACTACGTTTTCATCGTCAAGGCCAGAGAGGGCTCGTGGCAAGCTTTCGATGTCCGGGACTCGTTCAACTTCCGAGACTCTTTCAAGTTCAGTCGCAACTTCAACCTCCGCGACTCCTTCAATTTCCGGGGTGGTGGATCCGTCGGCATGACTCCAACGGGAACTTCAGCCGGGCCTGGAACTGGAACTGCAAGCTAGCGTACCAATTCCTTCTTTTTCTCTTCTTCTTTTTACCCGGAGCCTGTTTTTTCCAGGAGCGGGGAGCTCCATATTCGATCTAGCTTGTCTATACGTACTATCGTCTATCGTGTTAGTTGCTCAATCTCCTTCATGGTGTTGGTGGGAGGTTGGTCGATTCTGTAAGTTTCTTCCAGCTTCCAGTTTTCTATGCTTTATTCATTGTGAAGGAAGAAGCTTCGCTTTCCTACTGTTTGACAAAGCTGTGCTGCCATTTCACGTTGTTTATTTCCCTTCGCAATTGTTTAACGACATTGTTTCGTGATCGTAGCCGACGACTTTTAGACCAGCGTTCCACCAGAGCTCGAGAGAAACAATGAATGCTCCTGGTGTCACTCCTGTTGGTCAGTAGAGCTTAGAAATCACTCTCTCTGTTTCGAATTTGTCACTGATTAGCGGATGTTTGGCTTCCAGATCGACGAGACTGGCTCGTGTTTTGCCACCATCTTACATCTCAGCTCCAACCGAGACTTCACACATAAATCAACCGGTTGGGCCCCGTGAGATTTCTCGAGATGATACGCTCGTATTTCTCTTCGGCAGAAAAGTGATGCTCACACTATCAGGGATCTCAGGCGATTTCTTTGCTCTGGTGGTTGCCAAAGATTAAATGGAAAAATAAAAGTGCTTTTTTTCCTAATACCTTTGTCAACATCTTTTACAAAGTTTCGTGAATGCTGCCAGCAGTGATAATTCGATCGCTTGCTTTTGTTGACTTTCTTTTGGCGCACGATCCCTTATAAAAACCACGATTTATCTCGCAAGACCGAGAGAGACGCGAAGCAAACAAACGAATGGGGATGGAGGCGAAGCGAATGATCCTGTTGGCGATCGTCTCGTTATTCATCCTCCTTCCTTCGGTGAATGGCCGAGCTAGGCACACTCTCGTGGTAAAAACCATTTTTGTTTTCTGTTTGATTGACAAAGAATTGTATTTCAGCATGACGAAGATAATCATCCAAGCTTCTTCGCCAGGATTTCATATCTCCTGGGCGATGGCCGAGAGCCCCCGAGCTCCAACCGTTTCTTCAGGCCGAAATACGGCCCAAATGTTCCTATCCGCGGCTCAAACCCGTAAGAAATTCCCAGCTCTTACAAATGAAGAAAGACAATGTCGTCAATGCTTGTAGTAGATCTTCCTTCCTAGGCTGCTGGTTTAGTAGCACTGTGTTCTTCGTTTTGCTCGCCACCATTCTTGGCATCAGCGTCTAGCGATGGTGCTATTGCCAATCCAGCAGGATAAGAATCAGGCGGGACGGGATCGAGCGTCGAGGTCACGAGCAGCAGCTTCTCAAACGCGAGCTCAAACTTGTCGATGGTCGAGTAGATCTGGCCGGGCTCCAGCAGCAGCTCGCAGATTCTCTGGAGCGTGAAGGGCGCCGCGTCCTCGAACGAGGCGAGCTGGGTCGCGAGCCTCTTGAGGACACTGTAGACGGCCTTCTCGCCGTCGGCGCCATTTGCCTCATTGCTGGTGGGGGGAGCGCTGCTCGCGGTGTCGAGGTAGAGCCTCTTGACGACTTGGTTCAATCGAAACTGGAGGAGCTGCCTTAGGTGATGCCAATCGTGCCAGTACTTACCGCTCGTGGCGCTCATCGACACGATCCGCCGGAGCTCCGGAGTGAAGTCCATGGAGGATCCATCGGTGCCGCTGCACAACGCGGCCAGTGAGGCATTATCGTCCTCCCACATTGCTCAATCTTTAGGGTTCTTGGCCATGTTAATATGCAGTTAAGCTCTGAGACAGTGATTAAATTTTTTAAAAAAGGTTCATTTGAAGTGCAAATTATGGATTATGAATTATTAATATTATTACTAATTTGTAAAGTGATTAAGATCTAAGATGATGCTAATTCACTAATACTGATTGCATCAGCGAAAGAAGCTCCTGTCCACCATCTATATTTATCTATGTTTTAAAGCATCAACTTGATAAATTTCATCCAAAAAACAAATTTGGCTCTATTAGAATAAATTTTTGCTCCAAGATTGCAATCCACGGTGTGATTCTTGAGGGTAACAGGCACCACTAAAATCAATAAATCCTGTTTATAGAAAAACTTAAAAAATAATTTAAAATATTTATTTAAAACACTCACTATAAGATTGTAGATCATTATGAACATTCAAGTCCAAAACAATTTGAGTAACAAATGCACATTGTCCTTCAATAATATTCAATTGAATACATCCCAACACTTAATCCAACAGTAACAATTTTTCTAGCACCCAAATTATATAACATCTATTTATTATACAAATCACAAAAATATATTATTATATTTACCTGAAGTTCATCAATAAAACTATCAATAATAGTTCATTCATAAAAATACAAGAATTTTAAAATACTTATAATACATTTGTGAAAGAATTCCAGACCCATCTAAACCAAAATTAACACCTTGGAAGAATACTATTTCCAATTTAAAAATAAGCTTGTGGAAGTAGTTAAAAAAATATAAAATAAAAATATTGAAGTAATAAAATTAAAATCACTTACCCATATAGTCAACAAGCAAATAACCATTACCAAATCTAATCACTTGACCACATGAATCACTAGCATCAACAAAAGAATCTCCAAATGCAAATAATTCTCGAACTGAGGAATTTGTTTGCTGGGAAAACACAAAGTGCTGAAAAGCTTAGAAATAAGAATGTAAAAGCCATTTCTTAGAATATATAAAATGAAATTGTGGTCTGCCTTTTATACTACAAAAACTTATAATTTTAGTGATCTAAACATAAAAGAATCAATGGTGATAAGTCAATGGTTGGTGGTGGTGACGCTGCCACCTCCCAGTCAATAACAAGTGCATGCATTTTCTTCGAAGACACTCCGAGAACTTGTCAACACGGATCCTGCCAGAATTTAAATAAATATGTAAATCAAGAGAGGAGGCAGCAAGAAGAGCAAGTACAATGAAATTGATCCTCAAGCTCGTTCTTGTTTGCATTTTGTCAGGTAAGTTGTTGATGATTTGTTTGGTAACTTTGTGGAAATTCATGATATTGGTTGGATCAGCTGCTACTGCAGTGGAAATGGTAAGTTTTTGATCTTGTATTTCTCTTCCTGTCTCAGGAATGCTTGCTCCTCTGAAGCAGGCTAGATTGGGAATTGAAACATCACAATGTCTGGAGTGCACGCCACCAGCTCATATTGAAACAGCACAATGCCCGGAGTGCAGGCCACCAGTTAGACCCCCTCCAGGACCTGGAATCAATCCATGAAACTTTCAAGAGAAAAAAACTTATCTTTGTAGAAAACTCTGAGCTTTTGTTTATGCGAACTCTCTAGCTAGAGACGAAACAAAGCGGCCAAAGTCGTAAATAGCAAAATGAAGGTACGACTGGTAGGAGGAGCGCGATACTCAACTGAGGAGAAGCTTGCAGAGGATGATGTCGAATTCGTCGTCGTGGTGTCGCTCGAGCTGGAGTTGGAGTGCGTCGGGGTGCTGTCGTTCTTGGCGGCCCCGGCAGCGTCGCGCAGTGCGTAGGCCTGGTTGAGCACCCGGTCGATGCTGATAACACCCAGCGTCCCCGGGCTCTGGACGTTTCCCTGGATGATAGCAGGCTTCGTGAGCGAGCTCCGATTTGAGTCGATGATCCTCATGTCTCCTCTCGTGTCCACCGTTATGAGAAAGCTCCGGCGGGGCAGCAGCGTCTCGACACGGGTCGTGGAGTTGGACTTGAAGCGCTGGAGGTCAAGATAGTCGCTGGTGGCGTGAAACTTGCAAAGGTCGGACATGAGGTCCATCATCGACGGGTCCACTCTGAGCTGGAAGATAAGGTCCCGCAGGAGCTTGCTGTTGTCCGGCACAAACAGGGTCGCGGACTCCATGTTGTCGATCACCTCCGCGACAGACGTCTCCGTGAGGAGCGTGTTGAAGTTGCTAAACTCGGGATAGTGGCTTAGAATGGTGGTGAGGTTGCGTGGTAAGGCCACAACTTTGCTGCTGCTCCACACGGCACAGACGTAGGCGATGACGACGAGAATGGCAGCCATGGTGCACCAGAGACCTGTTTCTTTTTGTTGTTTTGTCAGGTAACGACGAAATCGAGAAACTTACTTGAAGCATTCGCAAGCGGCACCGTCTCTGGATTCTCTGGGTCTGGAATTTATAAGTTTGTATTTGGCGGCAGATGGAAGGCCAAACATTGAGCTTCACCACGCCTCAACTTCTCGTGTGGCGACTCTATAGCTTACTTGCCGAGAATATTGGAGCCAGTCTCACCTATGCTTGACGCAGTTGCTAACTCCCACAAAAATACCACGCGTTCCTCCAACCAAGACAAGCTACCTGATAAAAACAGCATATCAGAACAAATGACATAAGCAAAGATGAATGAAAAACATACCCAGCTCTTATATAGTGACAGCACCGACTCTACTCTCCAGTTCGTCAGTATCTCCAACCTCTTCGTTCGGGCCGTCGTTCTCATCAATTTCTTCTGCTTCGTCTTCTTCATCACCCAGCTCGTTATCTTCCAAGGGAGCTAGCACTGAAGTTCCGACTCCGCTTGCAAGCACTGACCTGACAGAGGCCAATCCCTTCGCAGAGATATGGTTGGACTCCAGAATGAGTAGCTTAAAGCGCGGCTTGGTTGTCACGGCCTTGGCAGCAGCAATGGCACCATCACTTCCAACGTCATTTAGCGTGAAGTCCAGCTCCTCTAAGTCATCGTGGCCTTGTCTCAGAGCGTTCGAAACAAGAATCACACCTTTGTCTTTCAGTTCGTTCTCTGCTAGGCTCAGCTTCTTCAGTGCGGCCTTCTTCTCCAAGAAGCGCACGAGATGCGGTGCACAGCTCGTACTTATGTCGTTGTTTCCCAGGTCCAAAACGCTTAGCTTTGGAGCCGTGGTCTCTAGAGCCTCCAGCACTGCTTGCACCCCGGCATTTTGCAATCCCAAATCACTTAAGTAGAGCTCCTCGAGTAAAGGCTGCGTCCTAAAAGCTTTTCCGAGAGCAAAACCTCCCTCCTCCCCAAAGATGTTGTCTCTCAAGTCGAGTTTCTTCAAGCTCGAACAAGCCTGGAGAGCCTCCGCCAATGCTACTGCTCCCTTGGTACCCACTCTACTGGAGGAGAGCTTGAAGTCCTCCAAGGCAGTAGCCTGACGGACGAGGCTGGCAATCCTTTCGGCCCCGAGATCACCACTCATGTTGTTGTGGAAGTGAAGAGTCCGGAGCTTGCTGCCTGAAACAAGCTCCACGATTGCCTTTGCAGCATCCGATGAAATCCCGTTGTTCTCAAAGCGAAGGTCCTCGAGATGCTTCTGGGACTTCAGCAATGACCCAAACGCCCGGACACCTTTCTCCCCGAGAGCGTTGTTGGAGAGATAGAGAAACCTCAAGTCGCTGCCTTCCAGAGCCGCCGAGAAGATAGACATCACGTCCAAAGCCTCGGGCTCTGGTCTTCCAGCCACGATATCCGAGAGATCAGCCCCGACCAGCCTCTCCTTACACCTCGAGAGCAGTCTTCCAGCAAACTCCGCAGCTTCCTTCGTGAATGCCCGATTGCTCAAACGAACTTTCGTGAAGCCATGATCAGGATCAACCAGCAGCTGGAACACCTCCTCGGCTTTTTCTCGATCGAGCACGTCCCTGCTTCCACCGGAGATATCGAAGAGCTGGGGATCAACTTTAGTAGCTAGCGGGGGAGTGGAAGCAGAATCTCCAGTATCTTCCATCACCTCTTTCACGGCAGTCGTCACGGAAGAGGCATCTTTTTCTTGCCCAGTACTATCGATGGCGGTTTGAGCTTCCTCGGCCTTTTCCTTCTCTTTCTCTGGAAGCTTACCCGTCTTGAGAACCTCGAGCATCATCCGGCTCGCTTGCTTGGCGTAGATCCTCACGGCAGAGCTACCATTGTTCCTGCCGCTCCCAGAAACCCCGGATACTTCTTGATCCTCCCTCTCTCCCTCCTCGAAGGCGCGCTCCTCCACCAATGCCGCTACCCGGGCGGCCTCTTGCGGCTCCACCGGCTGATAGAATGTCGACAGAGACTTGAGATTCTCGGCCATGCGATTCACGACATGCGATCTTGTGCGCGCGCCCGGCGGCCATAGCCGTATCGAGACCTCGCTCGCCGCTCCTCCGGCTGCATTTTCTTGGAAATAAATCTCTGGCAAGAAGAATCGATCATCAAACTTACGCGATGGCTTGCTGCGCAGATCGCTGGAGGACGCTTCCTTGGATGCCGGCACAACCGCCGGAGAGACCATCGCCAAGGCCCTAGAAGGAGAAAGCGCTCCCGCCGATAGAAATCTTAGGGCTCTTGGTGCAATTTTAGGGTTCTTGGGTCAAAATTTTTATACAAACAAACTATCAAACTCGTCCAAGCTGGGAGCTTCTTTCTTGTAATCATAGATGACAACCGCTCTTCCCACCGGAGCTCTACCTAGAACTGGCTGAAATCCAGCGTCTGGTAAATCCCCCATAGCCCATTGGCACTGAATTCTCACCGCCCGCCATATCTTGCCCCGATCACTCGTGTTGCGGAGATGGAATACCTCGTCTGGCGCTTCCGGGCACCGGACGCATCCTGGAGCAGCAGCAACCATCGCATTGACGATCGCAATCTTGGTTTGCCCTTGCTGCGGGTTTCGTGCTTGTAATCCAGCGTCGTCCCAGAGAACCACAAGGATCAAATCGTCGCGAAGAGCACGCCCCATTGCAACAAGGACGTGATCCCTGAGCTCTCCACGAATTCCATACCTCTCCAGCTCATCGCGCAAAGCAAGCATAAACCCTGAGCGAAGAACCCTAAAAATCCAAATTTTAGGGTTCTTGAGGCATGGCGACGCTGGAGGATTCGCTCGCCGCGCAGATCCGCTCCTGCCGCCGCGGAGCTGGCTTAAACCAAGGCAAGTTGCTGCATTCTCGGATTTCCACCACAGGCCTTGATCGCCAGACTTACATTGGCAATCTTCTCGTCCAGATGTACGGGCGGCTGGGCAGCACCCGCGACGCGAGGACGGCGTTCGATGCGATCTACCGGCGCAACGTTTTCTCCTGGAATCTCTTGATCGGCGCCTACTGCAGCAATGGCCGCCATGGCGAGGCGCTCGATCTCTTCCAGGCGATGATCCGCGAGGCGGCAGTGGATCCCAATCACATCACCTACATCGGGGTCGTGAGCGCGTGCTCCTGGCTGGGTGATCTTGCGCGGGGTCGGGAGATCCACGCGAGGATCGTCGCGGATGGGCTCGGCGATTCTCATGTGTTCTTGGAAAATTCTCTCATCACCATGTATGGGAGGTGTGGGAGCTTGGAGGAGGCCAGGGGGATTTTCCAGAGGATGGCGAAGAAGGATACCGGGTCTTGGAATGCCCTCATGGCCGCTTGCGTGGAGAATGGGAGAGAGGCCGAGGCTGTGGAGCTTTACAGGGAGATGGACGTAGCAGCGGATGGAATCACTCTCACCACTGTTCTTGGCGCTTGCTCCAGATCGATCACCGATGGACGAGACATCCACAGGGACATCTGGGCGACGACGTTTCGATCGGATACGTCGGTGACTACCGCGCTGGTGACGATGTATGGGAGGAATGGAAGCTTGGCCGAGGCAAGGGAGGTGTTTGAGAGGATCCGGGACAAGAATGTGGTGGCCTGGACGTCCATGATCGTGGCTTGCGTCCACAATGGAGCGTATGTGGAGGCGCTCACGCTCAAGAGACGGATGGACCTGGAAGGGGTGAAAGCAAACTCCGTCACCTTTGCGTCCGCGCTTGATGCTTGCTCCGGGGCTGGCTCGCTGGCCGATGGAAGGCTTCTCGAAAGTAGTTTAAGCGCTCAAGGACTCGAACGTGATCTCGTGCTCGGGACCGCTCTCATCGACATGTATGGGAAGTGCGGGAAGCCGGACGATGCAGCGGCGGTGTTCGCGAAGCTCAAGTTCAAGAGTTTGATCGCGTGGAACGCGATGATCGGTGCGTGGTCTCACAACGTCCGCGGGAGAGAGGCGATGCAGTTGTTCTGTAGAATGGACCAGGAAGGGATTGAAAAGGATAGGATCACTTATCTCAACATCCTCGAAGCTCTTGGTCACGGATCGTTTCTACGCGAAGCAAAGGTCATCCACGCTCGGATAGTTGCCTCGGGTCTAGACTCCGAGGTAGCCATCGGCAACGCGATCGTCAACATGTATGGCAAGGCCGGCAGCCTCGCCGCTGCGAAGCTCGCGTTTGATGGACTCAAGCTCCGCGACGTGGTTTCATGGACAAGTATCATCGCAGCTTACTCGCGACAGGGGAGGCACAGAGAAGTTCCAGCGCTGTCCTGGGAAATGCATCTAGAAGGAGTGAAAGCAAACGGGATTACGTTCGTGCACATCCTGCACGCCTTCAGCCATTCGGGACTCGTCAGAGAAGGCTGCCTTTGCTTTGCCTCGATGATGGTGGATCACGGACTTCATGCGACTCGTGAGCTCTGCGGCTGCATGGTCGATCTGCTGGGGAAAGCGGGATGGATTCTGGAGGCCCAGGACATGATCAACGCTATGCCTTTCCAGCCTGACGCTGTTTCCTGGACGAGCTTGCTCAACGCTTGTGTCATCCACTCGGAAGTTCCGGATCGAGCTCGACACGCCGCAGCCGGTGCATACAAGCTGGAAGACAAGGACTTTGGTGCTCCTTATATCGCGCTTTCCAATCTCTACTTCACTCAGTCTTCATCTCAAGGTACTTCTCTATCGTGTTCTTTTCTCTCTTTAACTTCTTCTTGCAGGATCATCGTGAAATTCGCGCTATCCAGTCTCTACTTCACTCAGCCATGGATTCTCCACTTAGACCTCAGGTAAGAGTGATCCTGGGTCTCTCTCTCCTCAGTGGTCACGCTTGGGAAGTTCGATGCTCTACACATTGGCGAAAGCTTCACGAATGGGGCCTCCGGTTCTTCTCTCTTTCACGGGAATGGGAGAAATCCTTGGCTGGGACAAGAGGTAACGCGTTTAAATTTTTCTAGTTCTTACACAAGCGGGGCCATGACCAAGAGAAAGAAAGCGTTTCATGAAAAAGAGAATTTCATGACCAGGAGATGGAAAAGAAAAGAAAAAACGTACCAGAGGAGTATAAATACAATGATGTGGTTCTCACGACTTCTCAATTTAAGCACCAAATCTCTTTTAACCAGTAAAGATGATTTCTTTGTCCTGTGGAAAGGTATATAACGAATCTTTGCAATCTTTTGAGAGAGTCGTGGCCTGGGTGAACCCCGATTTGCTCCAAAAAAAACAAATGAAAAACTTAGTGCTACTTGGTTTTAATTTTTGTGGGAGTACCTCCGTAAGGAGGCGTTCCAAAAATTTTGATATGCCGATATTATGTGGCCAGCACACGGTATTCTTTAGTAAAAGGCGAAAGAATAGTTCGCTCTGCGCTGACCACACGGCCTGTGTGATTCAATCCACTTCTTCGATCGCTTTATATACTCATCCATAGGCTTGAAGCTAAGCTCCGGCATGTGGGATAACTCCACAAGCCCTAGGTCATCGTACACCCTAGAAGCATATTCTCCGAATGGTTTTTTCAAACATAATAGTGTTTTTAGTTTGTTTTTTTATAAAGAGGTGCATCTGTAATTCGCATCCACTTGAGAACATCTTTCGGATGAAGATTTTCAACGGTTCACAATAATGGAGATCAAAATAGTCAGATTCTTTGGCCTGGAGAAGAGCCTCCACTGAACTGGGGACCCAGCCAGTCTTCCACAGGATGCTTTCTTTCGTCACACTGGCCTCTTGGTCCTCGAGATCTAGGAAATAATTTCTTTTTCCTGCAAAAGGAAACAAGAAGAGTTGAATGCTGTACCACAGAAAACGACGAGCTTACGCTGAGCTGAATGCGGCCTCCCGTTAAACACCATCCTGTTTCACTCTCTCCCCGCTTACCTGCCGATGACGTGGCATCAGGCCCTCTTTTTGTTTTATCTCCAGCGCACTCCCTCTCCCGTCTGTCGCCGCTGCGCACTCCCGCCCGCACTCCCACCCGCCCCCGCACGTCCGCCCGCGCCCAGCGTGCGCCCTAATTACTTCCACGTGGCCACAGCCCCAACTCTTGGCCAAATTTTAATCAGCGCGCCCTGTTCCACCATAATTGACCTAAAAACGTTTTTGTTTCTTTTATGATCGTTTATGTTTCCGGCAGGCTGGTCTTGTGCTTCGCTGCTACTGAGAAAGGAAACTGTGATCAGGAAGGAATAACGAAAGACAAAACTATCTTCCTTAAAACTCTTAACACCTCATTTTTACAATGTTTACTAAGCTCTGGCACCCCGGATTGTGTGCTGTTCATAGGGATAAATTAAAGCTCGAAGGATTGGTTCCGTGTAAAATCTTCCACTTAGATTTTGGCATGTGGAAAGCAATAAAACTTAGATCTTGTAATAAATCCCTTTATCCCCCTAATATCCACATAGAAATTAGGGTTTAGGGCCACCGTCCTCTTCTTTTAGGGCAATGCAGTCCACTGCAAGGTGGAACGCGCCAAGCAGCCACCATATCCTCCTCACTGGAATTCTCGCCACAGGCACCGCCGCCATCTCCAGCAAGCGCCTAAAGCTTCGCGTTGTCACCTCCCAAGCGCCAGCTTCTCCTTCCTCGCAAGCCATGGATTCTCCACATAGACCTCAAGCCATGGATTCTCCACAGAGACGTCAGGTAAGAGCTCTCTCACTGATCCTCTCTCTCTTTTGTTTCTTATTGCCATTGGATCTTAACAGGAGTCTGGCAAATTGGCAGGCTCAGTGGTCGCGCTTGGGAAGTTCGATGCCTTACACATTGGCCACCGATCTCTGGCCGAGCAAGCTTCACGAATGGGGCCTCCGGTTGTTCTCTCTTTCACGGGAATGGGAGAAATCCTTGGCTGGGACAAGAGGTAACTTGTTGCTGGAAATTCTTGTTGGTCCATATCAAGCTTTGAGTTTTTCTCTTCTCGCGCAGATTGCCAGTCGTTGCTCCTTGTGATCGAGCGCGAGTCATGCTCTTGTGGAGCGCTCAATGCTCGGGTCTAACTCCGGATGAATTCTCGCTCGAGTTTGGCAAAGTTCGTCATCTGAGTCCACAACAGTTTGTGGAGAAGCTGGCAGTGGAGCTCCGAGTGAAAGGCGTCGTCGCTGGTAAATAGCACTTGTCAGTTCTTCCATCTCCGGAAAAATGAGATTCTTACCTGGTGCGTGCAAATTCACGACGTTGTTCGCAGGCGAGAACTACCGCTTTGGATACAAGGCAGCAGGGGACTCATCAGAGCTCAAGAAACTTTGCAAGGAATGGGGGCTGGACGTCTTTGTGGTGGAAGCTGTGATGGACAAGTTCGACCAAGCGCCATCGTCAGTGCAAGGCGATGCCAGAGACCGGGGTCAGGTGTCGTCGACCAGGGTAAGAAAAGCTCTAGCTGATGGTAACATGAAGAGAGTCACAAACTTGCTCGGGAGGAACCACCGGTTGTTCATGACACTTGACAATGCAACGAGGATACAGATCGAGAGCGAAGAACAAGACCATGAAGAACAAAGAGAGAAACGAGTGCTCTACAAGGTACCTCTCTCAGACTCATGCAACCAGTATCCAGCACAGGGATCGTATCGGTGCAAGGTAGCGTTTCAGGGGCTGGGACAGCAACAACAGACTTGGAATGGAAATGGTGGTGCGCTTGAGCGCTCCTGGGAATGCGATGTCGAGATAACAGAGGACGAAGCTAGAATCTGGGACTTGGAAACGCCAGAGAGCCTGGAACGGCGACAGGGATTTGTGAGTATAGAATTCCGGTAGTAAAGTGACACTCTTACAAACTCTGGCGGTCCAGCGTGGCGGTGGGTTGTCCAGAGTGGCACTTCTAGTGGCACAGAGGCTCCACCATATCCATGCAAACGTTGGCTAGCCCCCAAAATCTGAGCTCCTATTGGCCTCTCCATCTCCTTATCTTTTCCTGTGAACTCCGCCAAGTTAGTAGCAGTAGCAGCAAGGTTGCGGGCTTACCATTCTCAAGGTTTGGAGCTCAGGAGCTCCCCCTTTCTCCTCAAGAGATGTCGACCAGTATCTCCTCCAGCCAGTGTCATTCAATGCTGGATCCCAGGCAGAGGTACGCAGTCGACTTCTATGGTGGCTCCTCCAGATTTGCTCGCAGTAGCCACAGCAGCCGGGTGTGTAGCTATAACCGGCCTTGTTATTCCTCCATAGCTTCATCCTCCACCCGGCTTGCAGCCGCTTCGTCGTTGCGAGCAACAGCGGTCGACCAGGAAGAGCTCTCGCTGGATTCGTCGGGTGTCTCGTACCAAGTGCTGAAACAAAGATTGGAAGCCGGTGAGTGGGAAGCAGCAGACGAGGAAACTCGACGACTTCTCTACGTTTTAGCCGGTGAAGCTGCCGCCAAGCGGAAGTGGGTCTACTTTTCCGAAGCAAAGTTCATCCCGGCCAGGGACCTTCAAACGCTCGACAGTCTCTGGAGGCAGTACAGCGGCAACAAGTTTGGATACAGCGTCCAGCGGCGGATCTGGAAGAGCGTCGCGTCGAACTGGAGCTTGTTCTTCCGGAAAGTCGGGTGGACGAGGCCACTGGACGAGAAGAACGACGCTTACAGGAAGTTCCCTGTCGAGTTCATGTGGGACGTTGCAAAGCCGACTCCGGATGGTCACTTGCCCCTGACGAACTGCTTGCGGGGAACGCAGCTACTTCAGGCGATTCTCTTGCATCCTGCATTTGATGAAATCGAGAAGCAGGAAGGAATGACCAGCAATCTCACCGGTTCTTCTTCCACTCTCTTGTGACCATTATCCTCTTCCGGCGAGCGTATGGCTGTCACGTAATCGCCATTGATTATTTATGCTGATAGAGTTTTACTTCCATCTTTGCACCGAAGCGAGCGAGCAAAAGACGAATAAAGACGTGACATAAACTTACAAATGTTCTTAAACCAAAGCGTTGTTCTTATCAAGGGTCGCTTCGTGAAGGCTTCAAGGACTTGGTAAACACCTGCGTAGAAGATAAGAACATTGACAAAGTCCAGATATGGAAAATGGAAGTTTACCATCCCTGGGCTCGGCTCCCAGTCATTTGTAGCTGGATTGCTTTTGTAGCAGGGTCTGGAGCGATTCACTACCACCCTATGAGCATCAAGAACTTCAGGAGAAGTGCCACCATTTTTCTCGATAGCAATGAAACCATTGCCAGTCTAGAGAGGAAAGAATCAGATGACAAACTCTTGGAAAACACTCGGAAAACTTGGAACGTACGGTGTAGTGTTGAGAATCGCAGCCAACAGAGTTGAGCCCCTTGTAGTACTCGTTCTCTGCATAATCGTCGCTGCTCAGAACACCCATGCCATTCGGAAGACGCTGCACAAAACCACGAACAGCATCAAGACAAAGAGAAAAAATCCACGGCCTCCGGAAGATTGCATTAGCTACTCCTAAGAAATGCGAATCAAAGCTAGCAAACAAACAATCGCGCACAAACATTTTCAAAAACCCCAACCGGAAGGAATCGATCGAAATATCGCACCTCGGATGCGGCCAGTAGCTGCCGCAAGCGCTGCTCCTCGGGACTGATCACCGGCCCTCCATCGCAGCTCCAAGGCTGATCCGATCCTCCCTCGCTCCGCGCAGGCTTTGGCGCTCGCCTCGGCGCCGATGAATCGAAATGCTCGCGGACTAGCGCCGCCAGGCGCGATTGCTCCTCGGGCGACAAGAGATCATCACTCCGGCTGGGCTTGCCAGACTCCATCACTCGGCCCTTTCCAACCCTTTTAGAATAACTATTTTCCATTCTTTTAGTACTACCTAGAAGGCTGGTTTTCCAATTGGACTACAGTACCTCTGTAAGAACAGACTATTACATTACTATTACATTGGCAAGAACAAATCTTACATTGGCTCAGCAGCTTTTTAGACAAGCTCTCAAAATCTGAGCGGCGCTCACAGTGACCCTCGACTCTCACTTGTTCTTGAGATCCGTGAGTGCCTCTTTGGTTGCGGCGGACACTACCGCGTCGGAAGCGTTTGGAAGATAGTAGTACTTTCCTGAAAGAACAAGTTCCAAGGTTTCCTTGTTGCTACTACATGTAACTCGAGATCTCTCACCTTGAGCAAGTCGCGCAATCTCTTTAGCAAACCCAGTGGAGATGAACTTGTTCTCTGTGTCGATCACCAGCAGTGACATCCCTGTTTTGTAAATCTTTCCAGCGATGTCTTTGATCTCATCCTGTGAAGAAGTAGCGTTAATGCTTGATGTAAGTTGGACTCAAGCTTATGTATGCTGTGTACCTTGAGTTCCTGCTGCGATGGCCTGGGAGCGTCTGGAGCAATAGCTTCCGGGTCTCCGGTAGACTTTTTCAGCGAGACATTTGCCCGGCCGTCAGTGATGGCAACGATCATTATCCGTCCAACATCTCCACTCTTTTCAGCATTTAGGCCCACTCTCACAGCCTGCAATGAAAGGGAAGTCCAAACTTATCATCGACAAAACTCTACAAGCTTTTAGTTACCGTGCTCAGACCATGAGCCAAAGGAGAACCACCACCGCAGGGCAACCTCTCTAGCCTCTTTCTTGCCATGGCAATCGAGCGCGATGGTGGAAGTAAGACTTCAGCGGCATCGCCTCGGAAAGGGATGATAGAAACCTGTTACAAATGCTTCCATGAAAATGAAGAAATCTCGATCTTGTAACTTAGTACCTGATCCCGGCTCGTATAGCTGTCAGCAAGTAATTGCATTGCCGCTCCTTTAGCATTGTTCATACGATTCAGCGCCATACTTCCACTTGCATCCACCACGAAAATCACCTGTAGGATAAAACTGAGCATCGAGTTGTTTGCTTTGCATGGGACGTACCAAAGCACCAGCCTTGCGGGCCATTCGTTTTGCACGCATGTCTGACTGCTCTACGTAAACTTTCCTGGAGACACCCTGCTCGAGTGCTCTTTGCTTGCGTAGCTTTTGATATGGAGCAGCAGCTCTCAACGTTGCATCCACGGCCAGCCGCCTGACGGGACCCTGGACGAATGCGTCAAGTAAGTGCAACAATGAAAATCCACGCCTACCTTAGGAAGCATTGGTTTGATATAGCGGCCTCTATCCTCCGAGAAGATGACATTCTTTGCACGTCCGGCTTTTCCTTTTCGACGCTGGGCTTGCTGTGCAAAGAAAAGCAGCTGGGAGTCTACAAGCCCCCCTTCAGCATCGAAAATGAACTCTTCAGGAACTTGCTCCTGTTGTTGCTCATCACTCTCGTCATCGTCCTCCTGTCATTTACTTTCAGAATAAAAGTCAGGAATCACTTGTTATTGTTGTGGCCTTACTTCTTCGTCGTCTTCCTCGTCTTTATCCTGATCTTCCTGTTGATTCTGTGGAGGCGGGGGAGGCGGTGGCGGAGGTGACTGATTGTTCGGCTGCTCTGGTGCGTCTTGCAATGTGGAGCGAGGAATGATCACAAGTTCGACCTGCAGTGTCAACATTGGTTATTTGACAATATCATGCTGCATATGAAACGTACAGCTTTTTTCAAGTCGTCGACGCCAACTTTGTCTCGGCCATCTAAGGCCGCCAATGCCTTGGCGACTCTGACAGCACCAATTTCCGCACGATGCCCCTGTGAGCAGTTCAACTACTTTTCAATTGCAGGAAAAACAGGGACTACCTGACAGCCGCCACGAATGGCTTCCATGACGAGATACTTCGTTTGCTCTCTACCTATTGTTACATCTTTGAGCCACTCCCTAGCATATATTATCTGACAAAAACAAAAAATGAAATCAGGAACATTTCCAAGAGGTTTGGCGAACCTGTGTTCTTGCGGACTCAGTTGCTTCTGCGGAGTTTGACATAACCAGTCTCGAACTCTCTTGAAACTGAGTTGCAATATCGACTGCTGAAACTCGGTCCTCAAACTCAAGTGCGGCATCAGCACTGCAGTGAAAACTACTTTAGAAAGAAAGGAAACAGCAAACTATATAGGTACCTGAGATTTATAGAAATACGATCTAGCAGATGCTCCCTAACAGCGCCTTCCTCCGGGTTGTAAGTTGCAATGAGGAGCGGCTTACAAGGGTGGCGAAAGCTCACACCCTCCCTCTCGACCACGTTGACCCCTTCAGTCAGCACGTTGAGCAGAAGATTGCTAATGCCTTCGTCCAAAAGATTGATCTCGTCCACGTAAAGTACTCCGCGATGAGCCTGAGCAAGCAGCCCCGGCTGAAAGACAGTGGTTCCCTGCTTGATCGACTCCTCCACGTCCACCGAGCCCAGCAAACGATCCTCTGTAACACCGAGTGGCACCTGAAAGATCAAATAAGAGGAACTCCTCCAAAAACTCGCGAGTTACCTGCACGAAAGGTGCTTTGACAACTTCGACCACGGGCTTGCCATCGCTGCCTAGAGCGATTTTCTCTTCCAGACCATCTTCCCATCTGCAACAACGAGAAAAACAAACAATGACAAGAATTTTTTTCGAGCTCGCAGAGAAAAAACTTACTCCTCGCTATGAGATGGATCGGCATTCGCGATGGAGCCAGCGACAATCTCTATAGGCGGAAGTAGTGCGTGTAGGCCGCGAGCTAAGACAGTCTTGGCAGTCCCGCGTCGACCAGCAACCGCAATTCCGCCAATGCCATTGTCCACAGCTCCCAGAAGCAATGCGGCCTTGATAGCTTCCTGCCAAGAATCCATCCGGACGGCTTGAAAATCTACATCCTCGCGCAGGAAAGGAAGAAAGAAGGACCTACTTGGCCGACGACCGCTGCCAGGGGAAAATACTGTCGTCCATAGCTCGGCGCCGCATCGTCTTTGTCAAGAACGACAGTGGCGGCTCCATTTCCTCCCGCTGCTGCTCGTACACGCCAGGACCGGGGCCGTGGATTTACCTCCCTGCGCTGCATTCTTCCATTCCACTCGATCCTCGCGCAGGATCTTGCGTGCGCGGGCGCCATTGCCATGGCCAAGGCCATCCTCTTTGAAATTTAAACCTAGTTTAAACCTTCACGTTACGATATAAAGATAGAATTTTGGTGGATTTTATAAATAGAGGCTTTTACTTGGAATAGTTGTCTAAGATTATAGTGATCTGAAGTATAAAAGGCAGGGCATTTGTTTTACGAATATTGGTGTTTGGAAGCAAGGGCGATGGCAGCTTTTCTTATCATTTTCTTTGTGGCGTTTGCTGCGAGTTTGTTTGTGCCTTCTCAGCAAGCAAATTCTTCAGTTCAAGCTTCATCCGTTCCAGCGTTGTTTGCATTTGGAGACTCTCTAGTGGATTCTGGTGATAATGCCCATGTTGGGTATCCATATGGTATTGATTTTCCTGGAGGCCAAGCAAGCAGATTTTGTAATGGGCGTTTGTTAGTTGAATATATTGGTAAGTAATCATTAATTTCCTGTTATTTTAACATTGTTTCTTTTCTATTTTCTTTTTATCCAGCATCACATCTGGGACTACCAATCCCACCTGCTTATCTTCAATCTGGAAACAATATTCTTAAAGGAGCTAATTTTGGTTCTGCTGGATCTGGAATTCTTCCACAAACAGTAATGGTAAATGTTTTTTATTTTTAATATTTTATTAGTTTATTTGTAATCTTAATCTGTTGGTAATTTTAAAGGGAGGAGGGCAAGCTCTTGGAAGTCAGATTAATGACTTTCAAAGCTTGAAACAGAAAATGGTTCAAATGATTGGATCATCTAATGCAAGTGATGTGGTTGCAAAATCTATATTTTATATCTGCTCTGGAAATAATGATATAAATAATATGTATCAACGAACAAAGAGAATTCTTCAATCAGATGAGCAAATAGTTATTAATACTTTTATTAATGAACTTCAGGTATATATATTATAGTTATTCCTTTTCTAATTTTTCTTAATAATATTTTAATTGCAGACATTATATAATTTGGGTGCTAGAAAATTTGTTATAGTTGGATTAAGTGCTGTTGGATGCATTCCATTAAATATAGTTGGAGGACAGTGTGCATCTATTGCTCAACAAGGTGCACAAACCTATAATAATTTGCTTCAATCAGCTCTTCAAAACTTGAGAAATTCTTTGAAAGATGCTCAATTTGTGATGACAAATTTTTATGGACTTATGGTGGATGTTCACAATAATCCACAATCTTATGGTAAAGTTTATTATTTATTTATTATTATTTTTAATGCTTTTTTGATCAACAGGTTTTACTGATTCAAGCAGTGCTTGTTGCCCTCAAGGATCACATACCTTGAATTGCCGCCCTGGAGCAACAATTTGTGGAGATAGAACAAAATATGCTTTTTGGGATGGAATTCATCAAACTGATGCATTTAATAGTATGGCTGCACAGAGATGGTGGACTGGAGGCACTTCTGGTGATGTTTCTCCCATTAGTATTAGCGAACTAGCATCATCGTGATGAGATCTTGATCACTTTATTATGTTCGGCAATTTATTTTTTAATAAGCATTTGATTTGATTGATTTCGAAAATTCAAAGTGATTTTGACATAGGATGGCAGAATGAATATATATGTATTAAACTTCATAGCCAGGATTTACAACTTGTTGTACATCTCCGTAGGTTTCTAGCTCCAGCACATCTTCACTACTTCCTAGGAAAAGAGGCAATCGCTGGTGAAGTTCAACTGGCTGGATGTCTAAAATTCTTCTCTTTCCATCACATGCTTTACCACCAGCATCTTCCATCAAAAAACCCAATGGATTCCCTTCATACACTAGTCTCAAATGGCTGCGAGGATTCATAGCAATACCACCGTAGAGAATTGTCCTATGGACGTCTGCTACCAGTGAGCATACATACCTTGCCGAGTACTTCTTTGGAAACTGGCCTTTGCCTCTTCTAATATCATCAATGTAGCGTCGGAGTCCTTGAGGCCAATCGAAATACCTTGCATCGTTCACGGAATAGATTTGTCCTGAGAGAGGATAGCCTCAAAGTTAGCAAGCTTTTCTCCAAGGAACGAGGAAGAGAACTTCTAACGTACCTCTCTCGGGAACTTTAACGTCGGGCTTGACAAGCTTGAATTCTCCGCAAGATCTGTCCAGCATGAAGATCTGAGTTCCCTGGCCGACCGTCAAGCACAAAATGGTTGCCGACGAGTAGAGAGCGTATCCCGACGCTACAAGCCTCGAGCCACACTGGAGGACGTTAAGCTGTGCCTTTTCTTCCACTGGCAGCTTATCAGCCTCTTCCAGGCGCCTGTAGATCCCAAAGATGGTTCCAGTTGGAATGGAGGCATCGATGTTCCTGGAGCCGTCCAAAGGATCAAACACCGCCACGAACGGGCCATGGTCGTCGATCCACACCGGGAAATCCTCTTCCTCGGACGCCACCACTGCCACCTTTCGGGAGCTCTCGAGAGATTTCTTGAGGAGCTCGTTCTGGAACAAGGAAGTCAGTCCAATAAGGAAAAAAAAACGAACGATAGAAACTTGCCGAGATTATGTCGAGTGGCTTGGGAGCGTCTCGTCCGGACGAAGGAGCTACCGAGGGAGAAGAAGAGAAAGAAGTAGAATCACTGGAAAGAATGGCCTCTGGAGAAGCCAGGAGCGCGGCGATTTCCTTGACAGCCCCCTGGAGATGGAGTATCACAATGGCCAGATTCTCGTCCAGGCCGCTGCTCGATCCGAGATACGCCATCAAGCTCTGACACCGATTCTCGCCAAGAGCAGGAGTAGCGGATTCGTCCACCCAGGAAGGGCTGCTCATTGTAGCAGCGATACTCACCATTCGCGAAGAAATTCCAGCTCCTCGCGACCCACAGAGAATGCGGCTCCTTCCGATCGTGGGCCTGGATTTCGCCGATCGATGCGTGCACGCGGCCGGAGGAGCGCCAAGAACGAGAGATTTAACGCAGCATTCCATCCGGCATTCCCCTAATGCTCTGTTTTCTAGGGTTTAAGTAGAGCTTTAGGGTTCTTCATGGCAATGGAGAAGCGATCGGGGCAGGGCGGGCCGGCATTCCAGGAAGATGAGGAGATGGAGGAAGAGGACAAGGCACCGGACATGGAGGCCTGGGAGCGTGCGTACGCGGACGATCGGTCGTGGGAGTCGCTGATCGAGGATGAGTCGGGGCTGCTCAAGGCCGGGGACGATGTCCAACAGCAAAGGCAGCACCGGCGGAGGCTGATTCAAGCGTCGGGGCCTCGGATCCAGCGCGGCATCATCAGATATCTCTGCCTCATCCTCGATTTCTCCCGGGTAGGCGCCAATGCTGATACTTTCTCGTTGAGTGTGATGGAGAGGAAAGAAATATAGGCAAAATGTGTGATGCTTGGGTCATAGAATGCATCGTAGTGTGAAGTTCATCTAGTTTCCATCGTTTCTTACGGAGAAGAAGTGGTTTTTCTTTGAGTTTCTTCTTTGTTTTCATTCTTGTTTCCAGGATTTTTCCTGCTGTTCATTGGTTTACATTGAGTTTCTTCTTCGTTTCCGTTCGTGTTCAAACGCATCCAGGAGTTTTCTCGCTGTTGATTGTCTTCCGTCGTTTCTCTTTGGGAAAACTTATAGTGACTTAAGTAGTGTTTGCTTCCAGGCAGCGGGAGAGATCGATTTCCGGCCCTCGCGCATGGCAGTCGTCGCGAAAGCCGTCGAGGACTTCGTGCGGGAATACTTTGACCAAAATCCTCTCAGCCAGCTTGGGATCATAGTGATGAAGAACGGCATCGCCAGCGTGGTCACGGAACTAAGTGGCAGTCCTGAGGCACACATCCGCGCCTTGAAGTCCAACCTTGAGTCCTTTGGAGAAGCATCGCTACAAAACGGGCTCGAGCTGGCGCACACATACGTCCAGCACATCCCGTCTTACGGACACAGGGAGGTGGTGATCGTTTTCTCGGCGCTGAGCACTTGCGACCCCGGCAACATCCTCGAGACTGTCAAGAAGTGCAAGGCCGCCAGGATGAAATGCTCCGTCGTTGGCCTCACGGCAGAGATCTACATCTGCAAGCACATAAGTCAGGAAACCGGAGGATCATACGCAGTTGCTATGAACGAGGTTCGTGTTCTTGCCTCTTTGCCTCGTCCTTCTCTAGACTTACGCGTTCATTCCAGGGACATCTCAAAGAAATACTTCTGGAGCACGTCCCTCCGCCAGCGGCAATGCCAGACGCCTCGTCTGCGAGCCTGGTGCGCATGGGATTCCCTCAGCGGGGCTCCGAAGGAGCAGTAGCGATCTGTGCGTGCCACAAGGAGCTGAGGATCGGCGGTGGCTACATCTGTCCTCGCTGCCGGGCTCGGGTGTGCGAGCTCCCGACCGAGTGTAGCCTGTGTGGCCTGGCGCTGGTTTCCTCGGCTCACTTGGCACGCTCCTACCACCATCTCTTTCCCATTCCCACCTTCGACGAGCTCCTGGTGGACGCGTCGCTCAGAGGCAAGTCGAGCTTTGCGGGGTCTTGCTTTGGATGTAGAATCCAGCTCTCTGGTAAGCTTTCCTTGTTCTTCGTTTTGCAAGCTTTCTTTCTTTCTTTTCTATGGAGGAGTGAGCTAGAAGTTTTGACAATGCAGGGGGTGGAAGCTTGAGACTGCGGTGCCCTCGCTGCAAGAGGGATTTTTGCTTCGACTGCGATGTTTACATTCACGAATCGCTACACAATTGCCCGGGGTGCGAGACGCTGCAAGAAGAGGCCGTCACGTAGCCAGTGGAGAGCAAAAGGAGGTGAGCTTCGTCACCTTTTGCAAAAATTTTGTAGGTGTAAAGGACTCTTGGGGGAAATGGTCGTCATCTTTCTTTATATATTACATTGTCAATTCTTGTCTTTGATCAATCTAGCAAACCTATGATCATGGCTTTCACAATCTAATATATCAAAACCCTTGTTCTCGCTTCCTTTTCATGAGCATGGCTTTTATCTCCCTGTGCTTTCGCAGCTTCCCTCCCTCCGTGAAGCGATTCTTACAGTCGTAGCAGCGGTACCTCTTTTGTTTCACATTGTTGTTGTTATACCCTTCGCACTTGGTGTTGAAAGACTCGCAGAAAACGCATCGAACTGGCTGCTCGTCACTGGGCTTCATGGCAGTGGTGGTGGTGATTGGAGAACAAACCCTAACACCGCTTGGAGAAGAGGGACGAGGAGCGCTCGCCAAGGATCTAGCCCGAGTTGTAACAGTCAGAGGTGGATTGGAAACCCTGGCTTGGGTCGCGGGAACTTGAGAAGCTGGAGCTACCGGATGATCCGGGGCGAGGGCGAGCCTCCTCGTGAACCCACGGAGATCGACGCCATAAGCTGACGTGAAAGGATCCATGGCCGCCGACGCCTCCTCCGCCACTTTGTTTTGGAGCTGCTGGACGTAGAACTCCCTGGCCGCCATCTTTTGCTGGTAGAGCGCGAGGCCCTCCTCCTCGTCCGTGGCGTAGTAGAACGTCCGGGGCTCCCACGAATCAATCGCGCGGTAGTGGTCAAGCATGTAGTAGTCCATCGCCATAAGATACCCTAAAGGCTGTGAGATAGCGTATTTATAAGGTTTGGGATGATTAATATCTTTGGACAACGCCAGATTCTCTTAGGGCTAGCTATAAATGTGGCCGCCACCTTTTTTGGATCACCATTTGCATGGAGAGGCAAGAATGTATCAGGCAATTGGAGTCATGTACCACACTTTCTCGTGCATCCCAGCTGAGATCGCTAGTGGAGCGCACCAGCGATTCGAGAGATACGTTCGTGTGGAACAAACTCATCGAAGTTTTCGGGAGGTGCGGCGGCATCTCCCAGGCTCGAGAGGTTTTTGATTCTCTGAGGCAATGGAAGAATTGCTACTCGTGGGTTTTCATGATCTCTGCTTACTCCAGGAACGGGCTTGTGGAAGAGGCCAGGCGGACTTTCGATGAGATGCCGGAGAAGAATCTGGTCTCCTGGAACACCATCGCTGTGACTTATGCCCAAAACGGGCATCTTGCGGATGCGAAGCGGATCTTTGATTCCATGCCGGCTAGGAATATGGTATCTTTTTCTTCGATGCTGACCGCGTTTGCTCAAAACGGGCAGCTGGAAGCCGCCCGGAGAATCTTTGACAGGATGCCCGCAAAGAATCTCATCTCCCAGACAGCGATGTTATCGGCATATGCCCAAAACGGGTCTCTCGAGCATGCAAAGCAAGTATTTGACTCGATGCCGCAGCACAATCTTGTCTCTTGGAACTCAATCCTTACCGCATTTGCACAAAACGGAAAACTAATCGATGCTCAAGATACATTCAATCAAATGCCCGAGCAAGACTTGATTTCCTGGAACGCAATGCTAACAGCAATCGCCCAAAAGGGAAAACTGGAGGATGCCAAGAGATTCTTTGACGAGATGGCTTGCCGCAACCTTGTATCTTGGAACTCCTTGATCTCGTCCTTCTCCCAAAATGGACACGTGGCAGAGGCCAAGAGGTTGTACGAGAATATGCCAGAGAGGGACCAAGTCTCTGCCACTGCAATGCTCACGGCATATTCCCAGCTTGGGAATCTCCGGGATGCTGAGGCAGTGTTTAGCGAGATGCAGTTCCAAAACTCCATCTCCGCCACCGCAATGCTGAATGCGTATGCCCAAAACGGGAATATCCAGGAGGCCAGAAATGTATTCGACCAGATCCCCCAAAAGAACGTCATTACCTGGAACTCTATGCTCACAGCCTATACAGAGAACGAGAATCTTGTAGAGGCAGAATGCTTGTTTGACAAAATGCCGGAGTTGGATCTTGTTTCATGGACTACCATGCTATCGACATATGCCCAAGAAGGGCATATCCAGAAAGCTAAGCATATATTCGATAAAATGCCCGAGAAGGACAGGGTTGCATGGACAGCAATGCTGAGGACATATGCCCTGTGTGGGGATCTGGAGTATGCTAGGTGGATTTTAGAGAGTATGCCTGAGTGGGACACGGTAGCCTTGACTACCATGCTAGCTGCATATGCCCAAAGTGATCACTTAGAACAAGCAGAATGTTTGTACGCAAGGGTTGACGAAAAGAATCCGGTGCTACAAACTGCAATGCTAAGTGCGTACAATATCAATGGAAACTTGATCGAGGCAAAGAGTGTGTTTGATGAAATGGGTCAGAGGAGTATGGTCTCGTGGAACTCGATGCTCTCGGCATATGCCCAGCACGGGAATGTCAAAGCTGCGAAACGAATCTTTGATGAGATACACGAGAGGAGTGCCGTGACATGGATTGCTATGATGTCGGCATATGCGCAGAATGGGCATTTCCGAGAAGCCCTGTTCTTGTTCCGCGAGATGAATAGCTTCCAGATCTTCCTCGACGATGTTTGCTTCATCTGTGCGTTGCACGCTTGCAATCACGTCGGCAAGACGAACGCCGCCAAGTCGTGCTTCGTTTCGATGAGCTTCGACTTTGGTGTCTCTCCGACGAAGCGCCACTACTGCTGCCTCGCGGATCTCATCGCCCGCGCGGGCCACCTCCGCGACGCCGAAGATCTCGTGCTAAACATGCCATTCGTGCCGGATAAGTCCGACTGGAGATCTCTCCTGGGCGCTTCCAAGTCTCACAGTAGCGCCAAGCTTGGAGCTCGAGCGGCGCATCGAGTGCTTGATATGGATCCCTGCGACGCGCCCTCTTACGTCCTCCTTTCGACCATAAGCTAGAAACTTCGCCAAAGCACAATGCTCCAATCCAATTCGATGCAAGCGCAGATCCAGAACGATCCAGCATTCTATGCTCAAGAATTGTAGGATCTCGCCCATGAGACACGACCATTTTAGTCTTCGGAAGCAGTGGATTGAGGAAGAAACAAAAGCAACTGTTGAGCTCAGTCAATGGTCTCTACAAAGTTGGCAGTAGAGTTTCTTACATAGTCTTCCGTGGGTACAGGCTCGCAATTGGTGTCTACCTCTCCACTATGATACGCAAGAGGATGAGGTTCTGGAGCTTGTCACCATTTCGAAGAGCCTCGATGAATCTGAGGCCTGTTGCTCGTTTGACGGGAAGAGTTTTGCCAGTGTCTCTAGCCTACGCGACGCTATCTGATGCAAAATAACAGGTCCGATGCTATGGCTTGAAGAAAGGGAACGTAGACGAGTTTCTCTTGCTCTGCCCGTTTTGGAAGTTGAAAGTGGGCAAGGCCTCAACACTGTGATCCTAGCGTTCGAGATTGGGGAGAGACACGAGGAGCCGGGGTGGCGCAAACTTGGTGGAGTTCTAGGTTTGATGCCGCAAATCCTTGAAGTGGTTCTTTTCACTCGCCAAGGGACGCGGAAATGCAATGACCCTGACTTTGAGCTGTTGAGTGGCTTTCGGATGGGAATTCTGGCCAACACTCCGAAGTAAGTGTTGCCATCTTTGCCTCAAGTTTACCTCACTTGTTTCTAGAGATGATCTCTGGGCAAAATAAAGAATCATCAATTGACATAAAATTTATTTTTATCATTATTATTTTTAATGATAAGATAAAATAAGCATTCTTGTAGAAGACCATATACCGCCTGCTACTTTCACCGTGATCCAGTTGGAGAAACTGAAACAGTGTGTAGCTTTCGTACCCCAGTAGATTCTCTCTTTTGCTTACTTCACATCTTTCTTTTGTTTGAATAATCCAGTGCTTAAAGTATCCTGATAAGAGCGATTCATTACTTCGAGAGGTCAAAGCCACGCTAATGGTAGAAGATGGATGAATCACAGATGGTAGATATGTCCAATTGCCGAGAATGCTTAATATCATACAGGCGATGGATCGATTGACAAGGGTACGGGAATGCCAATCTTTTATCTTTAGAGAGAATGGAGAAGATTTTATTTTGTAGCACTATATAATTCCAAAGATGATCGCCAAAGAACTGTCTTCCAATCCAATTTGATGCAAGCGCAAGTCCAAAACGATCCAGCATCCTATGCTCGAGCTCTCAAGAACTGTAAGGATCTCGCCCATGGCAGAGCCCTCCACACGCAAATCCTCGCCAGCGCGCACCGGGAGAGCGTCTTCTTGGGCAACCACCTTGTGGAGATGTACGGAGAATGTGGCAGCGTTGTGGACGCGCGAAGTGTCTTCGATGAGATCCAGCCGCCCAATGTGCACACGTGGACGATCATGCTCAAGGCGTATGCCCGCAATGGGCACCTGGCCCAGGCCAAATCCCTCTTCGACGATATGCCCGTACGGAATGTTGTGTCCTGGACGTCCATGCTGGCGGCGTACGTGCAGGGTGGCCAAATTGACGACGCGAGACGAATATTCGACTCCATTGCCAGAAAGAATGTTGTGACTTGGAATGTTATGTTATCAGCATATGCCGTTGAGGGGCATTTTTGCGAAGCGAAAGAATTGTTTGACCAAATCAAGGACAAAAACGTGGTTACTTGGACTATTATGTTGTCAGCTTACATACACTGTCAGCCATTGGGTGATGCGAGAATATTCTTTTGTTCCATGCCCAAGCGCAATGTGGTGTCTTGGAACTCGATGCTTAGTGCATATGCCCGTAATGGGGATTTAGAAGAGTTAAGACTTCTGTTTAAGGAAATGCCTCACCGCGATGACGTATCGTGGAATATTTTGCTTAAAACGTACTGTTTGCGTGGTGATTTGCATGAGGCTAAGAAATGTTTCGATAAAATGCCGAGAAGAGACGTGGTGTCTTGGACTACCTTACTTGCAGCATATGCCCGCCAGGGGCATATGCTGGAAGCGTTAGAAATGTTTGAAAAGATGCCACTTCGCGATACAGCGGCATGGAACTGCATGATAAACCTTTGTGTTGAGAATAAATTTCTACCGCGTGCAAGATCTATCTTTGAGAAGATGGAAAGACGAGATCTCGTTTCGTGGAAGACGATGATCGGAGCTTACACTGCGAGTGGCAATCTCGACCAAGCGAAGGATCTCCTGGATCAAAACCCATTCCAGGACGTGGTTTCGTGGACCTCTTTGATCTCGGCCTGGTCCCAGAGGGGCGATGCTACATCGGCGTTTAGAATCTTTCAAGGAATGACTATGGAGGGAGTGACGCCCAACGCGATCACCTTCTTGGTCGTGATCGATGCCTGTGCCGGGAGCGCCGATCTCGCCAGAGGCCGAGTAGTCCACCAGATCATCCTGGAGGAGCAGCCCAGCATCGTGCTCCACGATATCGCGCTGGGGAACTCGCTGCTCAATCTCTACAGCAAATCCGGGAGCGCGGACGATGCGAGGGAGATCTTCGAGCGCATGAAGCAGCGCGATGAGATCAGCTGGAACTCGATGGTCGCGGCGTATGCTCGATCGAAGAAACCATCGCTGGCCATGGAGGTCTTCCGCACCATGAATCTGGAAGGCATCGCAGTGACCGAGGCGACGCTAATTCACATCATGGCGATGTCCAGCCATGCCGGATCTCTGATCAGCGCGAGGGATTGCTTTGTTTCCACGTCCCAGGATTTTGGAATCGATCACAAGCTGGATCACTACAGCTGCATGGTGGATCATTTGAGCCGAGCTGGGAAATCTCGCGAGGCGGAGGAGCTGCTAAGATCCATGCCATTCGAGCCCGATTTGATCGCATGGAAATCTCTCTTGGGCGCTCGAGAGGATAATTTACAGCGGGTAGATTCTAAAACTTCCTATGTTCTAGTCAGTAATAACTTCTACATTTTCACTTGAGCCACTCTATATAAGCGATTTTAGGGCTCGTCACTAGGTCAAGCCAATGGAGAGCTTGGTGGGAGTGGGGCAAAGCATTGGTGGTCGCGATTACATGGAGGACTATTGTAGCTATCTGGATCTAGAGCATAGTCTCCTGGCCGGGGTGTTTGATGGGCACGGCGGCGATCAAATCGCAAGGTTTTGCTCGGAGAATTTCCTCCCTCACGTAGCTGGGAAGCTGGAGGAAATGGGCGAGGACGATCACTGCTATCGCGAGGCTTTGCACGACGCGTTCCTGGAGATGGACGATAAGTGTTTGAAGGAGTGTGAGTACACCAAGTTGGACGACAAAGGCTATGAGATCGTGTCCGGCAGCACGGCGGTGGTGGCACTCGTCCAGCCTCGGGAAAAAATCCTCACGGTCGCAAGCGTCGGAGACTCGCGGGCGATCCTCTCCTGGAACAAGATGGCGGTGGATCTGGCCATCGCTCACGAGCCCGAGATCCCCGAGGAGCAGTCCAGGATCGAGGCCGCGGGGGGGAAAATCCAGCCCAACGGCAGCGTCACGGGCAAGGACGAGCGGGGAATGCTGGCGATGTCGCGATCGATCGGCGACTTCGATTTCAAGCTGGATCCGGAGCTGGCGCTGGACGAGCAGATCGTGATCGCGGTGCCCGAGGTTGTGGAGGAGGAGCTCAAGGGCGACGAGGATTTCCTGGTGCTATCGTCGGATGGGATCTGGATGGACAGCCAGCAGGTCGTGGATCTGGTGGGAGGGATGATGGGGAGAAAGGTTCCACTGGGCGAGATATGCCAGAAGCTCATCGAGAAGGCTGATTCTGACGACAACATGACGGTGGTCATTGTAGATCTCGCGAAACTGAAACAAAGGTGAGATGAATTGGAGAGAGAGAGCATTTCTAAGAACCCTAATCTGCCCTAAAATGTTAAACAAAGATTTACTTTACTTTTTTAATCTTTTATGTGCTCTAAAATGTACCAGCTTACATTGAAGGGCTTAGGGTTTTTCAAAAAAGTAGTTAATTTTAAAGAACCCTAAACCAGTTACGTTAATTTACTTTACTTTTGGCAAAGGCAGGCAACAAGATTGTGTTTGAGTGAAACGAAGAAAGACGAAGAACAAGGAAGGCACAGAGGCATGAGCCGCGCATACCTGGCTTTATTCTTCCTTGCGCGCCTCTTGCTCGAGATCCGCAATGCCGAATCGCAGTGCGCCGAGCTCCAGAAATACGTCGAGCTCTCGCAGGCCTGCGACTTCTACTTCGATGGCTACCACCATCTTCCTCCCATCCTGGAGCTCAAGAACAACGAGAGTCTCACGCCTTCCATCTCCACCAGGTAAAGAGCTCTCTCTCACCTCCAAGAGCTCACGCAGCGTGATTTCTTTCCTCCAGGGACGGGAAGAAAGTGCTGAGGATCGGGGAGATCGCGCGCTGCAAAGCTTATTTCGCTGCGTCCTTCACGTTCGTCGGCGTTGGAGGAACTGGAGACTGTCACAACCAGTTTAGGATCAACAAGAACAATCAAGTAGAGCTGGCTCACTTTGGTCAGCAGCAGGGAGCTCTCGTCGATCCGTTGCAAGCCAGTGCCATTATCCTGTTCCTGGATCAGCTGGAGCTCGAGGATGGGACCTGCTTAACCGATGGAGATCACGACACCAAGTACATCGAGAGCCGGAGGTGTGTCTCGTTTCTTACCATGCCTCACCTCCACGCCGAGGTCGCAGCTCCAGTGGTGGTGATGAAGGAGTTCGTGCTCTTTCGCGAGAAGATCATGCTCGAGTTTATCCAGACGATGAGGAAGATCCAAATGAACCTGAGGCAGATGATCCAGGAGCGCCTTCTTCAGCAGTTGCCGACGTATTGAAGGCTCGAGGTCGTGGTATCCATCGGACCGGTCTTTTGTTGTTATTCTACCACCGGCCTGAAACGACAAGATAATTCTTAAGAAACAGAACAAAAAGAATAAACCATACTCTCTCGGTCGGCTGTCCTTTAGGAGATTATCGCGTTTGACGTTGGAAGTCGCATCTTTGCTACAAGCGAGACAAGTGAAACACGCAATGCTGCCGGCCTGAAAAATAAAAATCAAGTGCAGTCTCGTTCCTGTTCATTAAGGTCCTCTATAAGTTGCAGAAAGAAATTCCGAAATCAATCACCTGGCAATGGAGCTCCCAGCAATGGTGCTCTTTATTGTCCTCCTCCTTTCGAGTCATCTTGGAGCTGCCAGTGTATCTGATAGAAAGGTAAGTTGTGAACTCGAGTTACAGGAAATCTTCAATCCGTGCTTTTTAGCTGTATGTTGTCTACACGGGAAGGAGAGCAAGTCACGAAGACATTCACGCAGCTCACAAACACAACCATGCCACGCTCGCAAACGTACTTGGAAGGTATGAGAAACAAATACGCTAGCTACATGTACTGAATCAAAGACGCGGCACAGCTCCGAGGCTGTACAAGATTCAATGATCTACAGCTACAAGCATGGAATGAGAGGCTTTGCAGCGTTTCTAACTAATGAACAAGCCGATGCAATTGCAAGTACGTACCTCAGCTGGAAAACGACTGCTCTTATAACACCTTCTTGCTGTGCAGAAAAGGATGGCGTCCTCTCCGTGATTTCGAACAAACTCCACAAAGTTCACACCACGCAGTCGTGGAGCTTCTTGGCCGGAATGCCCGCACAAACTTGGACAGGAACGGAAGAATGGTACTCCAAGAAAGCTCAAAACGTGATAATTGGAATGCTGGATTCTGGTAAGTAGCACAGCAAGAAAATGAAAATCCATCAGAACAATTTGCACCTTTCTGTTCAGGAATATGGCCTGAATCCAAGAGCTTTCACGACGATGGCATGGAACCTGTGCCAAAACGCTGGAGAGGAGCTTGTGTACCTGGTGAAAAATTCACCAGAGACGACTGTAACAAGTTAGTAACAGTACAAGCTTGAGAGAGTTGACCAACAGACCTGTTGCGGCTTTGCAGGAAGATAATCGGTGCACGGTTCTACTTCAAAGGAATAAACGCCGAAGCTCCGCTAAATGCTAGCGGTGCAAACTTTACCCTGTCCGCAAGAGATGACGATGGCCACGGCACCCACACGGCGTCAACAGCCGCTGGACGAGTTGTTCTTCGCGCCAGCTTTCCCGGAAATATTGCTTCAGGCACCGCTCGAGGTGGAGCGCCTCTGGCAAGGCTAGCAATCTACAAAGTCTGCTGGAACGATTTTTGTTCGGACGCTGATATCCTTGCTGCCATTGACGATGCAATCGCTGACGGAGTGGACATAATATCGATGTCACTGGGCCCGAATCCTCCACAGAGTGACTTTTTCAGCGACACCATATCCATCGGATCGTTTCATGCGATGAGGCATGGCATATTTGTCTCTTGCTCCGCTGGAAACAGCGGCGTTCCCGGCTCAGCTGCGAACGTTGCTCCGTGGATTGCAACAGTCGGAGCGAGCTCAATCGACAGGGACTTGGCGAGTAATGTTGTCCTTGGTAACAACATGAGTATCAAGGTTGGCTGGTCTTTTGGGTCGTCACAGGTACTGACTTGGAAACACTTTGACAGGGGGAGGCAGCAAATCCGGACAGTATGGCTGCACCCTGGAGCAGGCTCGTTCCTGCTAGCAGCATCCCAGCTCCTGGAGTTCCGAGTGTAAATGCAAGGTAAAAATATATCGAAGAATTGTTAGAAACTTACTTCCCTTTATATGCCGCATGCAGTTTCTGCCAAAACAATACTTTGGACGCATCTAAAGTAAAAGGCAACATCATTCTGTGCCTTCAACCTTCCGCGCTGGATTCGAGACCGCTCAAGAGTCTGGTGATCAAGCAGCTAGGTGGCGTAGGAATGATTCTTGTTGATGAGATTGCCAAGGATATCGCAGAGTCTTACTTCCTGCCAGCAACTAATGTTGGTGCAAAAGAAGGTGCTGTGATTGCTACTTACCTCAACCAGACAAGGTATAGCTCTGCCGGTCAAAAAACTTTATCTGACCATCCGGCTGTCCGCATAGTTCTCCAGTTGCAACGATCCTCCCCACAAAAACCGTGCGAAACTTTAAGCCAGCGCCTGCTGTTGCAGTCTTCTCATCCAGAGGACCAAATTCTGTGACACCAGAAATCCTTAAGGTGAGGTTTATAGCTATGATTAAGCTGACTTACTGTATGGTTTAACAGCCGGATATTACCGCTCCTGGAGTCAGCATTCTAGCAGCATGGTCACCAGTCGCGACTAAAGCTGTCGGAGGGCGATCTGTCGACTTCAACATAGTCTCGGGAACTTCTATGTCCTGCCCTCACATTACAGGCGTTGCGGCAAATCTGATAGCCAAGTTCCCGAGATGGAGCCCCGCAGCTATTAAATCTGCAATCATGACAACGGGTATACATATACTAACACAACTTGAGAAACACAGCACTCACGTTGGATACTTGCAGCTTCGACTTTGGATAACACAGGCGCGGCAATCAACAATCAATTCTTCCAGACAGTTTCCGGGCCTTTCGACTTTGGAGCAGGACATGTGAGGCCAAACCTGTCATTGAGGCCCGGCCTTGTCTACGACACCGGCTTCCACGACTATGTCAGCTTCCTGTGCAGTATCGGCTCGTTAAAGCAACTTCACAACATAACACACGATGACACACCTTGCCCGAGTGCTCCGATCGCTCCACACAACCTCAATTATCCTTCCATCGCGGTCACCCTGCAGCGGCAACGAAAGACCGTGGTGTACCGAACCGTGACAAACGTAGGAACTCCACAGTCGCTTTACAAGGCCACTGTGAAAGCCCCGAGTGGAGTTGTCGTGAACGTAGTTCCCGAGTGCCTGAGTTTCGAGGAGCTGCACGAGAAGAAATCTTTCACGGTTGAGTTCAGCGCGCAGGCATCAAGCAACGGAAGCTTTGCGTTTGGATCACTTACATGGAGCGATGGCAGACACGACGTAACCAGCCCAATCGCCGTCCTCACATCTTAGACCGAGCCGCAAGAGGAGTCACAAGTCCCGGAGGCTAAGGTTTATAAGAACAAAAACTAGCACACTTCATGATATTTCTCGAAAAAAATTCACTGTTCTCGAATAGAACAACACAACGAAGCTTCATAAGCCAGCGATAGATGATCTAATTCATATCTACACAGGAAATCACTCGAAATTTGCACTTAGCAAAGAGGACAAAGACTTCACGAGAATGCCTGACAACGAAGCGATCTATCTAAGGATAGCACGATCGACACAATCACAGCAAAGAGAGCAGTATCGAGGCCAAAATCACACAAAAGACGCATTGGTGCCTGCATTCCTACGCGATCTTACCGGGCCGCGCATTCTCCCGCCTATAACCCATCCAAGAACCCTAGGATCTAAACCTTTGAATCGTTTTTATTGTTACTATTAACATGGGAAGAATACAAACTATCTTATAATCGTGCTACTGTCAAATGGATACATTTATGTACATTTGCCAAAGAATATGGTACTCTTTTCTCGTCACTCACGAGCATTGCCAAGCTTCTTTCTTGAGTGTGAGTTTCGCGAATCCAGCGTTGAGTAGAACACATCGTTGCTGTTGCTGTTGCTGCTGATGCTGGTAATAAGCCGCTGCCATTCTCTGGACTATCGACGCTTGCTGGTGGAGACCGCAGCTCATCGTCACCGGCTGGGAAGCCATCACCGGACCACACGAGGCCATGTAAAATCCTCCGCTTCCATTCTGGGTTCCAGCAGCTTCGCTCGCTCGATCCATAGCTGCGAATATCAGCTTCGTTGGTCGATGCTTCTCCCTGCAAAGATCGATCGAATTACCTTGAGACTCTCGTTATATCATCCACTTAAGAGCTTTCGGCCTGCCGGTTCTCGGCCTTCCACAAACTTTCTGAAACAAAGAATCATATTAGAAGCTGCGCATAGTGAAGTTACCGACCTTTGAGCAGGAGAGTAGAGCAGAAACTAGTAAAGCTACAGACCTCTTCTCTAGATTTTGAGAGCTGGATTTTGCGGTTCTTGGCGTCCAGTCCAGCTACTTAAGGGGACAGCCGAAGGACGTAGACAAATTTCCTAGCATCGCTGTTCCACCTGCGCCAGCTTACCTTCAGTTACTCCGTCTCACACCAGCCATCGATACTCTGTCTCACGGCATGTTATGTCGAAATGGAAAAGTCCAGAGCAAGAGTACGACACCATGTCAGAAAAACAAAACATCAAAAAACTCCAGCGGGGAAGTTACCTATAAGAAGTGGAAATTCCTCACTGAAGCTATCCATTGGATTCGATACCTCGACAAATGATGCTTTTACGTAGATATGAGGCCGCTTTTCCTCCTCTTTTTCCCGTCGGGAGTACCATGGAGCTGGGGCTTGCAGTCGTAGGTGCGCAGTTGGAACGCCTCAAAAGCTTCGGACACTGCTTCGACCTGTACGTGGACACAGTAAGTCATGTATTGGGCTGAGCGATCACGTAAACTTACGAGCTCTGGTTTTTTGGCATATACGCGAACAATCCTGTCCACGCAGTGATCAGAATAAAACCCGCTCAAGTTCTGTCTGTCCACCGTAAACTTGACAGAGTCATCAAACTCCTGTTTGAAAAACGTCAAAATAGCCCTTGCAATTCAGTAGCCATTGTCTGTTACCTTGAAAAAGTGCACCCTGTATACAGAGCCACACCAAGTAAGTACGAGGCCTACGGAGAAAAATAAGTTACTAGTTTTACCCAGATAAAGGATCGGGCTTTCCACAAGCAAGGTCTATCTTCACGTTGCTAACGACAATGTCATCTTCACAAATTTTTGCCCCAGATTTCTGCATAGAAAGTAAATTATGACAAGTGGCATACAAGCTACGTACCGCGCAGCAAACAATGTCTTTGGCGGTGACGTCTTTGAAATGTTCAGTTTTTTCCTTTGGAACAAGGTACTCGTTACAAAACTACACGTTAAAAGAACTTAGGGGGAACAAAGCACGAAAGTTTTTGGAACCTGATAGAGTCCTTGACCACATCTCTTCATTCGCCAGACCAGTTCTCTCGCTTCCTTGAGCTCATCCACATCTGAAGTTTCGATCGCTTTCAGAAGAGAGTCGTCCATCTGAAACTCAAAGCCAAGCCTAAGCAAATGCAAAAGACGGATAAGTTTACCTTCCAGAATTGTTCTGGGTCAAAAACTCCTGCCGATATTCCCAGATAGTCGTCAGAGAGTACCAGCACATCCGCGAGCATAAGCTCTAAAGCCTGTCAAAAAGAAGGATAAACTGTCGGAGATGGACCAGACAAAACCGATGTACCTTGACTTTCCGATGAGTATAGATTTTTCGGAAAAGATCTGCTCTCGTTCGAAACAGATTCCACACTTCCATGGCTGGAATAAACGTGTAAGACAAACATAGCTGGGTTGCTTCCCTCACCATCAGTTGCAAGGTAGCAAATCTCGTTGTCGATGACTTTAATATTGTCCATCAGCCTGGAAAAGAAAGTAAAATTCGCCTCACCAAGACAGCCAGTGAAAATGAAATGCGACAATTTACCTGCCGAGCGTAAAGTTCGAAGTTATACCGCATGCACGAGAGTCTCGAAGAATGTAGTCAAACCTACACAGAAACTATAAACAATGCGGAGATGATAAAATACTCATATACTTATCCACGTCAATGGAGTTGCGTCCGTTAGCCACGATGTCAAAGAGAAAGGTCTTCTCGTTGTATTCCTGACGGACACACGCGCAAAGATACAAGTCAGGCCTTGGTTTAAGAACTTTTCAAACCTCAATCAGCGAAGGGTTCTTGCTGGATAAGATCATATCCTGCAAAATGTGATCGAACGCCGTGTGAGTAAGCAAGAAAAAAAACTTGGTCTGTTACCTTGACTCGCTTAAGATCAGTGGAACTAATGTCGATGTGATTCACATCCACTATGTAGTCGATCATCCTCGTTGACATGTCCTCGTGAGACCTGCATCGCCCTTATATATCACCATGTTAACAGACCGAAGTTCTCGCACCACTTGTGTCCTGGCATAATCCGAGGAAGGAACTCGTTGTCAAAGACATGACTAAAGGGACCATGTCCAACATCGTGAAGTAGGCCTGCGAGGAAGCTTTTAGCCGTTCGTAAGTTTTGGAAAAGAGATTACCTGCCAAGCTCACGGTCGTGATATCAGAGGCGGTGATCCCCAACTCTGGCTGACAAAAACTCGGTTATCACGGGGAAAAACTAGAGCACGGAAAAAGATAACGGGTACGTTCTTCGCGAGATTTTCGACTGTCATGCGAGCGAGCTTGTAAACACCCAAAGAATGCTCAAACCTCGAATGCGATGCGCCAGGGTAGACCAAGTAGCAAAGTCCTGAGAGACAAAATAATAGAGAAAGTGAAGAAGAAAGATTTAGCCCCGATCCATACCAAGTTGCTTGATATCACGCAGCCTCTGGAATTGTAGCGAATCCACGAATTTCAAGCTTAGCTACGAGAGAAAGAAAGGGAAATAGTAGCAATCGATCAATGAGCTTTCTGGAAATTCTTACCGGATCCACGTAAGTGTTACCGTGGAGATTATCGAGAATCACCTTGTCGCGACGCCTCGGCTGCATTGATCGCGGGAGCGCATCTTCATTCAATGCGCCCATTTTCTTGGTAGAATCACCAGAAACTCCAGAAGAACCCTACTTTTTCTACATTCCAGCAACAGCAAAAGGCGATCGATTGCAGCGCCAGCGATTCATCCGATCCAGCTTCAAATATTTTCTGGTAATCGATCGATCCAGCGCAGCTGATCGCGACGAGCAACAAAGAAGAATAATCTCAAGGCGGACCGTCCGGTCTAGGGCGTCCACGTGGTCGAATCCGGGAGCTGCTATTATCCGCTTTGCCTTCCCGTTCTTGTGAAGGATGAAGCCGGGGCAGTTTTTCTAGGGCTCCAGAGGATGGACGATGGCGCCCAGCAGGCGCCGTCGTGGCTCTCGATCGTCGCGGCGGCATTTCTAGGCGCTGGATCCGTGGCGATTTCGGCGCTATGGATGCACAGGCGCGTCGTGGAGCGAGTGCTGGAGCAGCGATTGCGCAAGATCACGGAAGGTATGGAGAGGGAAATCATAGAAGAAAAGGGAAATAGGAGGAGCAAGCTAAAGAAGCCGCCGCTCTTGCGAAGGGGCCATTCCGTGCCGCCTCACCAGGACGTGAGGCATGCCAGTCCTGTGGAGATTTGGTGGTCCGAGAATGGGAAGGCTTCCGGGGAGGAGGAGAAGCTAGTGCCTGGTAGCAGCTCGCAGGCTGCGGAGATCCAGCAGGAGGAAAGCGCGGCTCCAGTAGAAAATGCGAAGAACTTGAAGGATTCAGCTGCTAGTGAAGCTGGAAAGACTGTGGAAAGTGGAAGAACATCGTCACTGAGTTGCAAGTCGAGATCCAAGTCGACTTCTTTGTCTTCTGATCGTGACCAGGAGGACGATAAATCGCAAGTGTTTCCTGTCTTGCCGAAAGTTCGCACTCGTCTCGAAGGTGATATTCATCTGCTCGAATTTATAATTTTCTGGGATTTTCTAGCAGAAAGTGGCCAAACTTTCAATCATTCCGCATCAAACAGGAGAACTGCACACTTGAGACCATCCTCTCCTCCTAAGTCTGGACTTTTTGATTTGGATGGATCGGATGAGGATTTGGATATGTTGAATGACAAAGAAGACGCTGTTCTTGTCGATGAAATTTGTGCAATCGAGGAAGCTGTAGCCAATGAATGCTTTGAGGAGCCATTGTTGAGGATGGTACGTTACAGTGGCTGATGACATGAAAATTCTGGTATGCTTTGCTCTTGTTTGTGTGTTCTGATTGGTCGAATGAGTGTCATCGTTTTGCAGGATGACGATCCAAAAAACTTTGGACTATCACATTCTCCGAGCTTGGAATGCTTGGTCGCATCATTAGAGCAACAAACTGAGAAGTCTGAGACACATTCAGCTAGGCCGCATAGTCTTGCAGACGAGCTTCTCGGAGCGCCTGATCCTGTGGCTGCTGACATTCTAAGAAAGGAGCCACAACAAGAAACGTTTGTTCGCATGAAAGTCACACCCTATGGTACGTATAATCCTCATCATCGTTTCTGACTCCTCCTCTCACATATTTTATGTATCAGATCCGCCTACAGCCGAAGAAGAGGAAGTTTGCATTGTGCTACAGCAGTGTTTGGCTCTAAGAGAAAAATATTTATTTGTGGAAAAGGATCCACCATGGCGGAAAGGAATGTTTTGTGCATCAGGATTTAATCCAGATCCTTTCCACTACGAACCAGAACCTCGATCGCAGGTTTGCTCTTTTTTAAATGAGCTTTGACTAACTAACATAGCTAACGTCCAGCATGTTTTTAAAGAGATAGATGGTGTTATACATGTTTATGCAAATTCAGAAGGTATGTCCTTGCTACCATGAAAACTTCTAAAGTGGTGTTTTCAGCAAAGGAGGAGTTGTTTCCCGTTCCTGACGCAACTACATTCTTTACGGACATGCACCGAATACTTAGACTTACAGGACTAGGAAATGTGCGAACCTTCTGTTACCATCGGTTACATCTTCTGGAACAGGTAGATCGTATCCTTGCACTTAGAAACATCTAACATCTGAATCTCCTTACTGCAGAAATTTAGCCTTCATCTCATGCTTAATGCGGACAGAGAGTTTCTTGCTCAGAAGAGTGCCCCCCATCGAGATTTTTACAACGTCAGGAAGGTTGACACTCACGTGCATCATTCATCTTGTATGAACCAAAAGCATCTTTTGCGATTTATCAAGTCAAAGCTGAGAAATGAACCCGACGAGGTGACTTACAATCTAAAAGCTTTTATATGGATACACTCAACTGTTTCTTGCCAAGTCAGGTTGTTATCTTTCGGGATGGCCAATATCTTACTCTTAAGGAGGTCTTCGAAAGCTTGGACTTAACAGGGTATGTTTTAGCGGCGATACATTGCAGAAGAATTGGTGTAATTTTGGTATTGCTAGGTACGACCTGAATGTGGATTTGCTTGACGTCCATGCTGATAAAAATACGTTTCATCGCTTCGACAAATTCAATCTTAAGTACAATCCTTGTGGTCAAAGCCGGCTTAGAGAGATCTTTCTGAAGCAGGACAATCTTATCCAGGGTACCTTTTGAAATCAGTAAGCTTTTCATATACAATCCATGCACTCCTCAGGGCGCTTCTTGGCGGAGCTAACAAAAGAAGTTTTTCAGGATCTTGCTGTCAGCAAGTACCAGGTATCATTTAAAGTGGCAGCTATTCCATTCTGGTGGAACTTAAATCCTGCAGATGGCGGAGTACAGGATATCCGTATATGGAAGAAAGCAAAGTGAGTGGGATCAACTGGCAAGCTGGATTGTAAATAACGAGCTTTACAGCGAAAACGTTGTATGGCTTGTTCAAGTAGGTAGTCCGATTTCCTTAAGTTGGTCTTACTCTGTGTGATACAGGTTCCTCGACTCTACATATTTTACAAGATGATGGGCATTGTTACATCCTTTCAAACCATATTGAACAATTTGTTTCTTCCATTATTTGAAGTCACGATTGATCCTGGTTCGCATCCGCAGCTACACATATTTTTGAAACAGGTAATCTCTTGACAGTTTCTCTCGTCGTTTTATCACGGTGTGTAGGTGGTAGCATTCGATATGGTTGACGACGAGAGTAAACCAGAGCGTCGTCCAAATAAACATATGCAAACTCCTGCACAGTGGGATATCAACTTTAATCCGGCCTACTCGTATTGGGCGTACTACATTTACGCCAACATGTACACTTTAAACAAGGTAGAAACTTTCAAGAACAGTTCATGGATGATTCTTGTATTTCTGTGTTGGCAGCTCCGTGAGTCCAGGGGTTTGTGCACAATTAAGTTTCGGCCTCATTCCGGAGAGGCAGGAGATTTGGATCACTTGGCGTCCACGTTTTTACTGGCTCACAACATCGCTCATGGAAACAACCTCAGAAAATCTCCTGGACTTCAGTATCTTTATTACCTCGCCCAGGTTTTATCATGTTTGGTTTTTCGTCCCGCACTTTAACCTCTCCTTTTTCTTGTGGTTCGTTTGGTAGATTGGTCTGGCTATGTCTCCCTTGAGCAACAACTCTTTGTTTTTGGATTACCACCGTAATCCTTTTCCTATGTTTTTCTCACGAGGTCTCAATGTTTCCCTGTCAACGGATGATCCACTTCAAATACATCTTACTAAAGAACCACTAGTGGAGGAATACAGCATTGCCGCTCAGGTACGCTCTAAAGACGATCTCAAGCTTAAGTTCTCGTTTGTGTCTCAGGTCTGGAAGCTGAGTTCCTGCGACCTGTGTGAAATCGCAAGAAACTCCGTCTATCAGTCGGGTTTTCCTCATCACATGAAGGTCTCTCTTTTTCCACGTTTTGTCAAGCATAACTTGGTGCTCTCCAGCTTCATTGGATTGGACACAAATACTTCAAACGGGGAGCTGCGGGGAACGACATCCACAAAACCAACGTACCTCATATCCGTGTAGAGTTTCGATACGAGGTGAAGCAAGCCTTCTTCTAGCACTCTATCTTGATTCGTTCGCTCGTTTTAGACTTGGCAAGAAGAATTGCAATACATATGTTTGGGAGGCGCCAGAATCTCGGAAGAAATCGATCCATAAGGAGAACTCGACGGCTACGATGGCCTTGTCTTATACCCATTCAAAATGGACGTACAAGACTTGTTAGAAAGATTTCATGGAGGTTAGGTATCTTGATTAAAGTAAACCGATTAAGGCAAGTCGCTCGATCAATGTCGAGCGAATGATCTTATAGAGGTTCGATCGATGTGTTCCAATGCCACAGAAGTGAAGCCCCTCTTTGGCTTTGTGATGCTCATGAGTAAAGTCACAACGATTGAACCTGATCGAGATGAAAACCTCTAAAGACTTTAAACATTTGTTAAGCTCGTAGGTTCTAAGAAACAATGTCTGATTGTACATCTAGCGGATCTCCTCGTCTAAATGATCGAGAAACCAGAGGCTTTGAGATGCTCATGAGTAAACTCTTTGTTTTCCTCAAAGCTTGTTGAAACTGTTGTTTCAACAAAAGGTTGTTCAAAGTCTTTTGGAGGTTTTCAGACGGATGTATCTCCATTGTCTGATTGTACATCTTAGGTTGTTATCTTTCGGACTTTTTAAAGAGGTCTTCGGGTATGTTAGATCGGCAAACCGTTGTAGATTTGCTTTCCTTTAGTACTCTTTTTGATGCGTTCTTTTCAGACTTGGCAAGAAGAGTTGCAATACATATGTTCTCGGAAGAAATCGATAACACAGCTAAGCATTATTTGTATGAGCATGCATGCTTTCATATTGTCTTGTACTCGACGGCTACGATGGCCTCATCTTAAACCCAATTCAAACTGGACGTATAGGATTTGCTGGAAGGATTTACAAAAGTGATGGATATATGGTAGCACAAGCTCTAGGGCTTCAATTGGATATGGCGGCAATCTGATTTGCATCGATCGAGCAGCGAACACATTGAGATCGCGGTTCATCTTTTGGGTAGGGCATGGATGCGGGAATCACGCGGTAGAGAAGAACAGGGCCCAAGAAGTAACACACCAATGCGCAGTTAAAAGAGAGCAAATTGTAGGGTTTTTGTGAGCGCCGGCTCAATGGCAGCGATGATGGCGGTGCCTCCCGAGGCCCGCGAGCGCGCCGTGGCGCTCCTCCACGACGCCCAATTGCATCCCGACGCCGCGGCCAAGCTCGATTCTCTCCGGGAGCTCAGGGAGCTGGCGCTTCACAGGGAGCCGCGGCTTCTCCCGGAGCTCCTGCCCGTGCTGCTGGAGCTGCGCAACGATCGCGCCAGCGCCATCCGCAACTTTCTTGTCGAGTGAGTTCCTCCTCTTCTGACCTAATCTAGGCGCGGCTCACAATGTAGGGTGATCTTTCTTGCTCCCAGGATCATCGAGGAGGTCGGGCTCAGGCAAGTGGAGTATGTTCCGGTGATGATGCCAGTGCTCTTGACATTGCTCCGGGGCGAGCCGGCCTTTGCTCGGCGTGCTATCACTGCTGGTACCAATTTGTTTCGCCACACCTTGGAGTATGTCTTGTTGAAGGTATGGCTCTTGTTCTTGGTGAAAAAGAAGAAGAGTTTCTGATGGTTTCTTGTGCTATTCTTTTTTCAGGGGATTTATACGAGGCAAGTGGATAAGTTCATGCAAGATTCTTGGATTTCAGTTCTTCAGTTCAAGGAGTTTGTGTATCCCTTTGCTCAGCAGGTATGGGAAGAAAAGAGAGGTGTATCTTGCGTTTTTCTGAAGTAAGTTTTTGTACTAGCATGGCAACGACGGGGTACGTTTGCACGCTGTGAAGTTTATCGAGACTGTGATTTTGCTCTTCACTCCAGACCCTAGTGGTCCTTCGCAGCCACCGCTACCGGATCGACTCGATGGTAGGACACATATTGAAGTGTCGCAGTTACAGATTTTTTCTGGTGTTTTTGTTTCAGGAACGTCAAAAGGGATAAACGTGTCCTGGATAGTGTCTGGCCATCCACTCTTAGATGCCACAGCCATGGGTCAAGAGGCGAGCAAATCGTTGGGATTGTTGCTGAACCAGCTGCGGCAACCTGACGTTTCGGCTCTTCCGGGTCCCGTCGCCATTGTCATCGTGAATAGGTACTTTAATTTTCAAGCTTTCAAAACGTCAATTGAGTGGATTCTTATTTGGGAAGGGAATGAGCAGCTTGGCAGCCATTGCGAAACGAAGACCGTCGTTTTACGGGCGCATCCTTCCTGTGTTACTTTCACTGGGACCAAGTTGTGAAGCGATCAAAGGTGGTCAAGTGGCCAGCGTGGTTACTGCCTTGAAGAATGCCTTTGTCCAGCTTCTAAAATGCACGTATCCTGCGGCAGCACCGGTATGCATTTTTTATTGTCACTTCTTCCTTTGTAACTTCGTTATTCTTGGCAGTGGCGCGATCGTCTCACTTCGGCACTGCGCCAGATGAATGCCGGAGACGTTGCAGACTTGGCAGTCGAGAGAAGCAGCAGGGGTGGCGAAAGAGAGTCGAGAGAGTCGAGTTCCCGCTCCAACCGAGTAAAAGTGCCGAATAAGCCATTTCTTTTTCCTCCTGTAACGATGTGTGTATTTGTAGGAAGAGAGACAGGATCCACGAAACAAGAGACCCCCACCGCAAGAAAATGGCAATGACGAAGAAAGCTATGGAAAACGCTTGCGGACTACTCCGCCGCCCCCGGTTCAGCAGCATTTTCACCCGGATGCATCCGGATACGCGAATGGAGCGGGTCTACCTCCCATACAGCAGATGATACAGATGTTTGAGGCACTTGCGGCCAAAGGAGAAATCGCTTCGATCGACTTGCTCATGTCGAGGCTCCCTCCTGATACTCTGGCTGATGTCGTGATTGTCAACATGCAAAATCTTCCACCGTCTGTTCCTGCGGACTTCATGGACAAGCCGCAGCTATTGCCGCCGCCTCCGCCGCCCCCACCTATCGAGCCCGTGGCTATGGATGGCAGACGAGATCCACGAAGGGTGAGAATGACTCTTTGCTACTTGATACTAAATCTCTAATTTTTTTTCTTTGGTGTAGGATCCCCGCCGTATGGATCCCCGTATGGATCCCCGTCGCTTACCATCGCCAGGTCCTCCAATGGTGATGCCAAAGCAGGAGGACTTACAGCAGCCAGGAGTGCCTCCTGTTTTCAGAACTGTGAAGGCAGAGCCCGTGTCTCCGCCTGTGATGAACAGCAGGGATCCAAGAGCTTCCTTGAAAGCTACGTCCGTGAAAATGGAACCGACGTTTACGCACGTAAAGTCAGAACCGGACGAGGATATGGGGATTCGGACCATCTCAACGATGTATGGTGCACTGTATCCTTCTAGTGATGCCCTTGACGATAGACAAGAAGCAGGAACTTCCGGGGCTGGTTTGTCCAGCTTCCTTCCTGTGGTGACGTTAAGTAATGAGCAACGGGCGACTCTTGGAAACTCTGCGTTGACACGCATATTAGAAGGAAGCAAATCAGTCTCGGCCGCTGGTGGTGGTGGTTTGAGGATCGCGTTATTAGCGCGTCTGACTGCGCAGGCAAGTATTTCGTATTTCGTGAAAACTGTTGTAAACTAATTTACCTTTTTCCTTCAGTCGGCTGAGGCTTTGAATACTTTACAAAAGCACATACTTGCGGACTATGCGAATCATATGGTACGTAAGTACAGATAAAAGTGATTGTAGTCACGTTTATGTCTTTCAGGGTCATGAACTTGCGCTACACGTTTTCTATGAACTGTACCTGATGCACATAGCTGGTGGAGATAGTATAGAGAAATACGAAAACTTTTTTGTATCTTTGGTAAGCTTATATTCATGCAAGAAATTTGACAACGTTGTCTTCAAACAGAGCCAGGGGTTGAAAGATTCGCTACCTCCGTCAGACAAGTCTTTGAGCAAGCTGTTGTGCGAGATCCCGTTGTTTCCGGAGGGAGCATTTGCGCTCTTAGAAAGTCTTTGTAATCCGATCAATGAGCCCAATGGTGATCGCGTTACACAGGGCTTAAGCGCTTTGTGGAGTCTCATCTTGCAACGTCCGGCAGTTCGGGAGAGGTGTTTAAATATGGCTTTAGAGGTATTTTGTTTTTGGTGTTTTGGCCTGGACGCGTCCCTGACCATCGTTTTCATTTTGCAGTGCGCTGTGCACGAGGTCGATGACGCTCGAACAAAGGCCATTCGTTTGGTAAGCTTCCAAGTAAATATCATGTCACGAATTGAACTTTGGGTGCCTTCAGGTTGCAAATAAACTGTACCCTGTGACCTTCATTTCACAAAAAATTGAAGAGTTTGCCACTAAAATGCTATTATCTGTTGTAAATGTCGGAGGACATAATGTAGACAGTGAAGCTCAGGAACGGAGCACGCTACAGGTGCTTCTGTTTTTTTGTAAACATGACTGGAATCTTAAAGGTGCTGTGTCTTTCGTAACAGGAAGTTGCTCCCGGCGATCAAGAAGCGAATGCAGCCGACGGCGGGGGAACCAAAGCAGAAGCCCAACGTTGTATGTCACTTTATTTTGCTCTTTGTACCAAGGTCAGTTATTTCATGTCCAGTGTCTGTTTATTACATGTAAACTTACCTGCAGAAACATGCTCTTTTGGGCGAGCTATTCAATGTATACGATCGAGCACCAAAGCCAGTAAAGCAAGCAATTCATCGGCAAATACCTGTTCTAGTCCGGACGGTCGGACAATCTTCCCCAGAATTACTAAGTATCATCTCCGCTCCTCCACAGGGCTGCGAAAACTTGTTACTACAGGTAATGGATGACTCGCCGATCATGGCTGGCATTTTTTTACGTTTTGCATGAATAGGTCCTACATGTTCTGACTGAAGGAACCACGCCATCGCCGGAACTTATCAAAACGATAAAACAGCTCCACGAGACCAGGATAAAGGTGACTGCCTGGAAATCAATCAGCTAGTTAAATATGTTCTTGTGCAGGACGCGGTATTTCTGATCCCAATCTTGTCGTCACTTTCAAAAGAAGAGGTTTGCTTGTGGCGAAGTTTTGTATCGCAAATTACTGACTGGGAAATGGTTCAGGTTCTTCCAATTTTTCCGCGGTTGGTTGATCTACCACCGGACAAGTTTCAAGTTGCACTGGCGCGTATCTTGCAGGTAGGCTGTAGCGATTGATTGGCTTGGTTGGCATTTCATAAGCGTTGGAAACGGCAGGGCTCTGCGCACACAGGTCCTGCTTTGACACCTGCCGAAGTGCTCATTGCTCTTCACGGTATAGATCAGCAACGTGATGCAGTTCCTTTGAAGAAGGTACTTGTTTCTTTTCTCCAGCAGGAAGGTTACATATCTATGATTTTCAGGTCACGGAAGCTTGCTCGGCATGCTTGCAACAGCGAAATGTCTTCAATCAGGACGTTTTAGCGAAAGTCTTGAATCAGTTGGTAAGGCCTCTGGTTCGTATCTTCCATTACGTAACATTTTGGAAACTTGATCAGGTGGAACAAACACCTCTTCCAAAGCTATTTATGCGAACTGTCATTCAAGCTGTTGGAACGTTTCGGTCTTTGGTATGGTTTTCCATGCGTTTACGTCATTGCCTGAAAATCTTCGATTTCCCGACAGGTGGGTTTCGTCATGGATATTCTACTCAGACTTGTCAACAAGCAGGTACTTCTCTCGCGTTCTTTCGCCTTCTTCTTCGAACGTGTTTAATTTAGTTTTCTTACTCGCATATCGCGTTCCCAGATCTGGAAGACTCCTCAATTATGGGTTGGATTCCTCAAGTGCGCGAGCGAAACCACACCGCATTCCTTTCGTGTCTTGCTACAGGTACTACTGTTTATCACTCGCAATTGTAAATAACACGCTGCTTCTTTTATTACGCGAAGCTTCCAACCGCGCAGCTCGAGAACGCTCTCGTGAAGCATCCAACGTTGAAAACGCCGTTGGCCGCGCATGCGAGCCAGCCGAGTGTCCGGTCCTCCGTTCCCAGGTAAGAAAAGAAAAAAATCTTCTCTTTTTGGTTTAAACTTTCGATCTAGACTTTCGGTCTAACTTTTGTCGGTGTGTCTCGAAGGTCGTCGCTGGTATTGCTTGGAGTGATCCAGGACGACGTAACAGCGGTCGAGGCGGCTAGTGCGCCATCATCGTCAGGGAATGCTCCACAACAGTGAAAGGGAGGACACGCTCGTTCACACGCACGCGGACTCCAAACCAGGCACTCAATTTTGTTGATAAAATCTTTAATGCGAATATACTACGTCCCCATCCAGCCGTGCGTATCCGACGGCGGTCAGCGGCCGTGCATTAAATATCTGCCATTAGGGCATGGCGCCAGGCTGACCTGGCAACGTGTTTTTTTGCCCTTTCCACCAAAATATATATTTTCTGATACCCCTTTTGTAGGGTTAGGGTTTCTAGGGTTTGCGTGACGAAGACGAGTAGCAGCGAGTAGCGAAGCAGCAGTAGCGCGGACGAGCAGTGAGCAGCGAGCAGAGAGCAGCGAGGAGTGATTTCTCTGGGATTGTGAATCGAGCGATCAATTGGATTGCAAGTCTGGCTCATACCGAGCAGCGATCGGTGGCGCATTCGATCGAGCTATGGCGGCAGGGGCAGACATATCACAGCCTGTGGGGGCGCTGGAGCAGCTCCCTGCTGGAGGAGGGGCGGCCGGCGCATCCAGCGATCCCATTGCGAAGCCGCCCAAGCCGGTGTACACGGCCACAATTACAGCGTGCCTGACGGCCACTACCACCACTACCACCGCCAGTGTGGGGAGCGCCGGGGCGGGATCTACGGTTTGCAAGTGCGTGAGCACGGTGAGGTTAGCTATGTCGGAAGTGGTAAGTTTCTCTCGAGCAAATGGGTCTATGGTTTCTTAGAATTGCCGCTCTTTGGTTTTTTTCTTCTTTGCGGCTTGCTCGTAAGGTGGAGGAGACTTCTGACCAGAAGGAGGAGGAGATCGCCATCTTCGTGCCGATGATCCGGTCTGGGGAATGGACTGATATTGGGGGGCGGGGACTTATGGAAGACGCGCATGTTAGAGTGGACGATTTGAGGCCTATGGGCGATGCTCCTGGGGCGTTCTATGGAGTGAGTTTCTTCGCTTTCGTTTGTTCTTGCTATTTCGTGTGCTCATTTTCCTCGGTTTTGTTTTCTGGGATGTAGGTGTTTGATGGTCACTGTGGCAAAGATGCCGCACTGTTCGTGAGGGAGCACCTCCTTGGATACATTCTGAGAGACGTGTCCTTCCCTGCGTGCTTGGAGGATGCTGTACGTCATGGCTTTTACCAGACAGACCACGCGTTCGCTGAGGCGTGCCTTCTAGACGAGCAGCTGCAATCTGGAACTACTGCGCTCACTGCTTTCGTGATTGGAAGGTTCGCCGCGTTTTTTTTCCTTTTTTCTTTTCTCTCCAGAGGCTTCCAGATGTGTAGTTCCTGACACGCGTACCACTTTTCTTTTTGTTTTTTTTTTCCTGGCAGGAGACTTCTAGTTGCGAATGTGGGCGACTCCAGAGCTGTGCTGTCAAGACGAGGCAAGGCCGTGGAGATGTCACGGGACCACAAGCCGGTGGTGGAGCGGACAAGGATAGAAGCCTTGGGTGGCTTCGTCGACGATGGCTACCTCAACGGCCAGCTCGCGGTGGCCCGAGCTCTGGGGGACTGGCATATGACGGACTTGAAGGTCGGGGGTCCGCTTATCTCGGAGCCGGAGCTCCGCCAGGCCATCCTCACCGAGGAGGACGAGTTCCTCATCATCGGCTGCGACGGGCTTTGGGACGTTTTCACGAGCCAGAACGCCATCGATCTGGCCAGGAAGGAGCTGCAGCAGCACAACGATCCGGACCTGTGCTCCAAGCAGCTGGTGGCGGAGGCGCTGCGGCGCAACACGAGCGACAACTTGACGGTGGTGACGGTGTGCTTCCACGCCGACTGCCCGCCCCGGCTCTCGTCGGACACGAGAATACGCAGGAGCTTCTCGGCCGAGGGGTTGAAAAGCGTCCAGGATTTTTTAAACAGGTGCTCTTGAGCCGGGGGGATAATGATGACAACCATGAAGAACAGGAGAACAGGGTGATAGAATTTCTCTTTTTTTTTTTCTCTCGAGCTAGAAGAGATGGAGAAGATAGAAGAACAGGAGGACAGGACGGGGAGGGACACTAACATACTTGAGGCAAACATGTATCATAGTTTCGAAGGTAGCATAGGGGGGAGACTGGGAGTTTTTTCTTCTTTTTGGTTTCTACTACAATGGCTGATTTTTGGGGGAATAAGCGAGACAAGGGAGGAGCTCTTGGAGACGAAGAAAAAAAAAAATTGCCTCTTGTGTTGCGAGGAAGGAAGACTATGATTCTTGGGACGCATGGAAGCGGGATTGTCCTCAATAAAATGCGATGATTTTATACTTATAGAGCATATGTCTTACATAATGTCGCGAGAAATGTTTTATTACACGTGGAGAGGCGAGCGGTAGAACAGCGTCATGATCCACGGGAAGAACATTTGGACGACGCCTTCGGCTTGTATGATCGGGAAGATGATGCTTGCCGCTCCCTGTAAATTAAATCTATGACTGTAAGAGAAGAGCTTGCAAAGTTGTCTAAGTTTTTGTGTACCTTGACGAGCCGGAAGGCCACCCAGAAGTTTTTCGGAGATGGATACCGCAGTAGAAGGCGGCCCACTCCAAAAAAGGCCACTGCGAAGAAGTGAGCGACGAGGCTGAGAGGACGAGGATTCAAGCCCGAGAGTAGAGCCACTGGACCGCTCGAGAAAACTCCTCCCAGGCTTAAGTAGTCGAAGCATGCCTGTGTCATCTCGGTCATTGCAACGTCGGGCGACGCGCAGAAAACTCTGTAGAGAGCACCGGCTAGAGTGTTTATCGTCGATGCAACAGGCTGCAAGACGATCGATGGCTTTAAGTACGAGTAGAAAAGTTAGTTTTTGAGAGAACACCGTTACCTTTCGTCTCGTGTAAAAGGCTTGGAGGTAACTGCAAACGGCAGCTTGGTCTTGAAAGCTTACCACCGGCCGCAACATGTCTCTGAGAAGCACAACGTCGGATAATGCGACCGTCATTCCACCTCCCGTTAGTGGATGACGCATGTTGAAAGCATCGCCCAAGAGTAATGCGCCCGGTTTCGGAATGGGGACAGCGGGCATGATCTTGTTTTCCATGCTGCGGATCTTGGTTGTGTCACTTGCAGCGGCAATGAAAGAGTCTCGGAGCTGGACAGGGAGCTGTGCAAAAAACAGTAAAAACCAAGACGAGTTTGGAATGAAAACCGAGAACGTACCTGAGGAGCAACGTTGTTTATGAGATGGTGAGCCATCTTTCCACTTCTAACTGATTGCATGACTTCCTTGGGGCAGTCCACCAGGCACCGAATCTCAGTGTTGCTGATTGGATAGAACAGAATCGGCGAGGGATTCGCCAGAACGACATGACCAAAATTCGAGTATGGAAGCTGGCAGTTCTCAAGTATCAAACCGACGAAATGCGATGGCACGTCAACCTGCACAGAAAAAACACACACAGGTGCTTTGCATTTAGACGAGACGCTTACGGAAAAACTCCAAACTTACCTTTGGCGTGCAAAGATTTTTCCTCAAGTTAGAAGAGTATCCATCGCAGACGAAAGTAATAGGCGCATAAGCTTCGACCACTTGTACTCCGTCCTCCTTCTTTACTCTGTATCGTACCCCCTTCACGATTCCATCGCCCTCTATCAACGACAAAACTGTTCCTTCAACCAATTTAACACTGCCAAGGAAAAAACATGGGAAACGTGATGCACAGACAACATAAAAAAAAAAATTGGACAAACTTACGTGTGGAGCGAATCCGCCTTTTGTCGCAGCCTCTGGACAAATCGCCCATGATGGAAGCTCCTCCCAGCAACATCCTCGGAGCGACCTTTCAAGGGGTACCCGACTTTGGCATCTCGTCCATCTTTGAAGAGAGCATAGCCGTGTACTCTTTGCGCCTCTATCTCGTCCACACAGTCTGTATAGAATATCGCAAACTCAGTCAAGGCAAAGAGGAGAAACAAAAGAAACAAAGTAGAAAAGAATGAGCTCAGTACCTTTCATTCCAAGCTCCACGAGCTTGAGATAGCCACCGGGTTGTAGCAGCTCTCCAACGATTCTATCCGGCTCGGAACAATCCCTCTCGATCAACAAAACTCTTCGCGAATCCTGTTAATGGCTGTTAAACACAGATTTTTTTTAGAGCTGGAAAGAAATCACCTTGCCAAGCGCGTACGCGAGGGCGGCCCCAGCGATCCCCGCTCCAACCACGATGCAATCCACCGCATCGCCCTCTCGCTCGACGCCGAAAGCGCCCCTCTCCTTCTCCGGCGGGACTAATGCTGCAGCGACATTGCTGCTCTTGGAACTCACCTTTCGCGAGAGCGCTGTGACAGTGAGCGACATTAAGAGCGCGAGCAGCGCGACCACGATGCTGAGAGGAGGCAGCAAGAAGATGTGGCGCATCAGACCCTGCGCCATTCCCAGATCGCTCATTCCTCCTCCACCCATGCATTCTAACCCTAGTTCTTCGCTTGACGTGGTCCAATCACTGCCCTAGAAGAGATTGCTTTGTCTTAAAAGTGCTGGGCATTTAAAGATTTGCCACGTCAGTGATAATTAGGGTTTGGGAATATTTCGGCTAGGGTTTAGCATGGGGAAGAAGCGCGCCAGCGATCGCGCTGCTAGCGATCGCGCGGCGGCGGAGGATTGCGATGGTGATCGGTGTCGGATTGAGAATGCTGAGCTGCGGCAGAAGAAGAAGAGGAAGAAGAAAATCGACGATGACGGTGAGCCGGAAGGTGAGAATGTAGTGGCTGATGAGCCGAAATCTGTTAAGAAGAAGAAGGAGAAGAAGAGGGATCATGCTGACAACGAGAATGCGGCTATCAAGGGAAATTCAAACGGGATCAGTGACGAATTGTACGAGCCAAAATCTGAAAAGAAGGAGAAAGACAAGGGAGATCGTCAAATCGAGGTCGATGATGCTGCTAGCAAGGAAATTTGCAATGGGAAGCCAAAGAAAGTGGAAGACTTGCTAGTCATTCTGAATGGACGAGATAGCTCCAATGCAAAGTTTCAAGCTCTCGAGTCCTTCTCGGCAGCCAAGCTCCCTGCTGACGTGATGAAATGCTGTAGCGGGTTTGAGAAGCCGTCTCCTATACAAGCTCACTCGTGGCCGTTTCTTCTCGATGGAAGAGATCTGATTGGAATCGCAGCTACTGGCTCCGGTAAGTTTCGTTTCTTGGAGATGTATCAAATCTTTATATGTTTTTTTTGTCTTTCTGGTTTGTTCCAGGCAAAACTTTAGCTTTTGGTGTTCCCGCTCTGGTTCATATCCTCAACCATAAAAAGAAAGAAAAGAAGCATTCAAAGGGATCACGCTGCCTTGTTCTCTCTCCAACTCGAGAACTGGCCCAGCAGGTTAGTGATTTGTCTTTTTTAGGAAGAAGGCAAACCTTCGAACATGACATGTGTGATAATCACGTCTCAAGATTGCTGCCGTTCTGGAGGAAGCTGGAGCCAGCTGCGGCGTTAAAGTCGTATGTCTTTATGGAGGGAGTTCCAAAGGGCCACAGTATTCTTCTTTGAGATCCGGCTGTGTGAGTTTTCAAACAAACAATGGGCCGTGACTTTTTTCTGATTCATGTCATTTGCGGTGCAGGATATCGTTGTTGCCACACCTGGTCGCTTGCAAGACTTCGTTGATGAGGGCGTTTGCAAGCTTGATCAAATTACTTATTTGGTAAGTAGTCAGTATTGTTCATCAATTTCTCAAGTGCTTATGTTTCGCAGGTTCTAGATGAGGCTGACCGCATGCTTGATCTTGGCTTTGAGCCTGCTGTTCGAGCAATTGTTAGTCATATACCCCAGGGTACGGAGGTTTTAATCTTTTCAAGCTATCACTTACTTTTTATCTTTCAGAAAGACAAACCATAATGTTAAGTGCAACCTGGCCAACTTCTGTACAAAAGCTTGCCCAGGAATTCATTCAGGACGCAAGTCCTGTGAAGGTGCGTTTTTTTTTTATCACACAGGAGCTTATAATTTTTCTCCAGATTACTGTAGGATCAGAAGATTTATCTGCCAATCATGACGTCACGCAGATAGTTGAGGTTAGTTTTGTTGGCTGGCTTTAGATTGATGCTCACAAAGACTGTTTGTAGGTGCTTGACGATAAGTCTCGGGACAGACGCTTACAGGAATTGCTTCGGTTATACCATAAAACAAAGAGGTGATGTGAACTGGTTTAAGATGCTTTTTGATATTGTTTTCTTACTAGAGTGCTCGTTGGATTCACAGGAATCGAGTCCTGGTTTTTGTTCTGTACAAAAAGGAGGCGGTCCGAGTAGAAAACTTTCTCCAGAAACAGTAAGTGGACGGTGTGACTGTTTGTATGATCTAAGACTTCCCACGTTTTTCGTGCTATAGAGGTTGGAAAGTGACGGGCATACACGGCGACAAGTCTCAACAGGCACGAAATCAAGCTCTTAGTGCGTTCAAGGACGGGTCGCATCCTTTACTGGTAGAAAGTCATCGATCCTCGTTGTCAACTCACAGTTTTTCCTTTGCTTTTAGATTGCCACGGATGTGGCTGCGAGAGGGCTCGACATTCCAGACGTAGAGTTCGTGATAAACTACAGCTTTCCTCTCACCACCGAGGACTATGTGCACCGGATTGGTCGCACAGGCAGAGCTGGAAAGAAAGGAACCGCGCACACTTTCTTCACCACTGCTGACAAGGTACGCACTTTTCTTATTGGCAGGAACAAATCGAGCAAACTTTGATTCCTGTCTTCTCAGGCTCGCGCTGGGGAGCTTGTCAACATTCTAAGAGAAGCTCGTCAGATCGTCCCGGAGGAGCTGCTCAAATTCGGCGCTCACGTTAAGAAGAAGGTATATTTGTTCTGTCCGATCGATTCTTTCCATGGAAAACCAAGTTTTTCTTTCGCAGGAATCAAAATTGTATGGAGCTCACTTCAGAGAGCTCGCTGCCGATGCGCCAAAGGCCCAAAAGATCACTTTTGATGTATCAGACGAAGAGTAGAGGATTTTTGAAAGAGCTAGCATATTCGCCTAGGGTTTATCGGGCATCCTAGGGTTCTTGCGGAAGGAGAGGCAAAGGCGCGATGGCGATGTCGACGTTTGTGATGACGCTGGCGGCAATCGGCGCCGCGTACGTGATGATGCGAGGCGACGTGGTGAAGTCCTCGGCGGTGCTGCGCAGGAATCTCAAGCAAGTCAAGACATGGCTGGAGGAGGATCTCCCTCACGAATCCTCCCAGGCTGCGAGGTAAGCCCGCCCTTCCCCTGATCGCAGCAAATTTCGATCATCCATCGCCTCTTTCGTCCCAATCCCGGGCATTCCAGTGATTCTTGGTAGCTCTTTCTTCGCAGGAGCATTGACGTCAAGCCCAAGCACATAGAAGAGCGGCCGATTTCGTCCATGCCAGTCGATCCACAGCCGCATTCTCACCAGCAGCCGCAGCCGCAGCAGCAAGCAAATCCCCCAGATCAACAGAAGCAACAGCAAATGTGAGAGACCGATTTTAGGGTTCTTCGTTATCAACGGCTCAGATAATAAGAATCACCGCCGTCCGCGTGTCCACGTGGACGACATCCGGCTTTCACTGGCTTATCGCAATCCATAGTGACAGGAGTGGTAATGGCGTCGCCACCTAAATCCAATCCGGATGGAGCGTCTCGCCGCCATAGCCCGAATCAAATATTGCCATTCACATTCTGCCACGTGTCAGGAATATCCACAAGCGTTCCGCCAGCTAGGCTCGGCATTTTTTCTACGTCGACCACACAAACCCTCCTTTAAATTTTCCCTTCCTCTCGTTTTTTCGCCCTTTCTCTTCCCGGCATGAACTGAGATGTGCGTCTAGCGCCTTATCTTCTTCTTCTCTTATCCGATTGGTTCTTCCATCTCGAAATATCTCTCATCCTCTAGATTTCTTGGCCCTCCATTGTCGGCGGTGGACGCATTGTAGCGCAGCACGAGCTAGGGTTTGCGCATCCGGCTTCGCGGTCGCGGATTTCTTCTCTAGGGCTCAGTGAGAACAATCCGTGAGGATTGTCAGCGCTACTGTAGATTTCTACGCCGCAACCGCACTGCGCGGCGCCACTGTTGGAGGGGCGAGCTAAGCATCCAGGTACTTGAGAGAGATTCGCAGCTTTAAGGTCAATCCGGCGGGCAATGTGATGACGAGGAGGAGCTCGGCTTTCTGGATTTAAGCGAAGAAGAAGAGGAAGAAGATGGAGGAATTGGATAGCAAGGGCAATTTCTCCGTCCTGGGGAAGCCCGTGGTTCTGGAAACAATGGCAGATCTACTGGCTGCGATGATGCCAATTTGGGTCGCCATTGCGTTTGGCATCGTGCTGGGCTGGTCGTGGAAGCCTCGCTGGGCAAGCTTCCTCGTTTTTGGGCTGAGGAGCCGGACGAGGCTGCTGTGGAGCACACCGCCAGGGCTGGGAGCGAGGCGGCTGTGGCTGGCCATCACGGCGGTCACAGCTTGCTCGATGCTCAAGCAACTTTGGCTGAAATTCAGCGCCTGGAGGTGGCCCAGGACGGATTTTTCTGGCAAGGAGACGCAGTCAAGGTACTTCGGCTTGTTCCTTCTTTTCTTTCTCATAGCGAAGTTTTGTTGTTCCATCAGTTCATCCCCGGGTGATCAACAGCAAGCTAACTGTGCCGTCTCCGACGAAGATTTGAGAAAGTTTTTGCTGTTGCTCGAAGATCGCGATGGAGGGCCGGCGTGGCAGATGATGATGGACCGTTCCACGACAGGCATGGCTTACCAAGCTTGGCGACGCGACCCTTCCGTAAGTGATATCTCTTGGCTTTCTGTTTTCGTTTTTCTGATGTTCTTTCTTTCCTTGTCTCTAGAATGGCCCGACGCAATACAAGAGTAGAACCGTCATTGAGGGCATCACGCCGCAGCTCATGAGAGATTTTTTTTGGGACGACGAGTTCCGAGTGGAGTGGGACGATATGCTCCTCTCCGCGAAGACGCTCGACGAATGTCCCGAGACCGGATACATGCTAGTACACTGGGTTAGAAAGGTACGGAAGTCTCTTCGACTCGGGTGCCACAACTCAAACTTCTGCCATGCAGTTCCCATTTTTTTGTAAGGACCGTGAGTACACGATTGGGAGGCGCATTTGGGAGCACGGCAACACATACTACTGTTTACAAATGGTAAGCATCATTTACCCATGGCAGCGTCGCTCACTCGCCAGCTTTGCTTTGTGGTTAACAGGGTGTCGAAACAGACAAGGTTCCCCGCAAAAACAAGCCACGACGTGTAGACGTGTTCTACTCAAGCTTCCGGATCCGTGCAGGTAAAAAGTGCTAGTTTTTCTTCTTCTTTTTGTTTCGTATGACTCATGGACGTGTCATTCCTTGAATTGGCAGTGGAGTCCCGGAAGGGCGATTCCCAGCTGACCGCGTGCGAGGTGCTGCTGTTCCACTCGGAAGAGATGGGAATCCAAAAAGATCTGGCGAAGCTAGGCGTCAGGCAGGGGATGTGGGGATGCGTCAAGGGCATGGAGCCTGGCGCTCACAGCTACTTGGCCTCCCGCAAGAGCGCCAAGCCCCTGTCGCGGCCGGCGCTCATGGCACAGATCACCACCAAGGTTCCGGCGTCCGTGTTTCGAGAGCTCGGGATCGCCGACACGGCGCTGGAAGTCCAAGCCGGCAGCGGTAGTGCCGTGGAGGAGGCGTCGGCCGAGAACAAGAGAAACGTTTGGAGATGGATCATCCTGGGTGGCGCGGTGGCGCTGGCCTGCGGCGTGGACAGGGGCGCGGTGGGCAAGGTGTTACTGTTTGGGATCGCGAGGAGGCTGGGGAGGCTTGGGAGGAAGCTATAGGAGACGTGGAGAAGCGAGCGAGCGAGTGAGCGAGCGACACACAGCATGGGCGATGGGTATTATCTTTTCTTCTTATCACAGCTTTGTTCTTCGTTGTCTCGAAGGCTGGAGGAATAAGTCGATTCATCAATCCAATCAGTCCAGCTGCATTGCATGGTTCTTTGAGATGAGATCCTTTTTTTTTCTTATGATGAACACGAGAGGAATAATCTACTGCTACTTTTTTTTTTCCATAGAGGAAGGCAATGGTTCTTTAGAGTCTAGACTTTTTTCCTCTCGTCTATCTATCCAGGAAGAAAAGTAAAAAAGGTGATTTTTTTCTTGTAAAGAAAGGAAATTGGTCCTTGTTGGACTTTTTCCTTCCCAAAGTTACAAAGAAAAAATTTAAAAATTTGATCCGGTTTACAACATGAAAAAGAAAAGAACAAGCAAGCTTTTTTTCTTCTTTTTTGTGTTCTCGCTGGAAATGGTGTAGCTTCCATACTAGCTAAGAGTGGAGGAGGTGGGAAGAGGCATCGTCCTCGTCGGCGGAGGAGCACCCATGGAAGCTGTCGACGAAGAATTTCTCTTCAAATCGATCACCACCACAGTGATGTTGTCTTTGCTCCCATTGTGCAAGGCGACCTTGAGGAGGAGCGAGGCTGCCGTGCCACACGGGGAGTCGTCCTCGTCTTCACAGCTGGTGGAAGTTCGCGAGACATTTGACGTTGCTCGGCGGGGGCGGCGGCTCGAGAGGCACTTTCGAGCTATGTCGCAAGCGGCCTCGTTCGTGACCTTGTCCCACAGCCCGTCACTCGCCAGAATGAGGCACTCATCGTTGTCATGCCGAGGCAGGCACGTCACTTCCGGGTTTGCAATAAGGAATGGAGTCATGAATTGGTCGCCTGTCACCAAAGGAAGAAACAAGAAAAGGCCACGGCTCCGGTGTTAAAAAGCAAGCCAGAAAAGAAAAACAGGGGCGCGAGACGTATCAAGAGACTCACCTATCGATCGTGACATCGCAAGAATTCCCAAAATCCGGGGGATGTCCCAGTTGATCACTTGGCCCCCGGCAGCTTCCACTCGAGCAAACTCGTCCGGTCTGCTAGGCTGTGGAGGAGGAAGACACAAACAAACATTCGCGTCAAAGTTCTTATGAAACAAGAGAAGAACTTTACCTTGTGATCGACCGTGAGGGGGATGGCTCTTCCGCCACGGGACAGCACGGCCCGGCAGTCTCCACAGTTTGCGACCACGATCTGGCTGCAGCCAACCACGGCCACCACGGCGGTGGAGCCGACGGTCTCTGGAATCTGGACGTCGCAGCCGTTTCCTGCGCAGTTGCTGCAAGCGTCGCCGCCGCAGCTGGGCCTCCGGACTTGCTCGTCCACCTTGAGGAAGCAGCCGGTCATGACGTCCTCCCACAGCTTCTCCGGATCACTGGTCTCCTCTTGCCTATGTCTGTTCATCTCGTCCACGAGAACGCGGTGGAGCCGGTCTCGACAATATGTTGCGGCCTGAGAAGATCCAGCAAAAACACGCAAAGTTAGTAAGCTCGCGGCACAGGAAACAAAAGGAAGCTTTGGAAATCCCAGACTAACCTGTGATCCACCGTGACCATCGTAAACTCCAAAGAAATGGTAGCTCGACGAGGAAGAAGTTGACGCTCCCGAGCAGCCATTGAGGCTGCAAGGCAAGCTCAGGAAATCCGGCTCGGTGGCGACAGTGTCCTCCATCTCTCGCCTCCTCCCGCAAACTGACACTGTTCCATACGGCGGACAGGAGCTCTGGCCCGACGAGCAGCAGCACCCAAGGTTGGGCAAATCCTCGGAGCTCACAGAGCTCGAGGAGGAGCTCGAGAGCAAAGATGGTAGCACGTCCTCGCTACATTTTCGCTCCTCCTCCTTGCTTTGCTGCTGCTGCTGCTGCTCTTGCCCCTGCTGCTGCTGCTTGTGTTCTACCACCTCCTCCTCGCTCTTCATCTCCTTGCACAAACCTCCTCCTTCCTGGAAGTTAATCCTCGAGCGCTTGAACAATCCATTCCCCGAATTGGCCAGAATCCTGATGCGTCTAATCTCGATACGCTTCCTCCTCAGCGCGCTTGCCGCGCTCTCGCAAGGAAGAACGTCCACGCCCACGCCCTTACATGGGCATGCGTCGTCAGTGCTTTTGCAAGGAGCCAGTGCGTCCATATATCCACCACCCGCAAAAGCTGTAGCTCTTGGAGCGCGCTAGAGATGCCCAGTGCCGAAAAGCCCCCTGTGTGCTACCAGCTAGCCAGCAAGAAGAGATCCCAGCTACGATTGATGGAGCATTTTCCCCTCTCAAATTTCCCCCAACCTGTGAGCTCCAGCGCCCGGCCGAGCAGCGATTAATTGCCAGATCCAACAGAAACCCCAGGAATATCGACGAGGATTTCTTACCATGGATCATCCGAGTGCCAAACAAGAAAAGCAAGGCAATCTTCCCTCGATTTCTCCCGATTTCTCGGAGCCGCGCGCTGGCCGCTGCTGGGAGAATCTCCGCCGGGCGCTCGATCGCGTCCCTTGCTCGCTCGCGCTCGACCTAGGTGAGCGCTCAAGCTCTCGCACTCGCTCTCTATTTTTCGTTCGTCTCTCTCCTCTCCCCGACTCAGAAAAAATGGGACGGGAGAAAGGGGCAGCGCGGGCAGGAGGGGCAGGGCGGGCAGCGGGCAGGCCTGAGTAGGGCACCTGCCTTTTCATATGCGAGCCACGGTCTGCCCGGTCTGCCCTCGGCACATGGCAGCATCTGGGGCGTCCATCGCAGCAAACACGTGGCGCGAAGTCTGCTGATGGGCGATTCACATGGTAATTTTGCTAGCACATGGCAAATCTTTTTTATTGCCCATCATTCACTTCTTTTCTCAACCATCGCACACGTTGCGTTTTTTGAATTTGTAGACGCTAGGGTTTATGCCTAGGGTTTACACGTCATTTCAGCCTCTCCGGGCGGAATCCTCGATCGAGGGGCTGGCGCTGGCGTTTGTTAGCGGATCGAGCTGGAATGCGCGTCGCTCCTCCACGCTGGGATAGTTTTTCTCGGGATTTGCCGGAATTTCGGTCGAGAGGCTGGCTGTGGGAGCATCGCGAAGAGCTGAGCGTTTTTGATGGACGCCCAGGGATCGTTTCTCAATCAGATTCTGTGCTTGAAGCAAGAAATCGATCAGGTATGCGTGCCTGTTGCCTCGCATTCTAACTTTCTAGAGCAGTTAAACGTCAGGGTCGGGCTAGAGATCCGTGAGACGATAAGATTGGAATCAGAGCTAGTCCGGTGTGCCGAGGACACCCAGGAAGCTGTGAAGGATGAGAAAGAACTTCTAAGGACTTACGTGATTCGCGAGAACGAGTACTCGGACTTGCGCGCCACATCAGGTACCTACTCTTTTGTTGCTTGGCTGTGGCTATGCTGAGTGACGCTTAGTTGCCTTGGAGAAAGTAAACCAGGAAACTATGCACGACCTTTCGAAGCTCAAGTCTACGAGGGACGCGCTCAAAAAGAAGATCACTGAAGAACGGTAGCTTGAGTCATGGTCATGATGGATTTCCTCAATTCTTTTCTTTTTCTCTGACGCAGCGATACATTTATAGCGCATTGCAGGAAGTTTCAGCAAGCGCACGACGAAGCTTTTAGTGCTGCTTCGGTCCACCTCCGTCGCAGCATCAGAACCATGAATGAAGAAATCGTGTCTCGGGAAGCTTTGATCGCTGAGAAGAACCGACGGAATGACGGTGATTATGTCAGGTGCTTTTTGCGTGTGAGTTGCTGACACTGCTGAAGTGCATCTCAGAGTTACAGCAACAAGTAGATGCAGCTCAAGATCACAATTGCAGCTTGCTCATTGACATTGCTAATCTAAAGAAGGAGCTGCAAGTTGCGGAGTCAAAGAGGAAGCTAGAGTGAGTCTTCGATTGTTTTTTTATAATCCTATAACAGAGCGACACGTTTGGACAGGCCCCTCGAGATTCTTGAGGAAGAAAAACGTCAGCTACAGGATTGTATTTTAGCTCTCAAATCCCGTTTAGCCAGCATACAAGGTACTATTGTTAAGGCTGTACCAACCCAATTTGATAACTCTGCTTTCCAGAAAGAAAGAGAGAGATCAGAATGTCCGATAAAGCTGGAAGCTAGTTCGGCAACTCGTGGGGCCTAGCAAGTGATAAGCTAACGCGTTCTGGTGGCTGTAAGGAAATTGCAGGTCCCTGTAGCCATTGTGATCCAGTACGCCCTGTGGCTGAAAACACTCCCAAGGTGTGATATCTTTTTCCACGTAGAGCTTATTCTTTTCCTGGTTTTGAGTTGCACTTCCATTGTGTGTAGCCGAAAAGTTGTACGAGGCTCATCTCGGGACGAAGTGAATCGTGGCAGATATGAGTGAAGAGGAAGCCAGGTTACCTCAGAGTTTGATGAGAGTCCTCCCTGACGACCCCTATGAGCAGCTGGATCTGGCAAGGAAGATTGCCTCTATGGCTCTTGCTACTAGAATGTCGGAATTGGAAAACCGCGTGGGTAGAATTCGGGAAAATCTTCACGAGAAAGACAATTTGATTGAGGACCTCGAGCGCAGAATTACCGATGCTGATCAAGCCATTCAAAGAGCAAACATTCGCATCCTCAAAACGACAGACGATCAGGTTCGCATTGTTTCCTTCTCTCGTTGATCTTTGAGCCTGTGTTTGTAGATAAGGCTATCCAAGGAAAACGAAGTGCTGCAAGGGACCATCACTAGATTGAGGCATGATGTTTCCAAGGTCCAAGCTATCCTCTCTTTCTAAATCGTGTCGAAGTAATCGTGGTCGACTGCAGATGGAGTCTGTTCGAAAGTCATTGGTCCATACATTGCAGCTGGATAATCCTGTAAGTTGACACTCTTTGTATATACTAAAAACCCTGACCAGCGGCATTATAGCATCTACTCGATACCGCAGATGAAAAATCGTCTAGTCAAGAAAACAGGCTTAAAAAAGCCATGTCTATGGACAACTCCCCAAGATCACCTCTTCAGGAACCTATCAGAACCCAAAGCTACGACAGAGTGCAAGGTAAGAGCTGCACTCCACTCGCCTAGTGCATCATACTTAATTTTTCACTTCCAGTGGAGGATGATATGCAATCTTCTAGCGTGGAAGATGCCAGGAGGCGAATGCTTCTTCTTAAAGCGCGCCCGGCTAGAAGGTCCATGTCCGACTTTGCCAAGACTCGCGCTCTGTCAGTACCACGACAGTTTGATCACGAATCAGATTGTAAGTTTTATTGAATTGGTTCTCCTGTAGCTTTGGGTGGCGTTGACTTTGTTTCGCTTGGTTGTCAGCTCCACTATCTCAAGAAGGAATCGCACTAACACCACCGATAAGTCCACCCAAAACATCCCCACCCAAGAGTCGGTCGGCAACAGGGTCCCCCGTGAAACGTAAGATTCCGGCACCGACACCGCCACAAAGACCGCGATATAGCGAGGCTGCTACAGCCCCCAGCTCTCCTCCTCGCTGTAAGTATTCGTCCTTTTGGAAACTTTGCCATTAAACACGTCCAGTTGTTGCGCAGCCCCCTCGATGATGAAAGCCGATGGAAAGGAGTTTTTTCGGCAAGCAAAGTAAGACAGTGTCTTCCTTTTCTTTCCATTTTTCAGACGAAGACGAGCTGTTTTTTCTCCCTTTTTTTTTTCCAGGAGCCGCCTTCCTTACGACCAGTTCCGTGCGTTGCTAAACACTATCAAAGAGCTCAATTCCCACCTGCGGACGCGAGAGGTACGTACCACCAAACTTTGGAATAAAAAGAGAGAAAAGGTGTGGCATACACTGACTGGTTGTGTTCGTGTTGTGTCCCAGGATGCCTTGAGAAAAGCGGACGAGATATTTGGAACAGAAAACAAGGATTTGTATGCGTTTCTCTGCCAGCACCTCCCTTCCTAACGTAACAACAAGTCTTTCAATCTTGTCAGTGATCTTCCAAGTCTTTCAATCTTGTCGGTGATCTTACAACTTCTTTCGCACAGACAAAGCGAGGCAATGCCGAGACAACGACGCTCCTCTTCTTTCTTCCAAGATTGATGAAGGACAAAACGCGATGGAAGTCCTTGTCCGCAACAACAACATCGCTCTGGCCAGGTGTTTCGCCGATGCGCGGCTCGACGACGCGCGCGCCACCTTTTCGGCAATGCAAGAATGCGACGTCGTGTCCTACAACACGCTGCTGTCCGGCTATGCCCGAAACGGGCATCTGCGGGAAGCGCAAGAAGTCTTCGCCCAGATGCCCGAGCACGACCGCGTCTCGTGGAATGCGATCATCGCCGCGCACGCCCGCGCCGGCGACGCCGCTGGTGCGCAGCGCCTCTTCGATCACTCGCCCGAGAGGAGCATTGTCTCGTGGTCCGCGCTCCTCCACGCAAATGGCCAAACCGGGGATCTGGCAAGCGCCACCGCGCTCTTCGATCGCATGCCCGAAAGGAACGTCGTGGTGTGGAACACGATGCTCGACTGCCATGCCCGGCGCGGGGATCTGCGAGAGCTGGCTGATCTCTTCGACGCGATGCCGGCGCGCGACGTGGTGTCGTGGAACACTGCGGTGGTGGCATTTGCGCGACACGGGCGGATCGATCGGGCGCGGGAGATCTTCGCCGCGGCGCCCGCGCGATCGGCCGCGTCCTGGGCCGCGATGATCCAGGCGCTCGGTGGCGAGCGAGAACAAGCTGAGGAGCTCTTCGCCCAGATCCCGGAGGTGAGCATCGCGTGTTGCAACGCCATGGCGGCAGCGCGGGCTCGCGGTGGCGATTCGGAGGGAGTGATAGCTCTGCTCGATTCTATACCCGATCACGACGCTGCGTCGTGGACGCTTCTACTACACGATTACGCGCGCACTGGCAAGCTCGAGCAAGCGAAATCCACATTCGATCGCATGCCAAGAAGAGATCTAGTCGCCTGGAACGCGCTTATCTCCGCATATGCCCAAAATGGGCATTTGCATGAAGTAAAACACTTCTTTGATTCTATGCCTGAGAGAGATCTCGTGTCGTGGAACATACTTCTAGGCTGCTACTCGGAAGCAAAAGAGGCAAATCTTGCAAATCATCTCTTTGCTACAATGCCAGAGAAGGATTCCATCTCTTGGAATTCTCTCCTCTCGGCAGAAGCCCAGACATGCCATCTGTCCCAGCCGAAGCTCTTCTTCGAGCGAATGCCGGAGCTCACTCCGGTTTCTTGGAGTTGCCTGGTTGCCGCCTACAGCCACTTTGGCCGGTTCCAAGATGCGATTCTTTCCTTCCGCTCGATGCTCCTCGCAGGCCACGGTGCCAACCAGATTGCTCTCTCGGCAGTTCTTGCTGCCTGTTCCCGAGCTGGATTGCTTCTCCCGGTGTGGAACCACGTCACCTCGGCCCAGGTGGATCACTGCCTGTCTCCGGACGCGTACAACTACTTCTCCGTCCTGGACGTGCTCGCGAGATCGGGACAGCTCCAGGCGGCGGTGGATCTTTTCCACAGCATGCCGTTTGCTCCCACCATCCCGGCGTGGACGTGCCTTTTTACTGCCGTTCTCAAAGCCGATCAAAACTTCTGTCCCTTGCTCGTGTCACGCTACTGCCACTACGCGTCGGCCTCTTGCCGCAAGAATCCTGATTCGTTTGGCAGCGCGGACGAAGTTCCTGCAAGCCACACGACAGAGTGAGAACGAAGCACAGTAGCAGCAGAGCTGGAAAGAATCGCAAAGCACGAAAAAGGTGGCGACTTACACGTACTCAAGCAGCAGGAATTGACAAAGCAAAGCCAAACCAGGAAGAGAGACATTCACAGTGTTTTCGCGGAGGAAACTGTAAAAGATGCGAGCACCACCTCCAGGAGAGATCACCGGCGAGGAGGAGGTCACCCTCGGCGTCCTCGTACGCGATAATGTGGTGCGGGATTGCGTTAGAGAGGCTGCAAGCTTGCTCCGCCGCCGCTGTGGAGGCTTCCTCCTCCGGTCCGAACATCGATCGTAGTGCCGCTGCGAAGCTGCCATAGCCATCGTAGTCACTCAGGCAAATCCTCCCATCTATGGAGCGTCCCTCCATGACGACAGTGATGACTCGGGTCTGCTCCGGTGGACGTCCCAGGAATAAGTTCTCCCCACCACCTACAGTTGCAACTTTAGACTAGAATTTTTCCATATCTTTGCGATGGATGATGAAATGAGTACCTGGGTTGTGGAGACCGAGTCCCACACTGCTGGAAGGAAGATTCCAGCCCTGCTGCGGCAAAGGAAAATTCATGTCTGGCCGGAAGTTGGCGTTCAAGCCAGTGAAGTAGCTCGTTGTTTGGTTCTTCCAGCCATGAGATAAGACCAGCGAGCTCGACGGCAGTGCCGCTGCCTGGCTCATTTCCGGTCGCCACTCGACAAAGCTTTTGCCTTCGGCTTTCTTAGAACCGATGATCCTGGCGTTGCCATTGTCCGTCACGTCCTGGCTCATCAAGCCCGCGCCGTGGTGCTCCTCCGGACGACCGAGAAACGGCGACTTCTCGTGCGGAATGCTCGTCGGCCGGATCACTGACGTGGGGAGGCGTAACTCTGGCCGGAACTGCGGCGGAGGATAGCTGTAAGGTGGTGGCTGCCTGAATCGCGCCGCTGGGACAGTTGATGGATCCACTGGCTGTTGCTGTAGCCACCAAGCTGATGCTGCTGCTGATGGTGCTGCTACTGCTCCAGCCGTGTTTGGATCGTGCTGGGAATTATGAGGATCACCTGGAGTTGACTTGTCCAGATTGCCTGTAGCTCCTCCTGGGCCCTGCTGTTGATCCGGAGAAGGCTTTCCACCATCGCCGAGATCCTGCTGCTGATCCGGAGACTTTTGAGCCACTGCTCCTCCCCCGCTCCTCCGTCTCTTCTTCTTCTTCTTTTCGTCTCCCGCGGCCTTATCCGCCTCCGGGGAGGATCCACTCGTCTTCTCCAGTTCCAAGTTTTGCAGGCCAGCGATCGTGGAAGCTCGCTGATCCAAGCTCGTCCGGTGACACGGCGAGCTGCCTGAATCCGAGACCGACTGAGACGGAGAGCCCGGGTCCTGTGCCGGCTGCTTGTCTTTCACGGAAGAAACCATGGAGGACCACCACTAGTACTGCAACTTACTCGAGAGTTCCTCTTCCAGTAGTGTTGACTAGAGGCTATGACGGGGTCACACTCACCAGTCGTAGCAGCATCCATGATTGTTGCGGCCAAGCATTCTCTGGCTGTTGGTGGTGCCGCTCGTGATTCTCCTCCTCTCGAGTACAATCATCCAAATCCATTCCTGCAAACAAAGCAAAGGAAATGGATGATGAGTGTACCGATTCCAATCGAACTTCCCAGAAACACACGTACATCATCTCACAGTGCTGCTGCCGTGTTCTCGAGTGAATCCAGCCCACACCATCCACATTTCTCCATCGCGAATGCGCCGCGCAAATCGGAGAAGCAAAGAATACCGGTGGATGCTCCAAGAAATTAGAAGGAATGAAAGCGAGGTCCGAAGAAAACGTGCATAAAAGATGGGGCAATCTCCCAAATATTTTCGCCCATACGCGAATCACCTCACACTCGTCGAGATCATGTCGCGAGCGATCCAAGATCCTGCAAAGCACGCGCAGGATCTCTCGTGAGGCGGTCGCTTGCGCGCCCGCTGCCTGTGCCGCAATCAATCAATCCCACTTGATCGATCGCCCGCGCTTACCTCTCGCTCTCGCAATCACGGGCGCTCCTCTCGGGCAATAAAATCCATCCATCTCTTGAATGCGATGCGATGCCACTAGAGAAGGAGAATAGCTAGAAAAGAAAAGAGAGGGGGAAAAACCTACAAAGCTTGTTTGTTGTTGTGAAAGATCTGGCCTTCTTTCTTTCTTGCGCTGCCGCCGTCCCAAAACGGCAGGTCCCCAAAATGCCGCCCTCGCATCCCGGCCGTCCAAACTAGGGCTGGCGTCAAGCACGGTCGTTTAGTTAAATACGTGGAATTTGACTTTGTCGGATTCATGTTGTGGACGTGGGTTTGGGGTTTGCAGTCAAAGACGCTGCACCCCACCAACGTGACACCACCCTATAAATCTCTGTTCTTTGTTTGGTTTGATCTTGCTGACGTCACAACCAAGGCATGGATTTTCAAACAGTTGACATTGGCATGCTTTAGACATATCATCCAGAATCTAGAAATGTAATGTAATTCCCTTTTTTTTATTATTATAAGAAAGCTCTTCTCTTATTCATGATTATTCACAATATATTCTTTAGGCACTAAGTAAAAAGCATAAAATTCACCTCACCCATAGTCTTCACTTTCAATTTAAGACTTTTAAACCAAAAGAAATAGCTGGTCCTCTTGGTTCTAAATAATAGCTTTAATTTAATAGAAATAAACAATAGCATAACAACTCAAACTAATTTACCACTTATTCATTTGGATAGGTAAATTTAAATATTGACTTTGCTGCTATTAAAATTTGCTATCATCAACTTGGACTTTGTGAAAGTAATGATCATTTACAACAAAATTAATGATAATAAATAATAAGTAAAGAAATGTTTTATCATTTAAAATAATTAATAATTGAAATGAGGAACCAATTTCTACTTTTGAAATTTTATTAAATAATTATAATTAAATTTAAATATTTTTGTGGATCAACGTAAAATATATTTAGATATTCTGGGATATTCTACCATCTAATGGTTGTTATTCATTAGATTAATCTTGTATTTATAATTTATAAGCTATCTAAACACGAGTATATTTTAGTTTATTCACCATCCAATGGTTGATATATGATAGAATTTAATCTTCTATTTATAAATTACAAGTAATTTTATAATTATAAACTTCCAATATGATCAATTAAATTAGAATATAATAAGTATTACTATTAAGCAAACTAAGTTTTGCTGCATGCAATATGCATTAGTTTGGTTTAACTGAGAGAAATTTTGGAGGGTTCCCATTACCCTTAATTTTAATGTTTATATCAGTAATAATAAGGTGCATGGAACAAGGGGTTTTAGGGAGGGACACCCACTATCCCCTAATTCTAATGCTATATTAATAATGGAATGCATAGGATAAAGTGTTAAAATTCTTCCTTTTGCAAAACTTCTTTTAGGGGATGCATGAAACTCACCTTTAATTATAAACTTGATGAATGACTCAATCTCCAAGCTCAGCAATGTTAATAATATTGCTAAAAAAAAAGATTATACAGAGTTGAAGGTCATGTTATTTATTTACTTGATGCATCCTATTAAAGGCACAAAGTACTCTTAGTATTAAAACCAATTTAAAACATATTTTATATTAAATAATTAGACTTTATTTCTTTTTATTTTTTTCAAGGCCTCCAAAAAGTCTAATATTTAATTATGACTATTTGATATTTGGATAACAAAAAATTTTAAATACAATCAAAATATAATAATAATTTACTGGTGTTTGTATAAAATGGCAATCATTACTTATAAAAAATAAAACAAATTTAACTAAATTGGGAAAAACTATTTTAGTGCACTATGATTCAAAGCGTCATCCTTAAAATTAGGAATAAAATCATAACTTATTGAATCTGAAGAACCAAAATGACAATCCCAATTCTAAGTATAATGGAGTCTCTTCCTCTCGGCCTCCCACCGGCCGCGGCAGAGCAGCCGCTGGGTGGCGCGTGGTCATCATTGGGATCGTCGGTAGTTGTCAGGCACAAAATTTCAATAGTAGACTATACAGATTATCAATTCGAAATTTATACACTGGAATTAGATTTTTACAAAAATTTACTAAATTCAAGCACTTTCAATTTTCAACTTCTTAACAAAATTACATATTAATTTTACAAGTGAAACAGGCAACACTTATTTTAATTGAACTTTGTCAATTAGTGGGTTGAAGATAGATTCAGTATAAGCCAATACAAACTTTAGACACGCTGCCTCTTGTTCCTTCTTGTGCTTCTCCCTGTGTCATTCTGGAACTTCTTCTCGTAGCTCTCGTCACTGTCACTTGGATTGGCTTCCTCTTCTTCGTCTTCTTCATCCTCCTCTTCTTCTACTACTTCCTCCTCCTCCACCTCTCCTTGTTCTTCTTCTTCCTCTTGTTCTTGTTCTTCTTCGTCTTCTTGTTCTTCTTCCTCCTCCACTTCCTCCTCGGACTCGTGTTGCTGCTGCTGCTGCTGTTGGCTCGATCTCTTCCGCTTCAGCTTTCTCCAGTCTTGCGACTGCTGCGAGCTCTCGGGCTTGTCCTCGGTGCTGGACGTCGGCGCCTCGCTCTCGGAATCCTTGGCGTTGGCGTAGCGAGTCTTTACGACAGTCTCCCTGTATCTCGTACGCACTTTTAAAACGATCGGACCTTTGCTGCTGCTGTTGCCTGCTGATCCGCTTCTCCTGGAGCCCGTCTGTGGTGTCGACGACAATTCCCGAAGGCTCGACCTTGTCCTCTTTGATAACGCCACCTCCGTCACATCTTGTCCGTCCTCCACGGCCTTGAGCCACTGCGAGTCGCTGAGAATGTCCGAGTAGATCACTTCCTTTCTCTTCCGTTTGCCTTCGAGTGGAGTGGAGTCGTTGTTTGTGGCAATGTCGTCGGTCTTGAGAAACACCCACTCGGGCACCTCGTGTTCCTCCATCAGCCGAGACCTGTATCCTTCGTCCTTGCGTCTCTCCTCGTCCATCTCCTCGAAGAGCTCGAATTCCTCCTCGGACGACGCCGTCAAGCGGTTGATCTCCCGCTCGCTTGGGACGTCCGCCGACAAGTTGGACGTTCCTTTTCTCATGATCTCCTCGAGAAGTTCCCGCCTCTCCTGAGCTGGAAGAACACAGAAAGCGTAAGTTAGAAATAGGAAAAACAAAGGTTATAAAAACGTTACGGGTGGATGTGGTGTTGAAAAGCCCAGCCTGGATAACTTTTGCGTCGATTCCCATCTTTGACTTTGCTCGCTCCAAGATCTCCTCCTCGATAGATCCCACACTGACGAGCACGAAGACATGAACTTCCTTCTTCTGTCCGATACGGTGCGCTCTGTCCTCTGCCTGCTGATCCATCTGTGGATTCCAATCGCTGTCGAAAATAATAACTGTGTCTGCTGTCTGAAGATTGAGCCCGAGGCCACCAGCACGGGTGCTGAGAAGAAACATAAAATATGGGGAGTCCTCCGCATTAAACATTTGAAGCTTTTTGCCACGGTCCTCCGTCTTTGTCGTCCCATCAAGCCGTAGATAAGTAAATCCGCGCGTCGTCAAGTACATTTCCAATAAATCCATCAGACGAGTCATCTGAGAAAATAGCAGCACCCTGTGTCCGGTCTTTTGGAGCTTGGGCAGCAACCGGTCTAAGAGCTCAAACTTGCCGGACGCGCGAATAATCTCGTCACGATCTCGTGGTTCGTAATCCTTGTTGAGAAACAGGTAAGGGTGATTACAGCATTTCCGGAGCTGCATCACCGTGTTTTGCAGCCCCACTTGCTTTTTTCCAGAGCCTAGATTTCAAAACAGTTAGAGCAACAACTACAAAACAAAACGAATGACGAGAACCTACCAGTAAGCAGTCCAACACGACGAGATTCGATCATTTGTTGATAATAAAGTTTCTGCCATGCGGAAAGGTCGCATTTTAGCATCACTTGCGTCTTTGTAGGTAGAAATTTTTCCACTTCAGACTTCTTTCTTCTCAACAAAAAGGGCCGAAGGACCTGTGAAAATTACGTTTTAAACTAAAAAGAGAAGGAATAAGGAAGTCGTACCTGATGCAAACGCCTTATAATCAAAAGTTGTTCTTCTTCTGTAAGAGAAACTTCCGCTCGATCGGCAAATGGTGCATTAAACCATTCCTCAAAATTCCCGCTAGAATTGAAAATTGCAGGTAAAATGAAGTTCAATAGAGACCATAGTTCTTGTAGACTGTTTTGAATGGGTGTTCCTGTTAAGAGCAATCTCCGCCTTATGTGATACCTGCACAAACACATAATTAATACCAGAACAACGCAAGCAGCAATCTTACCCGGCAGAAAGGGTTCGAGCGAGCATACAGTCGTGATTTTTCAGACGATGCCCCTCATCAACAACCATGTAATGCCAACGAATCTTTTTAAGAAACTGTTTGTCACGCATTATTAGATCGTAGTGTGTTATAAGCACGTTGAAAGATCCTTCACCGGCATGTTGCTCTCTGAGAATTCTGCGATCTTCGGCACGACCATCATACATAACTACGGAAACACTGTCCAAAAAAATCCAACAAGGTTCAAGCGAAAACTTATAAAACAAGTCGGAAACATTACCTCGGAACCCAAGTACTAAACTCGTGAGCCCAGTTCGGTAAGACAGCCTTGGGTGCTACGATGATATGTGGACCATTCAGGCCCTTGTTCTCAATAAGGTATGCAAATAAAGCAATGGTCTGTATAGTCTTACCCAAACCCATCTCATCGGCCAGTATCCCGTTCAAGTTATTGTTATAGAGGGAGAGCATCCATTGGAGTCCCTCAATCTGATAAATTCTCAGTTGCCCTCCTTCCAGCATTGCAGGTTGTTCAGTGACCTGCAAGAAAAAGTGTCAAGCTAAACATTAAACAACTCAAACGGAAAACTTGCCTGCTCCTCAATCTGGTGAACAGCAGAATTGTACTGCCTTTGTCCTTCAAGATAGTCTCTCTTTTTAGTATCAACGTCACCCTTCCCAGATTCAGGTTTGGATTTCGGAGATGACAAGCTCGACGGATCTTTCGTTACATCTCGATTCCGGTCCTTGTGCTTATCCCGTTTGTTAAAAGCTTCAACCGGGTCTGTATCCTTTTGCTCTTGAACCATGGCACCCAGACGCTGCAGTAAGTCATCTGTTTTTGATAACAGTGTCGTCAGCCGCTCATTTTTGCTCTCTTCCACCATGCGCATGTACGCTTCTTGGTCATCGGCTCTAAGCGCCTGATATCTCAGCCTTTCAGCGCGTGTGGCCCGCTGCTTTTGTTTCGCATGCCAGTTCTACAGGAAAAAAAACTGTCAGCAGAGATCTAGTGGAAAATGCAAACAAACGTACAATAATCCCATCATTGCGCTGCTTTTGAAGCTTCACAATTTGCTGGCCTTGTAGAAGAAACTCCCTACCAAAATTCATAAGTTCGCTAAAGAATTTTCGTTTCCTTGTTTGTATCCTGTCTTGTTCAGCTTGTTCAAGCCGCCTTTGCCTCTGACACACAAAAAATAAAAAATAAGGAAAAAAAAAGTACTAATAGTAAAATATACCTCGTCTTCTCTTTTCTTCCGCATCTGCTCGTCTGAACCACTGTAAGCAGAGCCAGTGTATCCACCCAGAAACGATGATAAATGATAGCGCAATCTCATTAGTCCCCAATCAACTAAGTGAGTTTCCACTCGGTTGCATGTCTGCTTAAGTCGTAGCTCCGTGGCAACCTCGAATCTAACTTTCCTTTGAAGTCCTAGCAGCTATCCAAACAAATCATGAGGCCCAGCATAAAAAAAAGCGATTGTTTGGGACTTACCTTAAGCGTATTGAGCTCTATCTTAGAACTTGGTTGCATTTCTTCGCTTGACAAGCCTGGGAAGAAGCACGTAGAAAAGAAGTCTAAGCCAAAAAATTCTTACTTCCAAGTTCTTTCAGCCGACGCTTGAGCCGGCCGTAGAAACGAGACTCCTCGGACCTTCGCAGCCGTGCCGCCGAGACGTACTTGGAGTGCTCCAGCGACGACTCGAAATTATGGAGCAGCACCCCTCTCTCCTCCTGCATTCGCAACACCAGTCAAACTCTGAGAGCTAGACATCCCCGAAATACCTCCAAATCCAGCAATCCATCCATGCCATCGTGATTCTCCTCTGGCTCCGGCTGATGCTTCTGCAGAGAGAAGGATCAATCCCGCATCATTTTCCTGCGGACAAGACCTACCTTCTGATCGGCAATCCAGCCCTCACGCAGGCGCGCCACGGATTCCAGCAATGCGCCCGGCAGCGCCACATCCCTGGCGATCAAACAAAGCGCCCGGAGAAGGAGCTTGAGCTGTCGGCGCTGCTCCAGCGACAACACGAGATCCTCCGGCAGCTCATCGAGGAATTGATGCGAAATTTGCCCATCGCTGAAAACACCCATGGACATAATTTCCTTCCCAGGGAAACAAAAACCCTAGACTAAAATAGGGCATCCGCCCACAGATAAGCGGAATATGCCCGCCGCCTGATAGAATGTTCCTCTTCCATTTGTACTTACAAGTTCTTGTCTTTGTTAAAAAACTCCCTATAGCAACAAAACTGCTACACAGCGAATCAATTATATATACGCGCTTCCTCCCCGAGAGTGGTGGTGTTCGTCCTCAATCCTGGGAGATCCCGAGAGTGGTGGTGTTCTTCCTCAATCCTGGGAGATAACTTCACCGAATTTCATGAAGAGATGGCCACCGGAGTTCGTGCTGCTGGCCGAGAGATTGTCCGCGTGCTTGCTCTCGGCATAGTCGTCAATGTAGCGCCGCTGGTTTGGATTCGACGAGACCGATTTCTTGGAGAGTGCCGGCACTGGCGAGAGCGAGAAGAGAACGTTTGCGACGTCGTGCATTGCCGGTCGCTGGGCCGCTTGCTTTTGAGCGCAGAGTAGAGCCAGCCGGATCATCTTTTGGACGGTGCCAATGTCTTGGCAAGTGTCTTTGATCTCGGCGTCGATCACTTCCATGACGGTGTTGTTGTTTACGTGACTCAATACCTGGACACAAGAAAGTAAGAACGTAGTTCTAGCGAGGAAAAGATCACGTACCCATTGATGCAAGTTCCTTTCGTCGTCTACGGCTTTTAATCCGGTGATGAGCTCCAGGAGGACGATGCCATAGCTATACACGTCCGACTTCTCGTTTAGCCTCGACGTGCGCGCGTACTCGGGGTCGATATACCCTATGGTTCCCAGGACAAAAGTCGATGTGTGCGTCTTCGTCGGACATATGCTCTTGGCGATTCCAAAGTCTGATATGTGCGCGTCGAAGTTCTCGTCCAGCAAGATGTTTGAGGACTTGACGTCCCGGTGAATGATCCGCGGACTGCAATCGTGGTGAAGATATGCCAGCCCCTGGGCGGCTCCCAGAGCAATTTTAAGACGTGTATCCCAGTCCAGCTTTACTTTTCTCACTGGTCCTGTAACACAAGCGTGATGAACAAAGAAGCTTCGAACCGAGAAAGATCTCATACCGTGCAAGACGTCCCACAAACTTCCGTTTTCCAAATAGTCATAAAACAAAAGGTTGCCTGCCGGTGACAACGAGTATCCGTGTAAGCCAACAAGGTTCCGGTGCTTGATATGGCCCAGAGTTTCCAGCTCCGTTTCAAACTCGTGAATGTTTTGAGGGAAGTGGTTGTACAGCTTCTTGATGGCAACTGTCTTTCCATTCTTGAGCGAGCATTTGTAAACAGTACTAGAAGCTCCGCGGCCAATTATGAAGCGTTCGTTAAGATTGTCTGTGATCCTCATAACATCATCGTAGCTGTGGCACGCCATGTCCATGTGAAGAACAACAAGGTTGGGCGGACCTGTGTAAAACACGAAACAATATTAAAGACTGACAGTGGCAAAGCTGAAGAATGCGTGCGTACCTTGGCCAGTTTTGCTTGAACCCTTGGCGAACGGTTTAGAATGATTCAATCTTATGCCCAAGAAAACCAGTAGAAGAACCAAACAGATTGCAGCTATTGCTATACCCATGATTGCCGTTGCTCCAATAGTATTGGACTGCTTAGAGCGATAACCGCAGACAGTTTTAGTGGAAGTTCCGCATAGTTGTGAGTTACCAATGTAACTGTAAAAGGAGAGATGAGAAAACCGAAAGCGAACCATGTCTCAAATACCTGTCGGGCGTGAATTTTGAAAATATTGTGCCCGACGGTACCTCTCCAGAGAGGTTGTTATACGAAACATTCCTACAGAAAATTGTCAGTCACACAAAACACTGCTCAATGTCGAGCTTACAGGATGTTGAGACTAAAACAATTCGTAAGTTGAACTGGAATAGCACCTGATAACTTGTTGTGTTGCAGAAACCTATCAACATTGGGCAAAAATTAGTTCTATGAAAGCGAGTAACATGAATCCTTACAGAGTATTTAATGTCTGTAACTGGCCTAACTCTGGGGGTATGTTCCCTGAAAGCTTATTTTGCGAAAGATCCCTGAAGTTGTGTGTTAGCGGCGCGCTAGAAAACAGAAAGCAGCAGAAATAAATCTTACAGCAAGTCAATACTCCGTAAATTTCCAAACTCCGATGGGATCTTTCCTGAAATATCGTTATTGCGCAAAATCCTGCCATTCGATCGTATAAGAAACATCAACTCGCAGAAATCACACTTACAATGTCAATAGATGTTCTAGGTCACCAACAGAGCTTGGAATGGAACCACTGATATAGTTATCAGACACGTCCAAAGTATCCAGATTTACTATGTGACCAAAGTCGTCAGGAATACTGCCGCTGAAGAGATTTGACGATAAATTCCTGCAACAACGATAAATTATAGTCAAACCACGCAGCACGGAATAAACCACTTACAGATAGGTCAGGCTATCAAGCTTCTTCAGTTGCGGTGGAATGCTCCCATTTAGACGGTTTCCGTGCACATTGCTGGCAATACGAAAGAATTAGCGACTCGAGCCCAAATACAGACAACTTACAGATAGTTCAGAGCATTGCAAGAGCTTATGTTTTCAGGAATACGCCCATACAGCTGATTGTTAGCCAGGTTCCTGCTGTAAACTATTAACACAAGCAATACAACCGAAAAAAGACGTACAACTCAAATAGCTCGCTTAAAGATCCAAGCTCAGATGGAATTTCTCCAGTCAGTTGATTATCATTGAGTTGCCTGCATTGTAAAGCAGATCGCTAATCAATCGTAACACAAATAATCGTAAACTTACAAGTAGCTTAACTTCGTCATGTTACCAAGCTCGGGAGGAATAGTTCCGGTAAGTAAGTTACCGTGCAAATACCTGGCGTTTCCTTAAACTTAGTTCAACGCCTTGACAGCAAGTTCAAGTACATACAATTTACCCGTATACGTCAAATTTCCCAAAAGAGCGGGTATGTCACCAACTAGACGATTATCGCTCAAATCCCTATAAAGCATCAAGATTGTTAACTACAACTAGCCAAATAAATTGAATTTACTTACAATACCGCAAGGGCCTGCATAAGCCCAATCACTTCAGGTATTTTTCCTGAAAACTGGTTGCCTTGAAGTGATCTGATACAAAACATTATAACATTCAGGAAAACGAGACGAATAAACCTACAGGGTGGCCACTTGCAAAAAGCCAATGTTGTATGGTATTTCTCCATTCAGGCGATTATATGCTAGATCTCTGCACCAAAACCCATGTCACGTGAATGAGAACACCGAATGAATGTAAAGATTGTAATCCACATACAAGATTTCAAAACTTGTGCAGTTGCCTATGTTATCAGGAATAATCCCAGAGATATTGTTGCTGCGCACATCACTGAAAGGCAACCTTCCCGTAAGTCCGTGACAAAAATCAATGACAGAAACTTACAAGTACCAAAGCCCGGTCAAACGGCACATATCAGAAGACAGCGTTCCGCTGAGAGAATTGTCTCTGAGCCCCCTGTTCCAAATGATAGACATAAAATCATTCCTATGAAAAAATGAGACTTACAGGTACTGTAAAACCTCGCTCCAATACAAGAGCGTGGGTATCTCTCCAGTGAGCTGATTTTGAGCAAGATCCCTGCCCGTCAGAGCAATAAGATTAGCAAAAGCATTCACCAGAACAGCCTCAAACTCACAGCGTCTTCAGATTCGGCAGCTGAGAGAGGGTCGATGGAATGGGTCCCGTGAGCTGATTGCTTTTGAGAATCCTGCACCCACATGAACGCATGAGACAGATATTTTCGGAGACAATCGGCCATATACGCACAGAGTTTCAAGCTGTTTGAGCTGCGATACTGAAAAGGGGATGTCTCCGACCAATGCATTGAAGGATAAATCTCTGAGAAACAGCGTCAGACCCAGCAAATCTTGAGAACAATACAGGCTCACATGTATTTTAGAACAGCACAGTCGCCTATTTCATCAGGAATCTGACCACCAATGCTGTTCTCTCGCAAATCCCTGCCAGACATACGCATTAGACTCCAAACTCCACGAAAACAGCTCCATCCAAGCTTACAGATACTGAAGACTTTTCAACTTTCCTACCGATGGAGATATCACTCCGGAGAGGCTCAACTGGGTGAGATTCCTGCACAAAACAAATCAGATGTGCGCAATGTACATGAAGCGTGAAGCAAAAAACACATACAGTCCAGTAACGGAAAGTGTCACGTTGTCACATGTAACTCCCCTCCAAAAGCAAGGATCGTGATCAGCGGAACCATCCCAATCGTAAAGAGCATTGCCGGCATTACTGAACGACTTCTTGATCTCGAGCAAAACCGCGCCTGGGAACGGAGCAACAAACAACTTAGAACGCCCAACGTAGACCGAGGATCCAGAAACCAAGAAAAAGGAGCAGCAGAGAAAAGAAATCACAGAAACAGATACTCTACTCACCGTCGTTGGAGAGCGCAGCAGCCTCCTGAGCTACACCAGCCCAGAAAAGCAGCAAGCCCACAAGCAGAAAGAACGAACGTAGAGCCATATCAAATAGCTTGAGAACCTCGAGCGAGAAGGAGCGCGAGAGCTCGAGGCTAGCTGCTACACTTCCACAGAGATCAGACCGAATGACGCTCGGTCATTGTACGCCCCTGCATTGGTTCCCCCGAGCCCACACTGCTAACATCCCGGCGTAGAAATTCGCAGCCGCCCTCTACAAGCTAGCTCCTCCTTTCCAAGCCACCATAGCGAGCCCTGCGTTTACACCTCCCTTCCCTGGCAAAAGTCCAGAAAATATATCCCTTTCCTCTTGGCTAAACCCCTGTCCCTCAATCAAGGCGGCAAAACCCCTCCACTGCCGCTGCCAAGAACCTGCATTCCTGTGTTGTGCTGCTGTGCGGCCCCTCAAAAAAGGCAAGCAGCGGCTGTTGAGTCACTTCCCTCCCATTCACTGCTCCAAATCGCTGGAAAAGAAAGACCCCCACCTCTCTCTCACCTCTTGTCCCTAGCGCGACCCAGAAGGCTGCCAAGAACTGGGGGCAATCGATTTCAAACCAAAATTATTCAAGCGCAGCACCTCCCAGTTCCCCAGTTGGAGCAGCGCCAGCGCCAGCGCCAGCGCCGGCAGCCATCGCCATCAGTGATCAGACTGGAGCACGCAAAAACTGGAACATTAGCAAGCACAACACCGATCCGTGTCAATTCCGACGCCGCGCCCCACGCCAGGCCGATATTATGCCCATGAAAGCTCCACCGCAGCAGAAATCCGTCCTTGGATGAGAGCGAGCTGGATCCGATCCTCCAAAATATTCCAAGAAACCAGGAGCGGGGGAAAGATCGATCGATCGATCGCGCTGCTGCCGCTGCCGCTGCTGCCGCGGAGCCGATCGACACCCTGCAATGCAATCTCTTGGCGCCGGAGAAGTGATGAACCTAAATGCCGAGGAGGAACAAGAGACGCATTTTGGCAGGGATCGATAATCCGCCCCGGCGGGCTCTTGATTGCTAAAATTCACTTTACTCCGTTTTACCTGACGGGTAAAAGCTTTCTACCACCCCGTCCATACACGCTCTCCCACATGGGGCGACGATAAGGACGTATGTCCTCACCCCAAAAACTCCCCGCCCAGCAGCAGCAGAGCGATAAGGACATATGTCCTTGGCGCGCTTCTGGGCGCTAAGGACGGGTGTCCTTGATGCAAGGACACAATCCTTAGCTCCCCGGCGGCTGCTGCGCTTTGGGTCGCGCGCTGGAAAGGCGAAATAGGCGAAATAGCAAATAAACCCTAAAGTGATCATGGAATCATTTGTTGGGATCCTGAGTTTGAAAATGTTGAAAGAGGGACGTAGCATCGCCGCTGATCACTCACTCAAGCATATACATTATATGGTTTGCTGTAGTAGAACATGGTATGGTATTTTTATATCACCGCAATCATGCCAACCATTTATGATCGAACGAAAATGGTGGTGGTGCAAAATATGAGAAGCAAATGTTTGATACCCTAAAATGGTGTGGCTGGTCACATCTTTTGCATGGCTCTTAATCAAAATGGCATACGAGTTCGTTAGGGCCACACGCACAAAGCCACCCTTATTAAAGCCCCGGTGAAAACGCTTCCCTGCACCCTTCCAGAGGCCGTACGGGGCAGGGCATCATGTAGGAGTCAAAGGCCTAGCAGGTGACCGGTACCTGCCGGTGGCGGTACCGAGTGGTGTGATTTTGCTAGTGAATGTGTGTGTATGTGTGTATCTAGCTCCCTAATGAGAGTAACAAGGACCCACTTGGCTTAAGGACGATTCCTCCGGAAAATTCGTATTCGTGGGTGTAGTAACTCTAACCCGCCCACCCTGCGATAAAAATCATAGAAAATGACATCGCATTTTACCCCTGTGTGATTCTCTCCCCTTCAAGGCCACTAACATTTGTTTCGCGCCATCATTCAAATCGGAAATATTCCGTCGCCACCGGCGGAGCCGGTCGCCTGACGTCACAGCAGGCCGTCGCGGAACCCGTGGGCCAAGGCGTTATGCTGCTTAAGACGAATTATGCGACTCACACGTGCCTGTTTAATCATAAAAATCTCGTACGATGATAGTACGGCGCTACCGGAATATTCCTAACCGAACGTGTCGATATTCAGGCTAAATTTTCTACGTACGGGGATTGTCTGTGTTAATAATGCACATGGCACAAGTGTATAGAAGTTAACATCTCACCAGTAAGTTGTTGTGCGATTACAGTTTCTTTGTACGGAACTGTAGCTCGGGAGAACTTCCGTATGATCCTGGGTGAATTAAGTTGTCCTTGGGTTTTTCTGTCGCCGTTGTTGGTAGAGCAGTGTTTTGTGTCTTTGGCTCACTGCCTCGAAGGTCTAAAAGCTTTTATAATAACCAGAGAGAGCCCCACCACCATTTGGCGAGCTCGATCCCGCCTATAAACAAAGACCTGAGAATCCAATCTCCCAATCTCCCAGCTCTCGAGGCGAACAATCATTTGTTATGACACGTCCCAGTTGGATCGGGAGAAAACTTTGGATCGATGCAAATTCCGGAATGAGGGGATGTGCCATTTACCTCCCCTCTCCCTCACCCTTTGTTCCCTCAACAAGCAATTGACTTATAACCTAGTTTACTTCTTGTTCCTGTTGCAATGCAAACAAAAGGTAAAAAAACTTTCACCTTTGCGTTTCGTTCCCCGTCGTTGCCGGGAAATCATTTTCTTTGCGGCTCGCGGAACTGGCTTGCATGTTCCACCAGGCAAGAAAAACTATATCACCCTTTTGTGGCTGTCGTAACTTAAGATCACTCTCTGCAGGGACTAAAATAACCACGGTGGTACAAGCACTTTTGTAGTTTTCTCCCCTAGAATAATTTGTTAGTGCCGCTAAAGCAAAGTATGGTAATCATACATAGGCCAGGCCCAAAAGAGTGCAAGATGTCAATCGGGCTGCATTTGTTTTTGCGGCCTGTAACATGCGGCGCATTGCCGCAAAATAATTCTCATATAACTCAAGAGTATTCAACTCCATAGCATAATTCTCGGCTACCTCTAAATAAAAGGGAACATATTTTAACAGCACCACCATTATTGTTATTTAGAAAAGGTTGGAATCAAAGTTTATTATCGAGAGGTACAAGCACTGGGGTGGCTTATTGCAATGCAGCTAAAGCGAAGTAGACGTAAGGAGTTGTTTTTTTGGTGGCGGAACATGCCCCCCCCCCGCACAGCCCAGCGAAGCGACGGGAGCTTTTATGCCAAGTGAGAAGATGCAACGTATATCTGCTGGAGGGGGGCATGGCAATTCGCTCTAGCTGGCCAACGAGATTATCAATGCGTATCCGTTATATACGAGCTGGAGCATACAAAACGTTAGAGAAAAAAAAAAGGAGTTTTGAAGACGACCACGAAAGTCGTTAGAACTGTCTTTGTTTTCCTGGTGAAAGTTATCTCGCATCTGTAGAGAACGAAGATCTTGTCTTATTTATCAGCTCTACGCGGAGGGACAAAGTCTTTGCGATACTTACAGGCGCTTCGAAAGATAAAAGGAGTTTCGGATGGAGCTTATTAGAGTTGTTTTTGCCAGAATCTAGCTTAGACTGGTTGGAGCCCGGCTCTGGCTGCTGCTTCTGACCAGGCGCGACTGGTCGCCTGATTGAACAAGACGAAATCGATCTGAGAAGCAGCAGCATCACAAGTCAGCGGTGGAAGAGCGGCCGAGAGCACGCAAAGACTTGCCTCGGAGAATCCGTGCGCCCCCTCCTGGATGGTTTCCAGAGCGATTTGCGCGGCTTTGGCGAGCGGGAATCTGGAGCCAAAGTTTAGCGCATAATAAAACTCGAGTCTACAGCAAAGCAGCTCTTTGTTACCCGTTGATCCCGCAGGACAGCGCCGGGAAGGCTATGAACTTGATGCCTTGGCTTCGTGCGACTTCGAGCGAGTTCCTGCGACGTATCAGCGTGAAAATGAGAAGCGAGAGAAAAAGCTCCAGAGTGCTATATACTTGTAAGCGTTCTTGAGAGTCTCGGCTTTTGCGAGCCTGTTCTTCGCTGAAGGTTTTCTTGTACGCTACACCCACAGTGTGGATGATCTTGCTCACACGGAGACTAAAGCCAACCACACAATACATTTGTACATGAAAAACTTGCTTACGGTGTAGCCATGGCTTCTCCTGGAGGACAATCGGGGAGTTCTCGGCGGTGATCCAGTCGAAAGAAAGAATTTTAAAATTGTCAAGAGAGTTTTTCCCACCTCCGTCGACGCCACCGCCTCCCAGTAACCATTCGTGCGTGGCGTTGACGATCGCATCGCTCTTGCCGTCGGCATGCCACCGAGTGATGTCGCCCTCGCGCAGCACCAGCTTGCAGGAATCGCCAAGCTTGTAGCCTTGCCCCGCTTCTCTTGCGAGCCCTTGCCCATTTCCCGCCACAAAACCTAAACCCTAAAACAAAGTTACAAATATCTTACAAATATCCCCATCCTAGAACAGCTTAAATGTCTAGCTTTAAAAGAATTAGCACCTCCAACTTCTACAACGATTTCAAAACTTTTGGAGAAAAACCCAGTTTCACATCGTACAAGCACTCGAGCTAAAGCGAGCTTGCCGCAACATGTACACTCGGAAGATCGGTTTTGAGCATCTGTATTCCTCATACTCTAGCTGGCCAGCAAAGAACACTGGTCAGGTTCACTCCCAAAAGAAAAACCCAAAGAAAAGAATGTCGTACCTCTAAAGTCAGCGCATGCTACACGAATATCTGCCGCTGGAGGACACGAGTCCCGTCACAAAAACGTTGCGCCGCTGTGGAGCAAGTTGTGAGCGATCGCATCTCGGGCCTGGACGGCGGCCGGATCGCTGCTGCTACTGTCCGGGAACATCAAGTCGTCCACGGCCTCGTACGCCAGCTCCTCGTCAAACCCCTCGTTGTGGTGCTCGCAAACGTTGTGGAGCACGCTGCATGCCCCCAGCACCGCCGGGAGCTCCTGGAGCTTCACCTCGGTCCGCTTTTGCAAGAACTTCCAGCGTCCCTTGAGCCGTCCAAACGCGTCCCTGGCGATCTTGAGCACCTCGGACAGCTTCTCGTTGAAAGCGTGGTGAGCCCAGCCGAGGTTGTGCTGCGTGTAAGGCACCAAGAGCCAGCTGAGTAGCGGGTACCCCGGCCCTCCGGAGACCCAAACTCCGTTTAGCAGGCCATCCGCCGCTCGCTGCGCGAGGTTGGACTTCTCCAGGATCCTCTCGTCCGACATGGAACCCGGCCAGCCGATGGAGAGGTCCGTGAAAATCCCGCGGATGTCCACCACCCCTTGCAGGGTGATCGAGTAGGACGTCTTCTGGTTCCTGTCCGTGTGCCTCTTGTTGAAGTAGGCCGCGACGTTCATCTTTGGAGCGATGATCGGGATGTGCGTCGTGTACATAGCCCCGACCAGGTTTGGAATCCCGGAGATGGCCTCGAACTCCTCCATCACCGCCTGAAGGCGCTCCTCGGTCGGCCACTGGACGTACTTGGACAGAAGAACGTCGTTGATAGCAGCGCAAACTTCGAGCACCAGCTTGTGACAAGTTGATATCCCGAGTCCGAATCGCTTGGAGACGAGCCTCAGCGGCTCTCCGGTGGCGAGCCGCCAGATACAAACCGCTACTCGTTGTCTCACCGGGATGGCCTGGCGGAGCATCGTGTCCTCCTTGGCCACCGCCAGGCCGAGCTGGTCACAGATGATGTTAAACGTGCTCTTGCTCATCCGAAATGCGCGGTGGAACTCGGCCTCGGGAAAGCTCGGGTGATTGCAGCGCTCCCACCACGCCTGCGAGCGTGACTTCACCCACAGCCGGCGGTGGACGCTCTGCTGCGTCGCGATGGCGGCACCAACAGCGGCCACCGCCAGCCGGCTCCGTTTCAAACGCAGCCTCTCGAGCTCGTCAAGCTCGGCGTACTCCTCCTGTAGATGTCGGTGGTAATCCAGCATCAACTCCACGCGTCTCTTGTGCTCCTCTTCGATTCTCTGCCATTCCAGCCGGGACCGCCTCTCAAACTCCTCCTCTTCTTGCTGCTGCTGCTCGCTGTAGACAACCAGGAAGAGCAGCATCTTGAGAAGCTCGCTTCGTCTCGGGTTCCAAGGTCTCTTCCTGCTAGTTACCTCCAAACCTCCGGAGCCGCTCATTGAGCGTCCTCCTAGAGAAAATCTCTTCCAGATTCACTAATCTGCTTGTCGATGGCGAGGAGAAAAACCACCGCTCGCCAACATTCTTCTTCTTCTTCTTCTTCTTCTTCTTCTTTTTCTTTGTGTTGTTCGTCTTCTTCCACCTAGACTCTGTGTCTCGACATACTCCTATTCTTCCGCGTGTTTACGCTCTCCGACCACCTATGATAATCCTGTATTAAATCTAAAATCCTTGCGAGAACTCTTCCAGCTCCGGCTGCTACTTCTAATCCTGGTGATCTTGCTGATTTCTCCGGACAAAAAATCCTTCCACGTGAATTCGCAAAACTTTGTTTTTTCTCCGACCATCTATCATCTGCTTCACACCTGTGCCTGGAAAAAACCTCATTTCTAGAAGAATTGGCCCCGGACTCTTCCCTACACTGTAGCTTCGTCGGCGTCAACCAGTTAGTCCACACGCATCCTCTATCAATGCGGCACCCCTGTCCGGACGCGACGGCCTCTAAACCCTATTACGCGCTTTCCCTCCTTCCCCGAAAGAAATCCCTGTCGATCGATCGAATGTGCTGCGTAAATCCATCATGCGCAGACCCCCACACTGCACTCGCCCTCGCTCGGGCAGCGCGCGCCAGGAGAAATCCCTGCCTGCCAGGCGCGACGAAGAGGAGGAAAGCGAAAACTCACACATTCTCCCGATCGCACCTCAGCATCGGATCAGATAGCGCACGGAATTCCACTCCCCCCGCCGCCATCAATGCGCGCCGCCGCCGCCGGGAGCGAGGCCGGGCGGCCCTCCTCCCGCCATTGTGCCATATCGCTCGCTCCGACAAGGAGTGGTTTAGCGCCGGGGGGAATCGAACACGGGACGGGGTGGACGGCGGACGCGCAGGGGAATCGAACACCCGACGTGACGCATGCTAGAGAACCTTCATTCAATGTTTAAAAGAAATTCCAATCAAGCTAAGTTGTCTCGGAGTTGTTGTCCTCTTGATAACACGAAACAATCCTCGCGAAAGCTTGCTTGATCTCGCCAGCTTCCTTTGGCCTCGTGTCCTCGCCAAGATCAAAGCTCTCGAAATGGCTAATGAGCGCCTCGGCCATCGCTGGAGAGATCTTGCCGCCGCCGCCGCCGCTAAGTTTCTCCTCTAGCTCGCCCAGCGACGATGCAAGAGCCGGGAAAAACGCGAGGAACCAGCTCGTGAACACCGCCACCGCCAAGTCTGCGAAGCTCGGAGGAGCCAAGAGCAGAGTGGACGAGAGAGCAGTGCTTGGAGTCGACGTTCGCAGCAGCGACAGCATCCCGGACATGGCTTCCACATCGCTCTCCGGGTTGACGCAGCTGGAGCAGAGCTTGAGCACCTCGAGGCTTGTCAAGGGTCCACACCCCTGTACTTCCGCGATGAGGAGCTTCCAAAAGTAGTGCTGCTCGATCGAGTCCCAGGCCAGTGACGCCTTGACGAGCCTGGCCAAGTTTTCGGCGCTGCCTATCACGGGGAACTCGCCGAGAGCGAGCCGGAACTCCACGCTCAGTATCTCCGCTGGGCCGAGGACCGAGACCATCAAGTGCATGAACTTGTCATAGCCGACTGCCAGATTCGGGAGGTAGCGGCACACCGACGGGAGAACTCGTTGGAGCCGAGCAACGTTCCACACCAAGCACGTCTTGAGATCGTTGAGTAGAGCGGACCTGACTTCTTCGTCTGGATTCGCGACGCTTTCGGCTGCAACGTTGATCAGGACGAGACTTCTCTGGAACTCCTCGTAGGCTTTGAAAGCCTCGGCCACTGCGTTGTGAAACCTTTTGCGTAAACTTTTCTGCGTAGCGCTGCTGCCTTGCCTCTGGAGCCGCTTTGTCTCTGGAGCTCTCGTCGCCTCGCCATCCTCGTCGCTGATGTCGGAGGCCTCGGCTTTGATCTGGTCCGCGTCTTTGCTCTTGAGGATGCCAAGCACGTAGTCCTTCGTCTCCAGTTCTTCCGCAAGCCGGCTTACGTAACAAAGGAGTCGTGGCCCGACTGCAAATCCTTCCCGGGACCAGAAGAGCAGCATCGTCCGGACGTGAGGATAGCCGAAACCAACGTAGAGCCTCAAGAGGCTGGAAGTCAGGGACATGGTCTCATCACCTTCGGCCTTGGTCGTCGGTGTAGCTGCTAGAGGCGAGAAGAGATCGTACGCTGCCTTCTTTGTGATATCCGTTACCTGGGACGCAAACTTCTCGGCTCGCTCCTGAGAAGTCAAGCATCCCAGGGAGCTCTCGAGAACTTTGATGGCGGCGTCTTGTGACAGGGCCAGCGCCTTTGAGAACTTCTCCAGGTGTGAGTTCAGCTCACTCGCGTTTGGATCGTGAACACCCGTTCGCCTTCTCTTCCGAATCACACTCTCGGAAGTAGTGTCCACTTCGCCTTTATCCTCGCTCTCCTCACGTACTGCGAGCTTGCCGAGAGGTTTGAGCTTGAGGCCATCGCCAGCACCTTCGACTTTACAGTAGAGTGGGAAGAGCTGGGACAGCTTCTCCCGCAGTGGCAACGCGATGGCCGGTGCCGTCGCTAGAGGCTCCAAGTTCCGGACAACACCTTTCCCAACCAAGATCTCCACCGACGCTGCTACGCCCCGGTGGAGCAGCTCCTTTCTCGGAGGATCGTAGTGCTCCATCAGCAGGAAGAGAAACTCCAGCAGCGAGTTGGTCATGTCCACGTACTTTGGTATCGACTGAAACATGACGAGTATCCCCGGCTCGATGTTCATGATGTTGTCGGTCTTCGGCACGAAAAAGAGCCAGTCGTAGAGAAGCGCAAGCTTCGCGTTGGCCTCGACGTGGTTGCTCTTGCAGCACTTGAGCAGCCACCCGATGAGAGCCCACCGCGGCAGGATGTCCGACTGGAGAATCTGGTTGCTGGGATGGTGGACGCAGCAAACATACCGTATCAAGTCACAGACGAGCGTCTCGCTCTCCGGGGTGGACAAGAACCGCTGCGTGAACCATCCCTGGTACCGTCGCTGGCTTCCCATTCTTACATGCGTGAGCATGAACTTGATCTGTGCCTCCATCTCTGGCGTCAACCGGGACTGAAAGTACCTCGTATGAGTCTTCACCACGTAAAGTTGTCCGATGTCCGTGAACGAAGGCACCCTGAACGATGCCGGATTCGCCAAGAGGTCCCTCCAAATGGCATCAAACTCGGCTATGGAGGAGACGTCCTGCAAGAGCCGGATCAAGTCCCTGCCAATCCCGAGGCACTCCTGGAAGTGCTCCCGGATCATGGACGCGCAGAACTTGATCTCAGCCTGGCGGAGCTCGTTCACGGAGGAGTTCTTCGCCATGCTGTGATCCGGAAGAAGGCGGAGATACGTGTAGACCGCGCTGGTGAGAAGGCCATGGTTGGAAGTCACCCAGGAGATTTTGGTGGTGAGAACCTCGAGCATCTGCATCGCGAGCCATACGTTGGTCGGGCTCGTGTCACCTCCGACGATCTGGCGGAGCAGTAGCAAGCAAAGATTGTCCACGTCCGTGGCATAGAACTCGATGAGCTGCTTGAGCAGCCAGATGATCTGACCCCGAGGATGTTCCAAGAGTTTCGCGTAGGAATCGTTTACCAGGCGAAGGAGGAGGCCAACGAACGCCGCGTAGCCATCTGTGGTGATGGTCGTGAGCTGATTGATAAGAGAAGTGGCCGAAGAGCTAGTAGCGGAAGAAGCTCCCGCTCCTCCTCCTCCCTGGGGCTGGATGAGAATGGCGTAGAGAAGAGCTTGCGTGAGAGGGCCTCGCTGTGCTGGCGGCACTGTGGAGAGGTAGGATGCGCTGAGCTGCGCCTGGAATGTGGAGTAGGCCTGCGAGAGAATGATCTCGAGCTCGTCCTGTGCCTCGTGAGAACCCCTGTGGAGCAGCTTGGAAGTCATGACGCTAATTCCATGCCCATGGCAAGAAAGTGAGACTTCCGCGTGCAATGCGCCGGCCGCCACCGCCGCCGCCGCCGCTGCTCGCCTGCTGGAGAGAGCTTACCTCGATCGATGGATCCCTCTGAGTAAGAACCCTAAAATACTTTTCTCAACAACGGACAATCAGGACCCTTGGTTGCGAAACAGCGATTCTCGTCGATGTACTTCTTCGTCATTCCAAAGGCTGCTTTGATAGTCAGCAAAATTTTGAAAATTACGAAAGCGAATTTGTAAAATTACAAAAATGCCAATGTTTGTTACTTATAAAAAAGCCCTTTCATATCAAAATAATTTAAAACCACTCAAAACCACTTCAAAATGCATATAATATCAAATCAACTAAAAACTAGCTCAAATAGGCTATTGACATGTCTGTAAACTATAACTAATCTTCTCTTATCTGCTTCTCTCATTAAATATCTCTAATATGGATATGTTTCTTTGGGTAACCTAGAGGGTGATAGGGTTTTGGTCGCATGAACCACAATATCGCTCTGAGTAATTCATATGGGTGTAGTGTTGTGCATAGTCATGTGAGTATATAGTTATTATTGACATATGAGTACAAAGAATGCCAATTTTCTACCAACCAAAACAAGAGCAAAACTCTCTTTCATGATGTTCATTACATAAACATACTTATTAGTATCTATTCAAACACCTTTATATTTGTTAATTTAACATGATAGAATTATGTGCTTCATCTATGCCAACTTCTATCCATAAATCACGAGAGTTCACCACCCCAAGAAGACTTATGTTCAGACCGAGGGTGGAAGTGTTCCAAAGCTAATAGCAACTCATGTTTATGTGTTTCATTTGATGAACTTTTTATCATTTTGGTCATGTTTTTAAAGATTATTTACCCTTTCACACCTTGGAGAGTTGGTTCCTTACACTAGTGCCTAATGAACCCTTTAATGATACTCTTGAAAGAAAAAAGGAGGGATTATTGACTTATTTATGCAAAATTCCTCCGTTATTTTTGTTTCCCAGATATATCTTAATGTTCAGACCTTCTATTACAACAGCACCAATAGAATATTATTAATGCCAAGGTCTCCAACCAAAAAATGGAGGCCGCCAATCTGAAAAACGTCGACAACGCTAATAAATGTGACTAACTTCATTATATACCCAATAGTGAATATCACAACCATGACCACATCCTTACCCTTGTCTTTTGACTCGAGCAGCAACAACATCAATCTTCATTAGAACAAGACCATTACCCATAGGATGGAGCTGAAGGATGTGTAATGAGAAGTGGAAGAAACAATGTCTTATAACATTATGCCAATCAAAGAGCATCGTCAAACGTGGATGGAATAAATGTATACACAAGTCTAACAAGATCTTGACGAAGTGCGGGCTATAACATTTCTAACTTGATCCACTCCGACATATTTGGCTCTACACGAAGCAAAAGGTTTTGGAAACAAATACCAAATTATATCACTGACTCAGATGGCCCTTGATAAACACGATATAATTGTTAAAAGGCATCATCACAATTATCGATATATCTGAATGCGCATTTGATGACGTCTAGGAGAATACTCCAATCCCCACAAGTGGCTACACTCAAATCATTGTACCATTGTAGTGCCATCCCTTAGAAATATGTGGGAAACTCATACAAACATTGAGTATTATCCAAATAATGATATATGGCAATCATTGTAAAGTGATCAAATCAATGGTACATATCATCCTTAGAATTCCCATGAAAGAACTTCAACCGAATGCGAGGATTGACACCAAGAGTAAGAGGAGTTGTACCATGCTATTATCAACTGAGTTTGATTGTTGAATTACAATCACATAGCATCAAGCAATTGTACTAACTACTGCTCCAGAGTTAAAGGATTGCTCTACCATGAAGATGAATTAAAAAGAAAGAGTAAAAGAAAAGAAATGAAAAAAACTAGAAGGAAAGGGAGATCTAGACAATGCAAAACCTAAATTTAAACTAAAATTCTGAAAAAATAAAAAATCAAAATAAAAGAAATGGAAAAAGCTAGATCTAGACGATGTAAAAGTTAGATTTAAACCAAAATCCCAAATCCAAGCACTCCTTAGGGACAATTAAAGGTGCCTTTCACCTCCACCAATGTAAGTGTATAGAATATGGAAAAGGAATATAGAAAATGTACATATAAATTAGCCCAAAAACTTTAGTTTATATGGTCTAAATTAAAACTAATCCAACAGCTATTGAAATCCCTTTATGTTAATATTAATATATAGCATCGTAGCCATACATTTGGACCTCACAATGTTATTATTTGATTAACTAAAATAAATATTTATTTCAAAAATAGTTTATTAAATTAAATATCACTATAAGTCTTTACAATCTTTGGATTGTCTTTCTCATACTCTATTGTTTTAGAAAATAAAAAATTGTAGAGTTTGTTTAGATGATATTTTAACAATTTTGAACACCTTATACAAAATAAAAAGTTATGAAGAAGGCTTCTTGTGATTTATAGACAGTCAATACCATTGGTTGCATGAGGCTTGATTAGCCTGAAGGGCTCAAGCTGCATCAATCAGGAGGCGATTTTGTATCTCTTCTATAGCAAGAGAGATGGTAAGATCCAACTTATGAACCAAGGGTAGAGCTGACAATTCAATGAAGCAACAACATCTTGGACACCTAATGGTATTGTCTTACATTTTGCTGTGAATCTAAACTTGACCTAACCATGGGGAATAGCTAAGTGCAAAACACCTATTAGCCAATAATATAAAACACCACTTCCATTCTAATTAACACTTGTTAAAGAAAATCGCAACCGTTAATACTTTTATCGAGATCGACGGTCTATGTGATTGATAATCTCCGCCATTGGTTAGGTTTTTGGTATCGACGGCATTTGCCTTTGCTAGGGTTTTGGAACGCGTCATACACAACACGGTGGATCAGGTGAGAGATCACAGGGCATGCTTCATCCGGCGTAGAGAGGAGGGGAGAGCTCACAGGAGCCATGGCAGCCGCGAGCATCAATGTGATGCTGGCAATTCACGCGAAGAAAACGACGCCAGTGGATCTCCACAAGCCGCTCCGGCTCTACATTTCGCAGCACTACTCGGAGCGCGAGGCCCGCGAGGCCGACGACGATCTCCAATCGGTCCAGGAAATGCGGTCAGAGATCGAGAAGGCCACGGACTCCCTCGATTCGCGACGCGATCTCTTGCAACGCTACTTCCGGGCTCTCTGCGTGATGGAATCTAGGTTTCCAATCTCCAGCGAGCGGGAGCACGTCAATTCCCTCTCCTTCACCTGGTATGACGCCTTCAAGCAGGGAAGAAAGGCGAGCCAGCAAAACATCCACTTTGAGAAGGCGGCCATAGCTTTCAACCTTGGGGCCGTGTATAGCCAGATCGCTCTCTCGGCCGATCGATCCCTCCCAGAGGGCCTCAAGCAGGCTTGCAACTCCTTCCAAGCTGCGGCTGGAGCTTTCGCCTTCCTCCGCGACAACGTCTCCATGAAAGCTTCCGGAAACTCCACCACCACCGACATATCGGTGGAGTGCGCGGGGATGCTGGAGAGGTTGATGCTGGCACAGGCACAAGAGTGTTTTTTCGAGAAGGTGGTGAGCGACAACCGACCGTCGGCTCTGTGCGCCAAGGTTGCCAGGCAAGTTGGCTTGTTCTACGACGAAGCTCACGCGGCGCTGGTGCTTCCTCCGCTCAACCAGCACTTTGATCGGAGCTGGGTGTCGCACGTCCAGCTCAAGGCGGCGCAGTTTCAAGCGGAGGCGTGCTACAGAGTTTCTCTCGAGCTCCACGAGAAGGAGAACATCGCCGAGGAGATTGCGAGGCTCAAGGCTGCCAGCAGCATGCTCACCGAGGCGAAGAAGTCTGGCAGGGGTGTGATCGGGCCGCTTCTGGATGCTGTGACGAAGCTGGATGGGAGTGTGTCGCGGAACTTGGAGAGAGCAGTGAAGGAGAACGACAGGGTTTATCTTATGAGAGTTCCGAATCCGGACTCGCTGCCTCCGCTTCCGTCCGCGGTTCTGGTAAAGTCGGCAGCGGTTGCCGAGCTTTTGGATGCCAGTAAGGAGAAGATGTTCTCCAACCTTGTGCCCGACAGCAGCGCAAAGGCATTGTCGAAGTACACCGAGATGCTGGACGAGATCATTCGTGTCCAGGCAGAGAAGTTGCAGCAGGAGAGCGAGATCACCAGGGTGAAGCTGAAGGAGATGAACTTACCGGATTCTTTACTGGCTTTAGAGGGCAATGCTAGCTTGCCGGAGCATCTGAGAGACGACGTAGAGGCTGTACAGATTGATGGCGGTCCAGCGGGACTGGAATCGGAGATGGCACAGCTGCGGGATTTGCGACGAGTTAACGAAGAGCTGCTGGTTCAAACCGAGGAACTGCTGGAGAAGGAGTCTAGGGAGGATTCACAGATTCGTGCTCAGTTTGGAACGAGGTGGACGCGTCCTCAGTCGAGTACTCTGACGAAAAATTTGCACGACCGGGCAAATGGATTTGCGGCAAATTTAAAACAATCTGGCGAAAGTGATCGTCGTATTGAACGCGCAATCAAGGATAATACCGCGTTTCTTTCTATTCTGGACGCGAGACCAGTACGTACTTTGTTTGCATGTCTCGTGGTACTAAATTGTTGTTGACAGATCGAATCGGCTTTGCCTTCTCTTGCAAGGCCAATTTTATCTCTGAATGGCAACGAGGACGCTGTCGTTGGTGCTCTGAGGCAGAAACTGGTAACATTTTTTACGTTTCTAGCTTGGACTCATTCTGATTTTCTATTGTACAGTCTGAGTTGGATAGGCTCGGTCTCCAACGTGCTAGTCTCGAAGATATGCTTAAAGATATGAAGAGACAGGTACTTACATTTAGTTTTCATGGAAAGCTTCTGATAATCGTATGTCCAGGACAACATCTTACCAAAACTCATGACTACCTCTGGCTCTTACGAAGATTTGTTCAAAAGGGAGCTTGCTAAGTATGAACCTGTGTCAATTGAAGTTGCTAGGAATGTACAGGCACAGGAGCAACTACTGCACGAAATAGAGGTCAGTTTCAAAGCTTTGTTTTTGGCTACAAATTCATGTTTTTTTACTTGACAGGCTCATAACAATGCATTCGCTGCAACGTTCAACTTGCAAGACTATGTCGGTACGTAGCTATATTGAGTTTCTATCCTGTACCTTCGCTATTCGATGCAGTGGCGCGAGAGCGAGCATACAAGCAACTCAGTGCGGCGATCGCAAAGTACCGAGAGATCAGAGAGAACATAAACGAAGGCCTCAAATTCTACGTGACGCTCCAGGTAAGAAGCTCAAGTCTGCAAGTAGAAACCAAAACGCTCTCGTTTTTTTTTTCCCACAGGACGCCATCACAAACCTGAAGCAGCAATGCAGCGACTACGTGATGACGCGCAACATCCAGTCCCGCGAGATGATGGAGGATCTCCAGCGCCAAATCACAGGTTTATCCTTCAACGATACTGGGCCGAGTCGCACGTACCCGCCAGTCACTCCCCATCAATCCCAAGCTCCCCAGTCCCAGTCCTCGCATCAAACTTATCAGCACCCACCACCATACAGTTCTTCCAGCCATTCTCCATCTCCTCCTCAGCACTCCCCTCCTCCTCAACACTCTCCACAGCAAAACTCTCCTTACTATCCTCCCAATATGCCGCCGCCTCCATACTACTCCCAGTCCCAGCATCAGCAAGCTCAAACTACTCAAGCTCCTCCATCGCAAGCTCCTCCACACCGCCAGCAGCAATCTCCTCCTCCTCCACAGCATGTTTACGGCCAGCCTGCTTATCCCGGATGGCAGGGAACTTACTACAACAATGCCGCTCCTCCTCCTCCTCCTCCTCAACCTTCTTCCACTCCTCCTCCATCGAGCTCGCATAGTCATTTTGCTGGACCTTACGCTCCAGGCCCTGGTTATTATTCTTCTTACTACAAGCAATAGGAGGTACCATTACCTGTGTACAGAGGTTTGCATTTGTAGAGTTTTTTCTCTTTTTTCTTTTGTTCTTTCTCCCTGTTTGTGTGATTTATTTTTTACGTAGCAATGCATCTAAGAGCTTGTGAGACGCTTGTTTCAACTTGGTTTTTGGGTGTAGGCACTTGGTGGAAATCGTTCTGGAGCAAATAAGTGCGTTGATCGTGTGAAAAAAGGACGATTTTTTGTGGATGGATGGATCATGGATGGATCCATTAAGCTTGGAATTGATATGCCATTATTTCAAGACAACGCAATGTTTGGGTGGTGATTATTTCAAGACAAGGATGTCGTCTTGTTTCACGTCACTGCTCAAGTGTTTGAAAATGTAGTAAAAAATAAAAAGCGTCTGGTAGCCGAAAAGATTCTATCTTGCGTTTGCTAAAAATTAACACACAGCGAGTTTAAAACAAACGCGATTTGGCCTGGACGGCCGCGATGCCATCATCTGGACACGTGGACAGCCATGTCGCCGCTGGAAATACAGGGAGCACGGCGCTGAGGAAGGGTCCACACGGCCGTGGGTTCTCTCTTCTTCCTTTTCCTTACTTCCCTCCCCTCTTTCGGTCGCTCTCCGTCTCGCCGTGTGGATTCACCCATTCATTGCTCCTTCCAGTCGCCGCCATCGCTGATCGTTGACATCGTAGATCCGGCAAAGGACTCGCTCGATCGAATGATATTCCTGCGATTACCGGGAGCTCCAGGGATCCCCGCGGCATAGATCTGCATTGCAGCGACTGGCTGGATCGATCTAGGCCAGGACGCGAGCTCCATTCCAGGGCGATCCATAATCTGACCAGGCAAGGGTTTTAGGAATGAAAGGGAGGGCGAGCTCCTCCTTCAGCGTTTCCGGGAAATGGATGCTCGTCCTGTGCGTCGGGAGCTTCTGCGTGGGGATGCTCTTCACAAACAGGTAAGTCTGCCGCCTCTCAAAATCCAGAGCTTAGAAATGGATGTTTTCGTGGCTCTAGAATGTGGAATTCTCCCGAGGATCTCGATGTGACCAGGCCGCAAACGTCACAGCACCTCCAGATTGTCTCGGAAGATCACTGCGATCCAAAGCCTGTAAGTCTCTTCTTTCTCCATCCATCTCTTCACTGTAGCTAAAAGTTATATTTCCAGAAGCCTGTGAACAGCGAAGCATCTCCAAGGGAGATTTTAAATCAAGTATCAAAAACTCATGACGCTGTCTGGTAAAGTTCTTCTTCAACTATAATTCTAGGCCTAATGGTCTCTTTTCTTTCTATTTGTAAACTACAGGAACTTGGATAAAACTATGTCAGCTTTAGAAATGGAGCTAGCTGCTGCTCGAGCTATAACTCAGCAATCCACGAGCTCTCCCGGCCTTGGAGCCCCGACGGGAGATTCAACTTCTGAGAATCATCAGAGACAAAAGGCCTTCGTGGTGATCGGCATAAACACGGCTTTCAGCAGCCGGAAGCGTCGTGACTCTGTTCGAGAAACATGGATGCCACAGGGTGAGTCCCGCACTTTTTTTCTTCTTTTGAGTTTTTTATTTGCTCATCTATCACTTGTTTCACTTTTCAGGCGAGGCTCTCAAGAGGCTAGAAGAAAAGGGAATTATTGTAAGATTTGTGATAGGTCATAGTGCTACTCCAGGCGGGATATTAGATCAGGCAATCGACTCCGAAGAAGCTCAGCATGGAGATTTTCTAAGACTGGTAAGTTCCTTTTTTTAATCTAAACATGGAGTCACAACTTATTGTGCAGGATCACGTCGAAGGCTATCTCGAGCTTTCTGCGAAGACTAAAATTTATTTCTCGACTGCTGTCGCTAAATGGGACGCTGAGTATTACGTCAAAGTAGACGATGACGTACATGTGAACATAGGTACTGTGATCTTCAGTATTTGATCGTTCGTTGCTTATGTTCTATGCTTTCCAGGTATGCTTGTGACAACTTTGGCTCGCCTAAAATCCAAGCCACGAGTTTATGTCGGGTGCATGAAATCAGGACCGGTTTTGGCGCAGAAGTAAGCCATAAAGTTTTCCTTTTTGTGTGCTCAGACACTAATAACGCTTGTGCGTTTCACAGGGGAGTGAAGTATCACGAGCCAGAATATTGGAAGTTTGGAGAAGATGGCAATAGGTACTTTCGTCACGCAACTGGTCAGCTATATGCGATTTCCAAGGATCTGGCGACATATATCTCCATCAACCAGTATGTTTGGATGCAAGCTTTGGATTCAATCTTCTATTTGTTTCCTGATTTTCTCTTCTTTCGCAGGCATATTTTGCATCAGTATGCAAACGAGGACGTATCTCTAGGAGCTTGGTTCATTGGACTGGACGTGAATCACATCGACGAGCGTAGCTTTTGCTGTGGAACACCTCCTGGTAAGAGAGAAGAAGCTTTTTCTTGTGCCGAGAGATTAAGACCTTTGGTTTTTTAGATTGCGAGTGGCAAGCCGAGGCAGGCAACGTGTGTGTAGCCTCGTTCGATTGGCCTTGCAGCGGCATTTGCAAATCCGTGGAGAGAATGAAGACAGTTCACAAGCGATGCGGGGAGGGCAATGGTGCGATCTGGAGCGCAAAGTTTTGATTGCGTTTTACATCCGGGGTTTTGCAAAGTTTTGTCGCAGGAAGATAGAATTGATAGGGAGGAAGCAGCTAACACAAACCAATTCTTTTGTGCGTTTTTGTTGTAATATAATTCTGTTGTATTCATTTACAAGCCCGGTAAAAAGTTAAACGTGTACTGCCGGAAGATCTTACGTAGGTTTAACGCTTATTGTTTGATGTCAATTGACACTCTCAGCAGCTCGAGTTCTGTAGCTCAATTGGTCAGAGCGTTGGTCTTATGAGCCGAAGGTCGCGGGTTCGACCCCCGCCAGAACTATCTCTTTGCACTGCTCTATTAGGGAAATTCTTCTTTTATTTTTTTTCTATAGGGGTTTAGGGCAATGACGCAGAAGGGCGAGCTCTTCAAGGGGCAGAAGAAGAAGACCGCGGCGGCAAATCGCCATGGCAAGGCTCCTCACGTCCGCAAAGGTGAGTCCCATCGATCGATCGCTGCATTTCCGGATACTGAATTGGAAATTTCTCTTAGGCAAGATGTTTAAGGAGCCAAAGAAAAAGAGCGCGGAGCTAGAGATAAACAAGGTACAAATCACGCGTTTTTTGCTTCCCTGGGTTCTTGCTCACGATTTTTGTTGTCTCGAATTTTCTTTTGTTTCCAGGAGCTCGCGAAGTTCATTGACCAGGCGAATGAAGCAAAGGCAGCTGCTATGGCAACAAATGAAGGCTCACGACTGAGAGTTGTCAAATCCAGCGATGACACTTCGCCCGCAAAGCCGATCAAAGTCCACAAGAACAAGAAGAAGAACAGCTAGTCGCGGGCTGTCTCAACGGAGGAGATCATGCGGTGAGCAAGAGATTTTTTCTTGTTTCCTTAGTTTTGCACGAGGGACGGCTGGTAGTTAATTATTTTTCATTTACCATGCAAGGCAGGATTTTTTTTCACCTTTTTTTTTTCCTAAGCAAGACTTTGTCATGAAGTTCTCATGTGCTCCTTAGGTACCTACAGTACTTCGACCGTGTTGCGATTTTCTTGGGTCAAGGCTCTCAAAAAGAATTCCCTTGCGATAGGTGTGGTGGTTCGTGGGCCGATAGAACAGCACAGGTTGGCACAGATTTATCGTACCAACAGTAGCAGGCTGCGAGGTGGTCCGGGAAAAAAAAGGAACAAAATTCCTGGTATTCCGACGGGATGGAAGGCACAGGGACGATCATGGCCTGAGCAGCAGAGTATCGTCTACATTTACCAAAAAGTCATAGCGCTCGCACAGATCGATAGATTCAAAGTTCCTAGTGATGAGGCCGTCGCAGGAAAAAAAAACAAAAGACGTAACAGAGAGGGAAACAAGACAAGGAAGAAGTTGATCCGTTTCAACTAGTTTGGTCGTCGAGTTTGGTGCTGTGATGACACCATTCACGAGTAAGCAACAGTCTGGTGGTGGTGCTGCTGCTGGTGGTGATGGTACTGCTGTTGCTGCTGCTGGTGATTCCGGTGGCGATGGTGGTGGTGAGAGGACCAAAGAGATGGCAGCGGGAAAAAGAGACTGAGCAGTGCTCGCTTGTAAGGGAGATAGGACGAGCCGTGCTTCCTGCTGTGCTCTTCCTTGATACGCTGCTGGTAGCGGTCCATGACCGTCACCATTGAGTCGGACGTCGCCACCACGGAAGAGGACGCCGCGAACGAGACGGATGATTTCCTTCCGCTGCTGCTAGAACGCTGCTGGTTGACCCTGGGAGCACCACTGCTGCTACCGCCGGTTTGATCCACTCGGACTACGTAAGAGGCAGCTCCCACGCTCTTGGACTTCGTGAGGTTTACTTCGTAATTGCTGCTGCTGGAGGTCCGGAGAGCTGAGCTCTTGCTGCGAGGGATGGAGCTTTTGAGCGGTGATGGCTCGTTGCATGATCTTCGCCGGGAGCTACTGTTTGACGAAGAGGAGGGGATGAGATGATCGAGCGTCGGCTTCTTTCCTCCGCAAACTGCCAGGATGAGCAGCGATTCTTTGCCGTGGAGGTGCCGCTGCTGCTGCTGCTGCTGGGATTTGGACTTTTCGAGCAGCCGCTGCCTGGATTTCCTCAAGAGACTGAGCGATTCTTCACGACTCTGCCGGGAGGCATCGAAATTCATGAGCTCTGCCAGAGTTTGCTTCTTCTTCTTCGGCTTGTTTGACGTGGTGGCGGCGCTCCTCAGGCGGTGATTGCTGCTGCTGCTCTCGGCCTCCTCGGACGAGAAGAGATCGTCGCTAGAGCTATCCGGCTGGAAATCGTGGTCGCCATCGTCCTCTACCTCTTGGATCTCTTGCGGGCGAACGAGATACGACGTTGGTGACAGCGGCTCCTCGACCGGGCTGCAAAATCCATCGCCAAAGTCAATGTTCTCCCCCGCCATGATCGATCGATCTTCGTGGAACGACAAAGGAGACTTCGTGAAGAACGGAGGAAGAAGTAAATTAGTGTCGGTCTTGGAGAGAAGTTCCTCGTGGCGATTAAACTGGAAAGAATTTGGAGAGAGGGGAGAGGAAGAAGATGAAGAACTCATGGTTGTAAGACTTCTTCGACATGGACGAAGAATCCTGGACTTTAAGTAGAAAACCTTGTCTTTGCCGTGTGGGATTGAGAGATTGATCGAACGACTGGCGCTTGTAAGCTATCTATCAGACCGTCAATCCGTGTCAATCAAGTCCCCTCGAAGAAGAAATAGCGTAATTGTCTTTGTAGGCCAGGAAGAACACCCCCACTCACACAATTAAGGCTTTGAAAGTGCTATGCGCACACGCCGCCATAGCTGCTCGTACAAACCATCGCTGCACGGAACCGATCAATGCATTGGGAGTCGCTCAAATTCGATGGTGGCACCGAATTTACAAATCTTATCTCTCTCCACTCACGGCTAATCCCTCTTGCTCGCTTCTGGATCGATTGAAATGTGGTACCTTCCTCTGCCTTTTGGGGTCTCTCTCTCGTTTTCCTTGACGCTGTCAAACACACACAGGCTTTGTTCGCTCGCCTCTCTCTCTGGGTAGGCACAAAGATTGCGTCACCGAGGTCGATGAACAAGGCGAGATCTAGCCGTCCACGTGAATGGCGCCTGGACCGTTCGATTCGAGACCGTTGAAGCGACCACACTGAGCAGCGTTTATAGCTGGTAATTATTTTTACCGCGCACTATGGGATAAACCCTAAAATATTTTCCCTAGGTCGGGGATGGAGGACGATTTCGAAGCGGTCGAATGCGCGGTGCGCCGCGTGCTCAATCAGGAGCTGGACGGCGGCGGCGAGAATGCGGGTGGAAAGATCGAGCTGCTCCACAGGCTGATCGAAGAGGTACTCGATTGAATGACTAGAGAGGATTTTTGGAAATTTTCATAGGTGCATGCTGCGCGAGCTCGATCGAGGAAGGAGTCGAAAACCTCCTCCGATGCTTCAGAGAATGCAGCGGTGAAGGCGGCTGTGGCGGCTGCAAATGCCGCACAGGCGGCGGCGGATTCAGTGGCCAAGAACTCGCGGATGATCGAACTTCTCTTGGATACTGTGAGAGTTTCTCGTCGTGATCATCGTCGGGGAGCTGCTGCTGTGGATAGTACCGACGACGACGACGAGTCTTTGCCTGAGAGAGGAGATGAAAACGAGAAGGAAGAGAAGAAGCTTTCGCGCATCGTGAGAAACTTACAGCGGCAGAACGTCATCACGCATTTTATCCTGGGCTTCATGGTGATCACTACGGCCATCTGGAGGGTTAAAGAGATCACTTGGATACTCCGGGTACGAAAGATGCTGGCCAATCCACTAGAGACAGTGGGCGGGATCTTTGGAGGCGATCATCACCAGGAGCATCATCGCAAACACAAGGAAGAGATCGAGAAGCCGCTGCAGTTGCCGCACTTGGAGCTGCCGACACTGTTTCATAAGTCCGAAACGACAGAAGATTCTATTTCTTCGTAGCGGAGTTTCTAAAGGTTTGCTTCTTCCGTTTTTCTATCTATTATCTTCGACAGAAGTTTTCCTTCCTGTTTGCCATCTCGCAGGACTATATTTTCAAGTTCCAGCGAAACAAAACAAATCATGATAGCAATTACATATAAGGTGCCGTGACCGCGTTTCATTTTTCAGCGATAACGAAGTTTTTTTCTCTCCGTTTCAGGTGATTAAAGTCTATCCTCTTAAGTACCCGGAGAAGAATAAAAATTTCTCCTTCGCTCAGCAAACCAGATGATTCAAGTTCCTCCAGAGATCGACGAAGCACATCGAGTTCGTGTACATTTTTTGATAAAGTCGTTCTGTGAGTGCTGACATGGGCACGATCACTGCCCCGTGGCGGTGACGTGGCGTCGTCCTTGCTTGCGTCGCTGTCAGTGACCAAAGGACCGAGAGGGGAGGAGAAAAGAAAAGAGAGAGCAGCACTGTTGAGTGAGCGAAGGCTAACTCCTGTCTTTGAGAGAGTGAGTGGAGAGTGCTTTCCTTGCTCCGTGTAAGTGTGGTGTTTAGTGTGGAGCTCCCAAGTGTGCGTGTGTGTGTGGGTGTCGTGTGTGTGCTTGGCTTGGCTTGGCTACTACTGCTTTGTTTTTGTGGCTTTCTTCTTTTGGGTGTTAGTGGACAAGTCAAGAGGGTCAGTCCTGACCAATTCCTGCGGAGAAATTTGCCGGTCGAGCCTTGGAGCTGGGTAAGCACTAGTTCTTAGCTAGGAGGCACTTGGGCAGGGGGTTAGAAGCAAACAAAGGTACAGATAGGGAGCAGGGAAGCCGGAGGCTGACTAGAAAGCACTAATGGAGATGTTGGGGTAGGAGGCTCTGGAGATGGAGAGCGACGAATTGGCGAGAAAAGGGGCGGCCCAAGACAAGGGACAAGAATGCAAGGAGGATTCGGCAAGGTTGGTTTACGTTTTTCTACAGTTGTGCTGCTGCGGGTTTGATGCTCTTTTTTGGTTCTTTGCAGGCCAGTTTTTGGTGAGGCATCAAAGGTGGAAAGCGCGGAGCGTAGAGAAAATGAGTACTTTGTCGAGCAAGATGCGGTTTTGCCGATAGCACAGCCGACGAGTGAGCCGGGTTTGACATGCTCGGGCCTAGACGCAGGTATGGAGATCGAGGATTTCATAAACGAGACTGTGGAGGAAGGCAAGTCGGACAAAGTATCGGAGCAGCAGCTTGTCAAATCCACTACAATCATAGAAAAAAGTTTGACAACAACACAGCCATCGACAGCAACAACTCCAGGCAGAGAGAATGTTGCCGAGAAAGTAGCGGAAGTTGTCATCATAGACCAAGATCAAGAAGTGGAAAAGTCGGAGGGGGGGAAACCTCAGGAAGGGCCGACTAAACTGGAGCAGTCTCAAACAAAAGTTGTGGAGGTGGCCGTAACTTTAACTGCTGGAGAGAACGAGGAAACAATCGATGGGGCTGCTCTCAAGAGTATGCAACTCGAAGCTGGAGATGGGAGTGACAAAGGTACTGCTACGCCGAACTCGACGAGTGGTCAGGAGAAGGAAACTGTCGAGGACGTGGCTGCTGCTCCAAAGGTGAATGCAAAAGCTCCCAAATCTTGCGTGGTCAACATGGCTAGCGACGATAACCGAGGAAAGAAGGATGGTCAGAAAGGTGGAGCTAAGAGCAATGGTCGTTCCAAGAAGAACCAGGCTGATCAAACAGTTGTGGTAGTAGAAGGGGAGGCTGCTGCTACTGCTACTGCCGCAAAGCCTCCTGCAAAGAGAGGCCGTAAGCCAGGCAGCAAGCGAGCGGAGAAAGCAGCACCTGATAATACATCCAAGAGTCGTTCCTCGTCAGGAGAGCCAAAAGCACCTCCAGTTACCTTGGATCTTACTACGCAGCCTTTCAGTGATGCGCAGCAAGTGCAATTGCGTGCTCAAATCCTCGTCTATGGCGCGATCATGTAAGCTATCTGTTTTGCCATTGCGTTCATAATCTTTTCTCTTTTGCTTACAGACAAGGCTCTGTGGCAGACGAAACTTTAATGGGGGCTGCATTCACGGACATCTCCAAAGGTTCTTGCTGGTTCTAAAATTTGGATTTGGATGACTGAATTTTTGTTTCTCTCTCTTTCTTTTTGCAGTAAGTAACCTTGAATCGTTTGAAAGTCAAGCTGGCTCCTCCAGATCGTTATGGGAAAAGGCATGGAAAACAGCATCCGAGCGCATGGTTAAAGCCGCTGGCAAATTTGGAGGAAGAAACAGTCCACCGGCACCAAGGCCGCCACCTTCCAATTTGAGTCCCACAAATCTTCCAAAGTCTCCGTCGTCGAGGGGAAAGAAGAGTGGTGCTACTCCGCCGCCGGCGGTGACACCGCCCAGTACGTCCGAATTTCCTTCGGTATCTCCAGTGGCAACTTCCATCATGACAATGGCTTCAGCAACGGTGGCTTCGTGGAACTCCGCGAGAGCTCGAGCACCTTCTCCAATGGGATCTGCAGTGGATAGCTGGCTCTACCGGTCTAGCTTTCCATTTGCTCAGCACCTCAACCTCTCGGCAAGCCCCGCCCCTCAACAGCCGCCATCGCAGTGGGGGGTTCCTTCGCAGCTTTCGACACATATACGTGGAGGCTGGGGTGTTTTCTCTCAGGCCTCGTTTGGATCACAGCCACCACCGTTCCCTCTGTTTTCTTCTCCGCATCAAGCGATGCCACCGCCAGCAGCGGTGGCGACACTGGAAGCTGACAGAGGCAAATGCACAGGGAAAAGAAAAAGGCTCGACGATTCAGAAAGCACTCCAGCTCCTGCTTCTTCGTCACAGGTGATTCCCAGCGACGTTTCTCCAGCCACCGCAGGACTTTTAGAAGGCAACGGTAACACGCTTGGTATCATGAGCCAAGAAGAACTGGACAGGTTGCGTGGCGAGGACTTGGTTCACCGTTTGGAGTCGGCGAAGAAGAAGGCGGAAGAGGCTGCCTCGGCTGCGTCGAGTATGGTGGAACAGAGCCAGACCGTGTGGGATGATATCAAGGAGAAGCAACGCACTAAGAACATGTCTACCAGGGAAGGGCATCTTGCTTCTTCTCTGGCTGCTGTAAGTGCTGCTGCGTCGGTTGCCAAGGCTGCTGCGGCTGCTGCCAACGTTGCGTATGCCGCTGCGTTGCAAGCTCGAGCCATGGCAAATGAGATAGTCTTGTCGAGGAAGGAGGCATCAAACTTCGACGACACAGACCCAACCGTAACTCACGTTACGCAGGGTGACGACAGGTCCGCCCAGCTCAAGTCTGCGATCTTCGGCGCGAAGGTGGCGACGAAACAACACGTAGAGGCTACCGCTCTAGCATTCACGAAGGCAGAGAATTTGGAGGCTGTTGTGAGAGCTGCAGAGCTCGCTGCTCAGGCTGCTTCCCAGGCTGGGAAAGTCATGTCGCTTGGAGATCCGGTGTCACTGACAAGCAGCGAGAAAAATGCAAAGCCGGGAGGTCGAGTGTCTGGGAAGAGGAATACTCGATCAAAGACAGCAGCAGCGAAGAAGAACAGGAGCAACGTTGAGGAGGAAGCTGTAGCAAAGGAGCAGAACGAAGAGAATGCGGCCGCGGGGGAGGGAACTCAGGGGAACGAAACTGCGCCGGCGCCGAGAGGTGATGAAGTTGCCGTGAGTAATAAAACTGGAGCAGCACAGGGAGACGTTGTGGATGCCGAGCCATCAGAAGGCCTAGTCGAAGACAAGCAGCACAACAAGCCGGAAGAGATCACAGTAGGCTCCCATGTCGAGGTATATCTTTAGCGTTTCTCCTTGTAGGCTTTTTAGTTTTCCTCCTTTTATTTCTCTTTCGGTTGTAGCATATTGTAGTAAGCGTTGATAATAATGCCTTGCAGATTGTTCCAGACGAGGATGGGCTTCAAGGAGTATGGTTCTCAGCCAAGGTTAAAACTCTGAATGGTGATGACGCTTTGGTTGTTTATGACGAGCTTCTGGATGATGATGGTTGTTACCTTCTTTTCTTTCGCCTGTTTAGTTTTCTACTCGTTGAGAAACTTACAGTGGCCTTTTTCTTGTGTTGCAGGAAACGGCAAACTTGAAGAATGGGTGAATATCACGAGTCGAATCGACAATGTTCCGCGTGTGAGGACGGCGCATCCAATGACCAAGGATGGAGGCATGCGCAAGAGGAGAAGGGCTTCGCAAGGAAGCCAGAAGTGTTATGTTGGTGATCACGTCGATGTTTGGATGCGAGACGGGTAAGCTCTAGAAAAAAAAAGCCCGAATGAACTAATCAAAGCTGCAGGTGGTGGGAAGGGGTTGTTCAATCGGTGGACGAGAGCCTTGTCACAGTTTTCTTCCCTGGTAAGTTTTACAATACGTTTCCTTGCAAAAAAGAATTTTTCTTTGGTTGTTTTTGCAGGTGATGGCGATACTGAAGCTACCAAGTCTTGGAATTTGAGGCCGTCTCTGGTGTGGAAAGACGATGCATGGGTACTGTGGCGGGATACTTTGGGTCAGAAAAGCAAGAAACAGGTAAGAAGCTACTCTTCAAGTCTGGAGAAACGATTGACGATTTGTTTCGCTCTAATTGATAGAAACTGGAGGATGGTGGTGGTAATCTGTCCTCTCAAGAACTGGAAACACCCGAGACCCCGACTGGCAAGAGAAAGAAACTTGATTCCGCGACACCAACACCAGGAACAAGCGAAGCTCCTACTCCTACCAGGCCTGCTGCAAGGGCCAAGCCTACTAAGAGAAGGAAATTTTCCGACGTGATCGAGAAGGACCAAGAGGCGAGGGACGCCTCCTTAGCGAAGCAGCAAACGACTCCACCGTCGTTGAGCAGAACTCCAAAACAGCAGCAGGGAAAGCTCAAGAAATCGACACCAAGCAACAAGAAGAGCTCGCCACCACCGAGAAAGACAAGGCAAACGAGCAGCGCCAAAAGTAACGACGAGGGAGAGGTCCGAAAGTCCGGGAGGATGATACATCCTACTTCCAAGGTGTGTTAATCTTCGCCATTTAGTTTCCTTCCTTGATAACCTTTCGTTTCTCCTTGGCCAGCTATTGGAAGGTTTAGAGACAACACCCAAACCAGCCAGCAAGAAATCTGGGACGCAGCAATCCGCTAGCTAATGTACTTTTACCAATCTCGTTTCCCTTGTTAACTACTTTTGCGTCCTGAATTCTCTCTTCCACAGATCGTCATCCTTAGAGGAATCTGTATCCCCCTAGACTCGGCTTTGGCGTCTTGGCCGCGGCAAACAAAGCAAGATCGAAAGGAGCTCAAGAATTCTTTAAAGCGTTTGGACGCGTTAGCTGGATGGCCAAACGTATTAGCATTGTCGGTGTTTGTCCTCCAATTCCTGAGTGAAGGCATTGGGGTCAACAATGTCATGATAGTGTCGCTGCAGTGGAGTGGAGCAGTGTTTTTCGCGTAGGACTAACTTCTATCAGCCCGAGTAAAATTCAATGACGGAGTAAGAAATCTGGTCGCGTAAGATCTTCGTCTTCGATAAGATGCCGCAGTGAAACCTTGTGACTTGGAACTCGATGATGGCCGGACAAGCCACGCCTGAGGAAGCCTCCCATCTGGTATAGTGCACGGAAGTTTGCTACAAGAATCATAGCTGGAACGCGGAATGTGCCCCCATTTTGAATTTTAGGGTTTTAGCGACTCCATGTTCAAAGCACAATTTTGGTATATGCTTCTTCAACGGGATTTAGGGTTCTACAGAATTGGGGGAAAATCGCAATTGTAATGTGACGCGACCGTTGACCCTAACCGGAAACGTTTTGTTAGTTTTCTGGGTGGTGCGCTCTTTTCTGAGGGAGAAAATGGCTGGAACTGGAGTGTTCAAGGCATGCCTTGATGGCGACGTCTACAAGTATTACGCTGATGGCGATTGGAAGATGTCATCATCTGGGAAGACCGTCTCTGTCACAAACCCTACCACAGGGAAGCCCATCTACAAGGTCACAGGTTCGCACTCGGACACAATGCGTTCGTGCAGCTTCAAAATTTGCTCTTTGGACTTGGCAGCTTGCACCCAAGACGAGATCAACAAGGTTTTTCAGAGTGCCAAGGCAGCTCAAAAGCTATGGGCAAAGACTCCCTTGTACAAGCGGGCTGAAATGCTCCACAAGGTTTCAGTCATCATGAAGGAACACAAATCACCCCTGGCGGATTGTTTGGTCAAGGAAGTTGCCAAACCTGCCAAGGATGCTGTCACCGAGGTTTTTTTCCCTACCACCATCACCCACTCTTAAGCAGCAAGAACAAGATTAAGGTGACAGAGCTCCATAGCTGTCTTTTGTTCTAAATTCCTGTCTTGTGTAGGTTGTCCGCTCCGGTGATTTGATAGATTATACAGCCGAGGAAGGCATAAGGATCATGTCGGAAGGCAAGTTTTTGGTTTCCGATCCGTTTCCAGGGAACGAAAGAAACAAGTTGTGCTTGTCTTCAAAGGTTTGTATATGTTTCTTGGTTTCTAGCGACAAAAAGGAACTGTATTGCAGGTTCCTCTTGGAGTTATTCTCGCGATTCCTCCATTCAACTATCCAATCAACCTTTCGGTTTCTAAGATTGGGCCAGCTCTTATCACTGGAAACTCCGTCGTGATTAAACCTCCAACTCAGGTATGGTTTTACTTGATGTATCATAATGTGTGACTTGGCGGTCTTTATCAACTTACAGGGTGCCGTCTCTACGATTCACATGATGCACTGCTTTCACTTGGCAGGATTTCCCAAGGGCTTGATTTCATGTGTGACCATTAAGGTCTCAGAATTGGGTGACTTCCTCACAACCCACCCAGCAGTAAATTGCATCAGGTACTTACAATATGGTTATGGAGGAGGTGCCTAAATATACTTATGCTGCAGCTTTACTGGAGGATGCGACACCGGCATTGCAATCTCCAAGAAAGCGAACATGATTCCCTTGCAGATGGAGCTGGGTGGAAAAGATACAATGCTTGTTCTCGACGATGCAGATGTGGAGTCCGCTGCTGTCAACATCATGAAGGGAGGCTTTGCATTCAGGTATGCTTTTGTGTTGAACTTTACATGTTCAAGTGTGCTGAGATTATCCCCTTTTCAGCGGCCAGAGATGCACAGCGGTAAAGGTTGTCTTGGCCATGGAATCCATTGCAGACGCTCTAGTATCCAAAGTAAATGCCAAAGTTGCAAAGCTGTCTGTTGGACCTCCTGAGAATGACTGTGACATTGTCCCGGTTGTGAGCGAATCCTCTGCTAACTTCATTGAAGGGCTCGTGATGGACGCAAAGCAGAAAGGTGCTAAACTCTGTCAGGTAATTCGTCAACCTCCGAGGCCATACAACATTTCTAAGCTCAATTGCATAACAGGAATGGAAAAGAGAAGGCAATCTGATCTGGCCCCTCCTGATCGATCATGTCAAACCTGACATGCGAATTGCTTGGGAGGAACCATTCGGACCTGTAATCCCCGTCTTGCGCATCAAGACAGCTGAAGAAGGAATCAACCACTGCAACTCAAGCAGATACGGTCTCCAGGTATTCTATCGATTTACTTATCGTGCGAAGAACTCACTAGAGATCCTTGTAATTTTCAGGGTTGTGTTTTTACCAAGGATGTAAACAAGGCAATGCTTGTGAGTGACGCCATGGAAACTGGAACTGTGCAAATAAACGCAGCTCCTGCTCGTGGACCAGATCATTTTCCCTTCCAGGTATATAGCAAATGCATTTTTTTAAGCTCTTGGGCGATGAATGTATGCTGTGTAAACGCAGGGTATACGTGACAGTGGCATTGGATCTCAGGGAGTTACCAACAGTATCAATATGATGACCAAAATCAAGACCACAGTCATCAACCTGCCTCAACCATCCTATACAATGGCATAACTTTAAACTTGTTTTACAATAAAGTGGCAGAAGAATTTCTGCTTTCCAGCAATTAAGCATCACGTAAACAGTATATAAAGCACTTGAGCCAAACAAGCCGCGGGATTCTGGATTTGGAAAGTTCTTGTGTTCTAAGTTTCCTCTTGCACAGATCGTCGTCCTTAGAGTCTGTATCGTCGCCCTTGTTCCAAGCAGACCCGGCACTCCCACGGGTAGAGAGCATCTACCCGTGGAGGATCCAAGCAAAATGTGTGAACTGCTCGACTGCGGCAAACGTTGCACACGAGCAAGAGCTCTTCGGCGTCCTGACCGCTGCAAACAACGCACGATCGAGCCTGAACAAAAGATTAGGATTAGGAGCTAAAGAGTTTTCTGGCAAGCTTACCACAGGGAAAGCGTTTGCACGCGTTCGCTGGATCTTCTTCTCGATCGCCACGATTGTCTCGAAGTATCTCTTGTTTTCATCATCGTCTGCCAAGGATATGAAAGGCTCCCTCTTGGTGATAAAATCGAAAGGGGCTTTGCAGAGCGGGCACTTGGGGGTGTTGGCGGATCCCTGGCAAAAAGAGAAGAGAAGATGTTACCCAGGCGATGAATTTGCGAGCAATGGCTTACGGAATGCTGGCTCCATTTTTTGATGCAGTCGAAGCAAAATTGGTGGCCGCATGCCAAAACTCCCTCCACATTTGTCTGGTTCTCGTCGTGGCAAATAACACACGCCACGTCTTCGCTCGAGCTCGACGACGTAGACAATCTTCTTGTCGACGGACTCTCGCTCCTTGGAGCTGTCCCGGCGGACGATGCTCCCAGATCGCGCGGATTGGAAGCATCGTCGATGTGAAGAGGCGGCTGAAACGGTTGTAACTTTGGTGACGTCTTTGGAGGGAAATAAGCATCAAGCTGCACCTCGACTTTGCGTTTAGTGGTGTGACTGTTCTTTGTCACTGGCTGTAAAACCTGCAAACAAACACACATACATTTTGTGAAAATGTAATATCAACAGCTCTCACCTTTCTCCGGGAGGTGCTTTCGCGAGACAAATCTCTGAAGCCTTCAAGATACTTATTCTCGTGCTTTCTCTTCGTTTCCCTGTCCCTGCTTGGAGGCGCAGATCTTTTGCTCGACTCGGCGATCTCATCTTCTAGTAGAAAGGCATCCAGTCCCGTCAAGATGCTTTTCTCCCCGTGGTTTCTCGGTCTGCATCTTTTGTTCTCCTTTCCACTTCTCGTCGAAGGCTCTCTTCTTGCCCTCTCTCGCGGCCGCGGCGGGGTGGTTGACTGATGGTGCGGTGTGGGACTTCGCGCATCTTGATCCAAGCAGCTGGCTTGAGGTTCTTGAGGTCCCGTAACATCCTCTCTTGCAGTATAGCCGCCAGCTCTCCTGACTTCTCGATATGTCACTGGACCAACTTCTTTCCCGCTAGTCGCAAAATAATGGAACAGTGCGAGTGAGATGAAGCCTTTGCGAAAAAAAAAAAAAACACTCACCTTTTGTGCGTATAAGGTTCTTCCGGTAGCCGGCGGCCAGCCCTCAAGCAGTCCTCAAACCACTGATGGTTGACGATTTTAATTCCCAGCTCTTTAGACAAATGATACTTTTTTCCAGTAAAGCTCCAGCAGACCTTCCAAAGGAAAGTGTCAGCAAAAAGCACAAGGACAAAAAAAACATCTTACTAAATGTGTGTGACTCGTAGATAGATCTCCCAGAAATAGCGCGCCCGTCCTGTTGATCAACGCGACGACTCTACTTCGCTGCGTACCTGTATATCCGCTAATGGTAACGATCAAGGAATCCATCCCCGGCACAGAATGCCGCCCATCGCCGCAGCCATAATCCTCCCGATCCTGATCGGAATCCTCGATGGTGATGGTCTCAGCTGTGCTGCATCGGCGCGCCGGTAGAATCACGCCAGCGCCTCCACCGGCATTCTCCTCCATGGCAGCAAAGAGCCCTAAATAAAAACCTCCAAAAGAGCCCTAAGGGAAGAAATTCAAAAATCCTGGGACGTGGCAGTCTCTAATTACGTTCATAAACAACGATTAAAACTTATGGTCGAGATGATGCCACAACGAGTACCACGTGTCCATTATCCGTTGGGGGCAGCCGGTTGCACGCTCGATACCCAACCGCGACAGTTTCTCATTTATCTTCCCTCTCTCGTTGCAAATATAAAGGCGACGCAAACACAGATGTTCGTGTCTTGTTCTTGTTTTTCGGTATTTTAGGGCTTTTGCGAATGGAGTGGAGACGTGTGGAGCGTTGGAGGGCTGATTGGAGGCCGGGCGGCAAAAGATCTCTGCTGCTCGCACGATTGTTCATATAGATCTTTTCTCTAGCGGTCAGGCGATCAGGAATGGCCAGGTAAATATCGCGACTATATATTCTCCTACCCATGTACTGGAAGCAGAATGTAGTTCATAGGCTCTCTCCTCGCTTAGATTCTAGCTCTTCCAAGGATCTCTTCTGAGCTTTTCTTTTTGCCTTTTTCTCCAGATCATGAGAGAGCTAGCATTCCACTCGCGATCCATCGGCCGATCAGTCGATGCTATACATCGTCGAGCGCTGTGTTTTTGATGCACTCAGCTTGACACGGCCGTGCTTGGAAGTCTGGAAAGTTTTCTTTCACGCTCCACTGATGCTGCTGCTGCAATGCGTGCTGACTCTCTCTCTCTCTCTTGGTCGTGTCAAGCTGTGTGCATCACAACGCATTGCTCGTTTTCAAGATTTCCTCCTTTCTTCTCCAAATCTCTAGGCCTAGACGCTCTCCCGCAAGAACAAGCATCGGTTTCTTCTACAAGTGACGCTCTCGCTCTCTCTCTCTCTTTCTCTCTCGTAGCAACTTTCTCTTCTCTAAGCGTCTCTGGCTCACAGCATCTCGATCTTTCTGTGCTTTTCCTTGTACACACCTTGACAGGGATCATCGAGTTTGAGAACCATCTAGCAGTGAAAGGTCAAACACATACCATCTCTTAACTTCTCCAGGGAGAGATCATCCTCCCAAGAGAGAGGTAGCGAGGTATAGATATTTTTTTTCCTTCTTTCTTTTGTCGACATGGGGATGGGGATGTGGATCCACTTCCATCTCTTTTTTCTATTTTTTCTATCGTTCGCTCTCGACAGCTTGTGACTCATCCAGGTTCGTACGTCGGGGTCTTTAAATTTTATTAGTTTCTCACGTCCTTTTGCAGCCTCTCGTGGAACACGTATGCCAACGATTCAATTCCCTTCCCCTTTGCGCTTAAACAACAGTTAGTGGCTGTGTGGTCTCCACACACTACACAAATCTCAACTTTCACGCGGCGCCGGAGATTGTTTAAAGCGAAAAATCAAAGCTTTCTTTCTTTGACAATGACGAGGACAAAGCTCGCCTCCTTCGACTCACTGTACAAGTTTATCAAAACTTCGCCAAGTTCGCAAGTTTAGAAGATAAAAAGAATATGTTTTTTTTTGTTTTTTTTTTTTTTTTTTGTGTTGAAATCGAAACTTAGCTCGATGTTTGCTGCTGTAGCTCGATTTCTCGTGGCAAAGGTGAAGACTTTCGCCTGGAAATAATCTCTGCCTCGCGAGCAATGTCTATGTCCGAAGCCCACCACCGCTGCTTGACGACTTTCACCATGAATCGAGGCAGCAAAGCCAAGCACATAATGAGCAACAGATCAAACCAGTACTTTGCTGTTCCTACGGCGTGATGAATGACCCTGCAATAACACAAACAAAACTTCTGATTAACTTCCCGGAAAAACAGACAAACCAATAAAGAAAACAAAAGAAAGAGCGAGAGAGGATCAGCGCATCAGCGTACCAGTAGTGGTAAATCGAAGTGGCATCTGTCAGCGAGTCCATAATGAAGAGAATGATGTAGGTGATAGCGATCGATCCCCATATTGCCAGATGCATGATCCAGTTCCACACCTGGACGTCGAGAGCCAGATGTAAATTCACCAAAATGACCACCGCGGCCGTCCATAGTGTTCCCAGGCTCCAAATGTCTATAGTACTCTCTTTGTATGTGAACCAGGGAACGTAGAAGAGGACCAAACTTTGCCACAGAGTGTCGAGCATTGTCAGCCAGAAGAGGTTTTGGTTGTAAGTCTCGTGGCGGAGCCCGGAACCGTAGAGTGTTGGCAAGCGGAGGAGAGTTTTGTGGCTCAAGTCCTTGTCAAAAATTGCCACCACTATGGTTGGAACCGACGTGAACAGGAGCGAGTAGAAGATGAGATTTAGATCGACGAGAGCGGACTGTGAGGAGAATGCTGTATACAAAATATACCTGGAAGAAAAAATGTTAGATCTTGTCGCTATCAGTGGGTAGACTTGCTTTCTTACCAAAAGAGCATCATAACGAACACTGCGTTGCGGTAGAAGTTGTATAGAACCATGTATGCCAGTCTTTGATAGTTCCAGTGGCCGTGTACGAGGAGGAGTTTGTTAAGAAATCTGAATCTTGGCATTGCAAAATCCGATGCCATCACTGCTTGCCGGCCTTCTTGTCCGCTTATACCAACGCCTACGTCCGCCATCTGAATCATGGCTACGTCATTCGCACCTAAAGATTAAAGATTAAAGAGAAATTATTCAAGAGATCTCCTAAACAAAGATGATTACCATCTCCAATCGACAAAGTCATGGCTTTGTCTTTTCTCTTGATCAGCGACACAATGGCTGCCTTCTGATAAGGAGCGACACGGCAGCACAGAACCGCGTGGCATGCGACAGCGACCTCGAATAGCTGCAAGATAGTTTTAAGTCACGGGAACAAACAAAACCGCTTCTCGTACCTCTTGATTGAGATCGTCCGAAAGAGCATGTACGAGACTGGTCCCATCGATTATAAGCGCCAAAGTACTGTCTCGGGCATTCTTTTTGACAGCCTGTGGAGTTACTTGAATGTTTAAAGAGCTAGAGCTCTTCTTCTTGTCCAAACCCCCAGTTTTTAACTTCGCTGCTTTCAAGGCACTGCGGCAACCTTCCTTGGAGCTCTCGTTGATGATAATTTGATCCATGTCATGCGTTAACAACGCGGAGGAGTAGCCTATTGAGATAGCTGTTTCCTGTTTATCACCTGTCAGCACCCATACCCGAATGCCAGCTTCCCTTAGCGAGGATATGGCTTCAGGAACTCCGTCCTGCAGCTTATCCTCAATACCTGTAGCGCCTATGAGAGTCAATCTGTTCTCTACAAAGGCCGCAGCAGCTTGAAGCATCTCCGCACGGTCGTGCAAGGCTGTACTGGCCTCCGAGTACCGGCCCAACCATTTTTCAAACTCTGAACGTCCAAGAACTTTAGAAGCAACCACCAGGGTTCGCAAGCCATCCTGTGCAAAGTCCTTCAAATGCCTGAGTGTAGCCTGCCGAACGTCTTGCGACTCACTCGAAATGTTGACAATGTTCAGCATATTTGTGTCCGCACCTTTAACCAGCACCTTGATCGTTTTATCCGGGCACTCGACAACAACTGACATTCGCTTGCGAACGCTGTCGAACTCGTGAATTCCCAGGATCTCATATCTATTGGAAAAAAATAGAACACACTTAGCAACAGCTCGGGTACGAATAGAGCTCAAAAGGTAGGTACCTTTCAGTAGTTCCTGAATTGCCGATAACAATGGATGATGCCGTCCGTTCCATGAGCGTAAAGCCATAAGAACTGGCCGCTGCCACCAAAGCCTGTTCATCCGGAGACTCCCCTTGATACTCTACGAAGCCAGAAGGTTCTATCTCCGCCGATGCAACTTCCATTTCTAGCTGACCAGAAGACGATTGAGTGACCCACGTAGGGACGACGGTGTTGCATGCCGCCAATACCAGAAAGAATTCTTTCACAGCCTCTGCCTCCGCAGTTCCAGCAGTCAAAATACTCTTCAGATCTGCATTTACTCCTGGTTTTGCTTCTTTTTCTGTGAGAAAAGAAATTTAAAAACGATTATTTATTCTGAGCACAAAACCATTACCTGAGATCTCGACGTCGCCAGAAGCTTTGGAGCCAGCTTTCGCGTACTTGACCCCGCAAATACTCGCAGAGTGAAACTCCATCATGTTCTCTGTCAAAGTCCCAGTTTTATCGGAAAACACGTACTTGATCTGCCCGAGGTCCTCGTTGATATTCAAGGCACGGCATTGAAGCCTCGAGTCCGTCTCGACATGCAACATCTCCGTGTCCCTGACCATGAAAAACGTCTGCGCCAGACGAACTAGCTCCATGGAAATGTAGAGCGAGAGGGGGATCATAATCTGGAAGCTGATCAAGCAGCTCAGAAAGGCGATCACAGCTTCACCGGCAACACCGTAGTACATATACTTGTCACCATCATCCGCACCAGATCGCGGAAACTCAGTTCGCTTGTAGTACGGCAGCATATCGAGCTCGTCGTCGCGTCTCGCCACCCACACGCCGGTGCCAACACCCCCGATGAGGCACAAGATGAAGAGAAACAGCGACAGCCACAGCGTCTCCCTGTTCATCTGCTGCTCGAGCTTGCTTCTCTTGGACTGAGCACCCGAGCTGTTAAGCATTGCCTTGGTCTCCTTCCCTGTATAGACAGCAACTCCCACGATCCACTGCGTGTTCTTGAGCTCGCAACCCCTGAGAACTATGTTGTTTGGTCCCAGCGGAAGACGAGTCCCTGTCGGATTATCCGTGTCCAGATCTAAGTACGCCTTAAACTCGTAAATATTCCGGTTGGGATGCTCGCAGTGCACCACCCCGTTAATCGGTTGGTCCTCGGGATGCCTCAAGAGCGTCTCCTGGTGAGCATACCTCGTCTTGAGATTCGACTCTCCATCCAGGTTGGTCGTTTGGACGTACGCCACCCCGCTGGGATCGCTCGTCCCCAGCAAAACCAAGTCGCACGGCATCGTCTCATTGGCAAACACCTTGAGCAGCTCGCCAACTTGGATCTTCTTCCACTTCTTGGCCCGAAACTCCGACTCCTGGAAGACGTGAGCCAGGCGGTTGTTCTCGACGAGGTCCGACTTGTGACGAGCCCAATCCTCGTAGCCATCTTTCACGGCCGTGACGAAGAGCACGAAAGCCAGTGGGATGATCGACGCTGTCCGACCGAAAACGGCGAGCTGCGGGATCTGGTTGAGCACCGCGATGACGAGAAAGTAGACGTAGGCCAGGCGACGAAACTGCTCGAAGAGGTTCCGCGGAAGAAAAGAGTACCAGGTGTATTTGCTCGTCCGCACCCTGTTGCCTGCCATCTCATAATTCTCGTTGGTCCGGCCGGGATCGTTGACGTAAATCACTCGCTGGGCCGCCTCCTCGATCTTCCCGCTGACTGGAAGAATCGGCAAACTCGCTGATGGATTCCTCGAGATCCCCGCGCGGTGCGAAGGCGCTCGCGTCGATCGGAAGCTGGGGTCCTTCCTCAGCCGGGTGTTAGCGTTGCTGCTAGCCTGAGAGAGGCGATTGCTCGTCGAGGAAATCTCCTGGGAGCTGGCAGAGCGGGAGTGAGCGATGATCCCTGAAGAGGTGGACTCGATCGAAGACGGCCGTGCGGAGGAGTGGTGCTGGAGCGACCTGGAGCGCAGCATTTCCGGCTGTGGATTGGGAGGAAGAGGCGCTCGATGATCGGTCGTGCTTGAGACGTGGGTGTGCTGGGATTTCGAATGAGGCAGCCGCGGCGGCGGCGGCGGCGGCGGCCATCTCTCGCTGGAATTTCGAGACGGTTCCACTCCTTGCGACGAATCTGCCGCTGCCGACGCTGTCGCTGGATCATCGGTCGGGCTTGGAAGTGGCGACGGCGATAATAAATGCCGAGACATAGAACAAAGAACTAACCTCCCTCTCTAGCGCGGAGAATGAGAAGGATGAATCGCTCCTCCCGGCGGCTGGAGTGGAATCGCTGCTGCTGCCGCTTCGATAATCTTCGGCCACGCATCAGATCGGCGCAACACTCGTCGCGAAGTCAACAGTGAACGCCCAATCCTGTCCACATCCACCACCTATACAAAGAATTTGTCGCAGAAAGCAGCAGGCATTGAGAAATCCCGAGCTTTAATCTAGAATGCGCTCGAATCGAGACAGCTCCTGCTGGCCAGTGGCGAGGAATCCTCCCAAACCCTATCTCTACTCTATAGTCGCGCAAGAACCCTAATTTCCAACAAGAGAAATTCAATACACGCCACGTTTGACGGCCACCCCATTCAAACCGAAGCTTCACACACGGAGAAGGGTGGACGCTTCCCCGGTCAAAGGGAAATCGGATGCCGGCTACTGGAATTTAAAAGTGCATATTCTAGCGTATATTCTTTGGGTTCGCGCGAAATGCGAGACGAGTTCTCTAGCGCCCAACGGGATCGCAAATCTCTCTCTTCCTGGCGCCGCCGCTCATCAGCCTGGATCCTACGAGGTCAGCTATAAGATCCTCCATCACCGATCGAAAGATCATCCTCTCCAAATCCACTCCAATTTCGATGCTATCGCTTGTCAAGGCCCTCCACTTCCCGCCCTCTGTGCTCATGTCCACCTCTACGAGCTCGTCGACCATCCCCAGCGTCATCTCTCGCCACGAGAGGATGAAGCTGCTGACTTCGGCCACCAGATCCTCGCCGAGCGGTCTCTGGGCGATCGAGCTGCTGCTGCTGCTTGCTAAGATGACGCTGCTGCTGCTTGCGATGATCGAGCTCGCGCGGTTGTCGTCCCGGAATGGATCCAGCACCAGGTCCAGAGCCTCGGCGATGCACTCGTGCATGAGCTTGTGGCACGATCCGGGAGCTTCCAAGCACCGGACTTGAGAGGAGTCACTGCTCGACACGAATTCCACCATTCCCTGCTGCTCCTGCTGGATTGCTAGCTGCCTGTCGAGCCTCTGGAAAATTTCTTCCGTGCATGGGACCGTCGACGGCGTCTCGTCTACTTCCTCGCTGGTAAAGCCTGATGCTACCAGAACTTCTCTAACATAGAACTCTATCTCCTGCCCCTCGCAGCTCGCTGCCTCTTCTACTCCGACCTCTGGAAAATCTGGGAAGCAGCTCGTAACGCTGCTGTAACTTTCTAAGTCTAGATTTGTCTTGCAATCGCTGATGCTGCCGACGAGAACTTGATGGTTGCTTCCCGTGAAAATACTGTCAGCATCAGACTCCAAAACACGCTTGCTATCTGTGATACGATATTAAGACTTGAAATAAGAGAATCAAAGCTGTTGCTTACCTTCATCGAGTTCCTCGCAGCTAGTGGTTACTTCTGATGGAAAAGGCGATTGCAAAGCCGAAAAGTCCAGCACAGAAACTGGACTCGGTTGTCCACCATCAACTTCGGCAGTACCTGTTTTCGAATTAGCTTCAGCATCCGAAGAAGGAAGGGCCAAAGGAGTCGCTGTTGTGTGCTTCTCGTCATCTTCGAACTGAAAAAGAATTATAAACTGTGAGTGAGAGTGACTGACAAGCCACAGAAAAAAAAGAGTACCTGAAGAACTTTGCAGGGAAGGTCCTCCGTTTGATCGATCTCGAAGCGGCTCTGGGGCTCGATAGGCGACAGCTCCATATCAATAACGTTGCCATCGTCTTCATTCGCAACTGGTACTTCTTCGTTCATTTCGAAAGACGAACTCTTTTTGCCACTCAGCGGACTGTCACCTATGCTCGTCTTGCCAAGAGATTTAGACAGAATAGTCTTGAGAATTTCCTCCAAGCTCTTGTCTGCGATCATGTCTGGCTCAAAATGCATCCTTTCAACTGCCTGAACCTTCTCTGGAGATACATCAAGCACTGGTTCCTCCAGAACGTTGTCTTCTTGCAGATGCATTCGATTCCAATCCTTAGTCACGTCCAAGGAAACCACATCCCGCTTAGACGTCTCTTTGAGATTTCGTGCGGGGCTTGATCCACCGGATCTCGTCTGCCTCTCGTATGCATGCTGAATGTCATCGTTGCTGCTTCTTTGCTGCTTTGGACATTCCATCGCCTTCTTCTTGGAGCTTGACACTGTTTCTGCTTTGTTTAGTGGCTTCCGTCGGAGTAACGATTTCATCAACGAGTTGTCGTTGTTCTTGTTTGGTTGTGGCTTTACGCTTTCTTCATCCTTACTAGACGACAGTTTCTTTGATGCTTGTTTCTCGCCTACGCTGCTTCTGCTGTTGTTGTTAGTCTTGCTGGTCTCTCCATTAGGACTGGAGCTCTTTGGCTGCTTCCGGGTCTTAAACAGCCGATCGTAGCTGAGAAGGCTGCTGCTCTTACCATCCTTCTCTTCCTGCGCATTGCGTATTTGCCTTGATGTTTTGCTCTTTTGTTGTTCCTGCGGCTGTTCCTGAAGGTTTCCACGTTGAACTTGTGCCGTTCTTCCTTGATCAAGCGGCGGCTTCCTTGACTTTTGAGCGCCAACTTCTGTGGACGGCTCTTGAAGACTGATCGGCCCCTGACGCTTCTCCCTCTTCTCCCTCTTCAACCGAACTTCCTTCCCACCGCTTACTGGAGTTGTCGTTGAGGAAACAGAGCTTTTACCACCACTATGGCTACTCTCCTGTTGAGACGTAGGTTGTAAAGGCTGCGGGGAGCTCTGTACTTCTTCCCTCACGCTCTTACTACGAAAAAGCGATCCCCTGGAAGGTGGTGTTGGGGGCTGCTCTTCCTTAACGCTTCCGCTTCTTGAAAGTTTTGGAGGACCAACAACCTTTTGAAGTTTTGCCGCAGAGCTGCTAACAATAATCCGGTTCTCCTTGCTACTCGAGGCCTGTGAATCGCTCAGCGAGTCATCATCACCGTCCTCTTGAACCTCGCACGCTGTAACAACTTCTTCCAGCCTGGGAGACTGTTGCTGTGGCTTACTTGACGTACTTTTCGTAGGAGTACCTCTGTCGGCAGCTTTGCTTCCACTTTTGCTACTACACTTGGTCTTGCAAGGTAACAGTGAACCCGGGCCTCTCGTCAACCCGCTACTTCTTTGGACCTCCTGCTGTTCTTTGGGCTTCTGTTGTTGTGGAGCCTGTTTATTGGTTTTCGGCAAACTTTTTCTCAACTCGGCGTAAACTCGATTGCCTCCACTTTTCGCAGCTGAACTGGAATTCTCAATGGCACCTGGAGCGTTTTCCAGCAACGGACGCGAACGACTGGCTTGAATCCCTGGTTCAAGAATTCTAGCAGCGGCCCCCATAAGTAGAGCAGTCCTCCTGTGGCTGTTCTGACTTTTTATCGGTGGGGCTACCTTGTTACTGCTCTTTGAAGGTGACAAGATAGACGCAAATGGAATTCCTGACTTTTTCGGCGACAACGGAAGCTTCGCAAACTTCTGCATGGGATCTTGATCTTTCCTTGCGTTCTTCGGCATTTTTTCTTCCACCCGCACCTTGTTTCCTGGTGAAGATTCCATCTCCCTTCTAATTTTCCTTAAATCATCTGGCCGCTGTTGAAGAAGATCCTCCATCATTTGAAGTTCCTGATACTGTTGCATTATTCTGTGTTTCTCCTGACTCTGCTGCTTGAAAAATGTCTCTTTCGTTTGAACCTCGGCCTCGGGAAGGGATTCCAAACCCATGAGACGTGCAACAATTCCTGGCTTCTTGCTTGATCCATACTCAGACGATTTCTCAGAACCGAACTCGGACTGCGACTCGCTGTTTGAATGCACCCCTCGGTTCTCGTCGGCTATCTGAAAGAACAGTTTGAATCATTTTTAAAACCACTAAAGGCAGGCACGGAGCACGGAGAGACATACCAGCAAGAGCTTTGCCATTGGAAGCTTTTCGTCGTTGAACTTATTGCTCGGAGGCCTCTCTGTAACGAAACCCGAAAAACAAAAAGAAAAAGAAAAGAAAAACAAAACATTAAAATCAAACTCAGAATCGCGACATTGAGATCTGCTTGAGTTTGAAACGAACCTGCTGGAAGCGACTTTGTGGAGAACAGATGTTTCCCAGAGAGCCTCCTGTTCCAATCGAAGAGCTGAAAAAACACACCGACGCATCCCCCGACTTTGGGAGGCTTCCCATCTGTATTTGAAAGGCTGGAGAGCAGCCTCCCAGGCGTATCGGTCATCTCCTGGCCGAATCGATCTCGGAACGCCTAAAACACCCCCTGCTCTCGAACTGCTGTTCCTGATCCTCCACACTCAATCTTCGCCCAAATCTGGTTCCACAACCATCTTCGTCTGTCCCTGCTCCCAATGTAAAAAGCCAGACAATGTCCCTACTACTTTCCCTCTTTGCGACTCGCGGAAAAACCCAGGCAGACACACACAAGGGAGGGAGCTGTGCAAGCGGCCAAAGTCCCGCAACAGCTCAAACGCAAAGCGACAGGATACAGACAGACAGCAGACACAAAATGCCCAATCCGTTTTCCAAATGCCAGAAGGAAGAAAAGGAAGATACTCAAAGAGAAGACGAAGAGCAAAGAAGCAGCCGGCAAGGAAAGAATGGCACGACGCTAGAGCTAAAGCTGTGCTTTGTTGGCTCTAAGAACAAAACAGCAAACGGTATGACGGCTTTCCACAATCAAGCAGCCAGAAAAGGGACAATGCAGGAACAAATGCAGCGCTGGAAAGCCTGCTCCGCCCTCTTGCCCGCCTGCATTCCTCCCAGACACCGAGAGCGACGCATCACCCTACTCGCAGCTCATGAAAATCACCCGCTCAAACCGATCAAACGCATGCGTCACACAAGCACACAAGTAGAAAGTCCCAAAAACCACCCCTCTCGCAGGAAAGCCCCGGATCTCCAGCCGCCGGGGCTTGGATCGCCACTCCTGGCCGCGATTCAGCGCAGACCGAGCGGCGCAGCAAGAATCTCGACGCCTGACTGCCCTAGCCTTACGCTGAAGCGCGATCGATCGCCGATGCCGGTGGCGAGGAGATCTTTTTCCATGGCGGTGGCCTGATCGCTCCTCCACGCGCTCCTCCTCCTAGCCTAGGTCACCGACGAAGAAGCCCGGAGCGCTGTTTGATTCCCATTTCCATCCCTCCTGTGGGGCGAACTTCGAGGAAGCCCATGAAAGATTCAAAATCGAAGAGGAGGCCTGTTTAAGACTTAATCAAGAGATTAAACAACACAAGCCCGGTTTAGGACATAAGCAAAGGGCACAAAGCAAAGCCCTACTTTAGCTAAATCTGGTGGAGCCGCCAGGTTTAGCGTTACCTCGATGTCGCGGCATTGCTTGTTTGCTTCCCGTGCCTGGGGGAAGCCAGCTGGCCAAACACCAGCCAAAAAGGAGACGAATATACCACGGTACGTGCATGCTGTGTCAACCACGTAAAAAACGAATAATCGGCCTTTGGTCTTTATGGCCGCTTCTAGTGGTGTCACGCACACACGGTACGGACGCGGGGTCCCCCCAAATCAACCTTGCGTGAAGTAAAAATGGCCGTTCTTACAAGAATCAAAAATTTTGAAAAGGAGAGATCTATGTTACAGTTACTGGCAGGAGGGTTGAGAAATTCAATTCCACCACCTTATCTCGAGTTAAATATTCGTATGACTCTTTGTTTTTCTAGGGCAACAGGGGGAGGAGTCAGGGTGGCATAATGGCTGGCTGGCCCCCCTGACTGACTGCACAGAACTCATGCTGGAATCATCCTCTTCTAGATGGCAAGCTTCTCAATGTATCAACTAAAACATCTGTATTTAAGAAAAAGAGAGATCTTTTAGATGAAGATATTCTCAATTCATGCCCATCTCATGTGCTCAACAGGAGCTACTTTTGCCCTGAAAGTGACTTGCAAATCCACCCTAATCATTCCATGTGGCCACCATTGTTTTCGCATGATCTTAACTTCATGCCGTTGAGTCGATCTTACTTTACCCTTGGAAAGAAATCTCTATGCTTTTTTTTTTCTGGATTCCACGAGGTAGTGGCGACTTAAAACTCGGGAGGAGGAGCTCTCGATTTCCCTGCACTAAACAAGTTAAGGTGTTATTTTATTTTATAAAATAGAGTGTTCTTGAGAAACTCGTACCTCCTCCTCCCGGAGTGTTCTTCTCGAGGAGCTTTGACTCGCCACGCCACTCCTGACTCGTGTTGGATTCAGTCAAGGATTCCAGCTAGTCCCATCTTCTTGATGGTGAGCCTGGGTATTGCGGGAGCGCTGGAGAATCCTAGGCTCGCCCAGTATTTCCTTGAGTACTCCACCACCGTGTGCTTGTCGATCGACAGAGACTTAGCCGTGGTGTAATATCCCAGCCACGATTGGTACGCCCTGGTTCCAATCGTTTGGTCGATGTCTGAGATCACTGACCTTAGCTGCAAGAGTGAGAGCGAAGGACTCGGCGTTTGTAAATTTCAAAACTTCTAAAGTTTTACGTACCTTCTTCGACAAATCCAAAACTTTTGGTGTCTCCATTCGCCCTATTGATATGTCCTTCAGCTTTCTCAGGAAAGGCTCTTCCCAAGGGAGTAGAATCAAAACTCCCTGCCCCTCCTTTCCTGCACGGCCAGTTCGTCCAAGGCGATGGATATACTGCTCCCGAGCTGCTGGAACTCCAATCTGGAAGAATGACATGTCAACTCTCGTCGCCTTGAAAACTTGTCATCCCAAACCTGAACCACCAAGGTAACGTCCGGATAATCAATCCCTCGAGCGGAGACATCCGACGTAAACATAATGAGTCCGCCTTTGCAATTACGAAACTCGTCAGATACGCGAGTGCGATACGTTTGTGTCTTGCGCGAATGTATTTCTCGTATGTTAAAACCCAGCTTCTGATAGAGTGCAGCCATGTAAGCTGTTATGTTTGCAGTAGTGCAAAACACCAGAACCTGAGAATCGAGTTAGCAGTCAATCATGATTTTGAAATGGACGCATCACCTTGTATTTCGGTTCCACAGCGATGTGTTCTTTCAGAATTGAGTATAACACCGCAAACTGACTTTCTTGTGGAACGACAGCATACTTCTGGTTTACCTGTTTGACAGAAGCACACAAATATTCAGGCGTGAGCGATAGAAAACAAAGCATACCATTGCGTGTGTTTCAGTGTCCTGTCCGACGGTATCAACGAACTTATGATCCGGCTTCAAAGCCAACTGAGAGATGCTATGCACCTGTGGAACAAAGCATAGTAAAAAAACCATGGTGAAACGTGGAGATAAAATACTTCTTTGGGAATGGTTGCCGAGAAGAGAAGCGTTTGACGTTTTTTTGGAAGAGCTTTTAGGATCTCGGTGAGATTTTGACGGAATCCCATGTCCAGCAAGGTGTCTGCTTCGTCAAGAATAAGGATTTTCACGGATTTCAACTGATCGGCAAAGCCTCTCGCATTTTGTATGTGATCTAGTAGCCTTCCCGGTGTGCCAACCAAAATCTGGAAAGCGGCAAAATGTTGTCAGAAACCACAAAGCGTATTTGCATTTACCTGGCAAGGTTGGAGCTTTATCTTCTTGGCTTCCATGACAGAGCTGTTCCCACCTATAGCAGTCTGAGCTCCCAGTTCATTGTGGAATTTCATCAAGGTTTGAGCCTCAACAGCCGCTTGCATCGCTAGTTCTCTTGTCGGACAGATGACAAGAGCGCGAATGGGATTCTCATGATAAGTTTGCGCATTCTTGCTCGCCAGAATGGTCTCAATAGTCGGAAGCTACATATACACACAGTTCTATAAGAAAGAAAACCGAAACCGCACAATAGCAAGTACGAACCAAGAACGCAATCGTCTTCCCCGTGCCCGTTTTTGCCTTGGCCAGAACATCCTCGCCTACACCCAAGTAAAAGAAACCATGATCTAGAAAACCAGAGAAAGAACTAATACAAGGCAGACCTTTGAGAATCAATGGTAAAGTCGCTTCTTGCACCATTGTCATCACCTCGTAGCCCAGCACATTCTTAATCGCCTTGAGCGTGAGAGCATGAACTTCAAACTGATCAAATCTGGGAAGAAACCCAGAAAATATCAAGCCACAGAAGAAGACTTAGTCCGAAACTCACCGTGAATTCGATAGATGAGAGTTCTTGCCATTGTCCACAGGAATGCTCTCCTGGCTTGAAAGAGGAGGCGCCGGAGATGGAGGCGCTAGCGACGTTGATGGAGGCGCGAGCGCATCCGCTACGCTCACCTCCTTCTTTCTCCTGAGGCGCCGGGCCGCTCGCTCGTCCTGGTCGACGACAGCAGCCGCGGCAATCGAAAACCCACGCGCATTTACCCTGGATTTCTTCGCTCCAGCTCCAAATGCCGCCATTCCAGCACTGCTAATGGCACCAAGCGGCTGCGCGCGCTTGAGCCCCATGGCTCCAGCTAGGCGCACTAGCTCCATGGATAGAAAAATGGGAGGAGCCTACCTAAAACCCTAAACCCTAGCCGCGCAATAAACACAGAACACACAAAGTTCTTCAAAGAAAATTTGGGGACAAATCGATCAGCCAGGGCCGACCTTTGGAATGTCGTAGTGCTCGCTCAAATTCGCGAGGTACTGATTAAACTCCTCCACTCTTTGCCTGTGCGATTTCGAGGCCATCTTCGCCAGTCTCGTCTCCTCGAGCTTGGCCTTCTGCTCGTGATACCTCTTCTCCGCTGGGGTTCGATGATCTTCCACCACCGCCGGCATCATCCGCCCCTCCTCCTCCTCCTCCTCGTCGCCGCCCAGACTTCTCCGCTGCTGCTGCTGCTGCTGCTGCTGCCGCTGGCGATTGTAGAGATCTTGGCGATCTTGGTCTTCTCCCTCCTCTCCCTCCCCAGGAGCTCCATCGCCGCCGCTGCTAACCCCATCGATTACCTCTGTTGGCACATACTCGGATCGCCGAGGCTTCTTCTTCTTCTTCTTGGTGCCGCTCACATCCAGCGCCCGCCCCTTGAGCTTGAGCTTCCCCACAACCACGCCATCGTAAGACATCTAGCCGAAGAGCCCTAAAATTTGGTCCAGGAGCCCTAAAACTTTTGGCAAAAGGGCTAACGAAGAATATACCGATGGGGAGAAAATGCCTTTATGTTAGCCCATCCAAGTTCTCTTTACCATCTCAAAAATGTTGCCACCCCACAAAGCAGGAGTCGACCTTTTTATTACCAAAAGGTAGTCTCTTTTGTTGAAATTTGTTATTCTGGAAGCTTGTGCACATAGGAGCGGCTGACTACAGCAGACTCTTACCTTATTGTTTCGTCAAGACACCTAGAGCGTCACATAGATAGCGATTTTACAAGCGTTTTCGCCACTCGGATTGACGCACTTGTGAGTATTGTAATCCGCGAACGAGCTTGTAATGGGCGAACTAGTACAGGGCCTCGAGGAAGCTTGCCGCCAGATTGCCGGTACAGAGACTGATGATTGCAGGACATTCGCAGTAGTTCCTGTTGGAGATCTGCTGCGACAGAAAGTGGCCAATGGAGTGACTCAAGAGGTGACTGGACAGCTACACAGCGCCGCAGAGGACAAAGAGGAAGGGCCAATCGAACTATATGTGGATGAATTTGAGTCTGAAGACGAAGATGAATCTGAAGACAAAGATGAGTCCGAAGACGAAGACGAGAGGCTAGAGTTATTTGGTGTTATACCATGGTTTGCGCCCCCTAGGTTCCATAAACTATTAAAGCTATAATAGGAACCCGAACCCGTTACCTCTTGCGAGCCCCGACCTAGCGGGGACCCCTCTGATGATTTACCTCTCTTTTTTTCCTTTCTCTTCTTATGTATTTCCGAATTGACTTAGTGGCCCTGATCAGGTTTGTAAAGTCGGCTCTTGCAAGTTTGTGATTAAGAACGGGGACATAATGGAGTGGTTTGTGGACGGAGTGAATGATGCTATTGTGTATCCTGTTGGAGGTCAGCTACACAGGGGGAGTTTGGCATTTGACTTAAGATTTTTTCGGTCTTTTCAGAAATACGGTTTTCTTATTTCGTTTTTTATGACTTGTTTCTCAGCCCTTCAAAAGGGCTGCCAGATCATTGCTACTCAAGGCCCAAAATACTTCATAGACTGGGAGACGGAAGCTGCCACGTATCTTGGTCTCACTTACAGGTATGCGGAGTGCGTAGAAAATTTGATACACTTATTATAGGGACACTATATCATTTGCTTGCGAGGAGGGCGTTAAGCACATAGGGCTCCCAGCTATCTTGTGTGGATGTGGCGGGTTTGTACTCACGCCTTACCTCTTGTATACTGAGTTTCCATTGTATTTCAGGTTTCCTCTGGATAAATTGCTGTAGAAAGCGTACAAAAGGCACTGAAAAGTGCTAAAGTAAGCTGCCCTGAATTAGGTATGCGTTTTTATCTGTGTACAAAATTGTAGGTTCACTTTGTCTTAAAGGACGAACCCACCTTCAGGGCCTTGGGTAGCTGCAACAGACCTCCTTGCATTTACGGATTATGATGGCTACGTATCTTGTTGGAGCACCAGACTTCCCTTTTCATACACTTCCGAAGGGATTCCAACTTACGATCCATCACACTGTGGCCAGAAGAAATGTCCTCTCAAATCCGCTGAAAAATGAGAAGGGAAGTCTTAAAAAATGGATAAAGAAAGTGTTCAAAAGCCATTTTTCAAATCTATCTAAAACAAACCTTTGAGAGTGGATGCTTATGCTGTGGGATGATCTTGAAATAAATTGAAAGAGTGGGAGGTTACAGTTCACACATCGCTTGGCAATAGATTCAATAGGAAATTTTGTAATTATTTCTGGGAAAAGAGTGAAATTTCAATTAATTGTCTTCATGTCCAAGGAGCTTGTGGTGTGTGTGGTAAGCTGACATAAGCGACATCTTAAACCATGTCCCCATTGACATCTTTTGGTGTTGACTTGTTGTTAGCTGGTTTTGGAGCAAGCTCAGTCAACAGTCGTCGTGCAAACCTGCTGACTGAAACGCAAACCACAAACCACACGACAACTGCCGACTTCTGGTGAGACAACTAGTTTCTAATGAAGAAATTAAAGGAAGATATGTCTCAATGGTTAACTTCCACAAGAGTGTCATCTTTATCAATTCTTACAATGCACTGTCTAACACTTAAGAGGGAGAGCGATCCATTTGACTCGCCCATTTGGATCCATTGCCCGCTTATTTCTCAAATCTCCTATAAAAGTTGCATCCACCATGTGAAAGAGATCTTCAATGATGTCTAGGAGAAAAATTACTACACCTGAAATTTCATCCTCATGGCTTATGCCTAATAGAGCTATGTCAGGGATGCCAAGCGTTCGTTTAGTGGAAAGACCAGACTTTCATGCTCACTACAGACGTTTTCCTAGGCGTATTTGACCAAATGCTGGACAAGAGACCAGTTGTATCTGGTCAAACAAGTTTGAGAAAGTATATGTAGTAAGCATGGAAGATTTTTTTATGCTTTGTGGTTTTTTGTATTATCACTTTGATTAGTTTATTGAGATATTGGTAAGATATTGTTAATGCTTGCTTTAGCAATTGTAATCTTTTAGTATTATTAATTAAACTTTATTCAGATTAGCTTACATTTTGATATATTAATTGTTACTAATAGATTGGGATGTTATTTCCTTTGAGTGGTACATTCATGAACTTTGTAAAGGCTACACAAAGAAAACAGATTAGTAAACAAAACATGTGAATTAGATGGTGAAAAATATATTATATCGTAACAATACGTAACATAATAAAGACTTTACTTTACCATGTTGAAATTGGGATTACATTTAAGCAAAGATGTTCAAAATAAATTTGATTCATAAACAACTAATCTAGCCACAAAACTTCATAAGATTTTGGTGGTGTACAAACAAGTGGATTAGAATAAACATAAAGTGGAGAAATTTGCTAATGAACATTATTAATTCTAAGAATATCATCTTTATATGAGTAATCTTCTTTCTGTTATGTGAGTAGATAAATACTTTCGTGCCTTTGTGAAGTTTTAGATATCTGAAGTTTTAAACCACATTAGTAAAGTAGCTTATTGAATACAGTTGTTATCTGGGCCTCGGTAGGGGGTGAAAATTCATTTAATATTCTAATTTAGCCATTTAAAAAATACATTATCTCAAAGTGAAGAATATAATGATTCTTTGATGTATAGAATTGTGAATGATGAATCAAGAGCTTGAGTGAAATTCCCTAGAAAAAATGATTTAGAATGTAACTCATCTTTGGGGCAAAGACATTGTTGGTGGGGTGAAATTTGTTAACGTGGTCAACATGGGTCAAAAGTCAGCCATCACTTAAGGGTTTTATTATGGAGCCCTAAAACTTTTCGCAAAAGGGATACAAAGAATATACTGATGCGGAAAATATGCCTCTATTTTACCTTTGACGCGGCTTCCCTTTCCCTTTACGACCCGACTAGTTTTTAATAGCGCTATCGCGTTGTGTCGCTAGGGTTTTTGGAAAGTAAGAGCGCTATGATGGATCCGGAGATGATCCGCCTCGCGCAGGAGCAGATGAGCCGAATCCCGCCCGCCGAGCTCTTGCGGATGCAGCAACAGGTGAGCAGCGCTGTGGATTGATTAGGTTTACGATTGCGTTGTGCCTGGAGCAGATGATGGGCAATCCCGACCTCCTGCGCATGGCAACCGAGGGAATGAAGAACATCAGGCCCGAGGATTTGCGATTCGCGGCCGAGCAAATGAAAAATATGCCGAGTGAGCAAATAGCTGACATGAGCGCCCGGATGGCCAATGCATCACCCGAGCAGATTGCGGCCATGAATGGAGACGCCACTGCCCTGATGCTGAAGAACCAGGTACTCTCGATCGAGTTCTTGTGCCTTCGGAGCTAAAAGAATCCTTTTTTCTTTCTTTTCCAGGGCAACCAGCTTCATGGATCAGGACAATTTTATGAAGCCATAGACAAATACAAAGAGGTGTGTGTGATTGAGATCATGGATGGCGATTTTTTCCTCACACGTATTTGGCAGGCAAAGCTAAAGTCGCTTGGAGTGAGCTCCGCGGCAGCTTCGAATTTGCGTGTGACTTGCTCGCTGAATTTGATGTCATGTTACCTCAAGACCTCGCAGTACAGCAAAGCCATCAGCGAAGGCTCGGAGGTTCTTGCTACAGAACCGAGGAACTTGAAAGCTTTGTACCGTCGTGGTCAAGCATACAAGGAACTGGGAAAGCTTAAGGTAACCACGGTCACTTACTTTCTTGGGCTCTTTTTTTTAAAAACCTGTCCTTTTGTAGCTTGCTGTAGCGGATTTGACCGAAGCTGCTGCTGTTGCGCCTGACGATGAGACTGTAGCAGACGTCTTGCGCGTGGCAAAGGAAGAGCTAGAAAGGGAGGGTGACAATGTGGAAAAGGTAGAAAAAGAGGATGACTATGTACAACATAATAGCGATGGTATGTATTCAACTCCGTCTAGTAGTTCGTCTCTCTAACACGATCGACGCAGGGCCTATTATTGAGGAGATCACTGAAGAGGAGGCTGAGAGACTGACGTCTACAGTATCAACGCGCAGGGAAGGAGTTGCTAACCGTGCAACAGAGGGTGAAACGATGCCAAGGGAGGCCTCCACGAGCAGCTTCTCAGGCATGTCTCCACCTAATGACCAAGCCTACGCTGAAGCTATAAAATCAATGAAGCAAAATCCTGAGTTATTAAGGTATTTTATCTGCTTATACAGACCCATCTTCTTTCCGTTTGCTCATCATTTTCACTTGCAGAAACATGCAGTCAACTATGTCGTCTGTGGATCCAGAGCAGCTTGCTGCCATGAGCGGCGGCAAAATGACCCCGGAGATGGCAAAGTTTGCAGCGGACTTGATGAAACACATGTCACCCTCCGACTTGGAAAGGATGGTCGACATGGCGAGCGGTTTGAATCTCAACGGAGGTGCTCCAAGCAGCAGCAGCAGCGGGCCGGAGCCGACAAGGCCCGCAGCTCCAAGCGCCTCTACCGTTCCTTTCCAGCCTTCTCCTGGCATGCTCCAACCCGACGAGCAGATGCGTCGGCAGATGAAAGATCCAGCAATGCGAGAGGTACAAAAGTCGTTTGCTTTTTTCATTCCCTGTGGGTGACATGTGTGTTTTCTTTGCAGCTCATGTCATCGATGATCAAGAGCATGACACCCGAATCGATGGCCAGTATGAGCGAGCAGCTGGGCTTGCAACTTACACCTGAGCAAGCGGTAGCGGCACAGAAAGCGATGGCCAATCTTACACCAGACCAGTTGGATAGATTGGTAAGCGATCGCTTTCGTCTAGCTTTCTTCTATTTTTTCTCTGACTGGAACTCTTTTACGAACAGATGAGATGGACCGAACGAGCTCAAACGGTGACGGAACAAGCCAAGAGAGCCAAAGCTTGGATCGTGGGTAAACCGGGATTGATGCTAGCGATCTTGATGCTCCTCGTCGCGATTGTTCTTCACTATCTGGGATTTATAGGATGAGAGTTAAGGAGCTGCAAAAGTAGCTCTGGCCGAGAAGGACCAAAAAGGCTGTCTGTAATACATCGGAAAAATAAAGTCTGCATTTTTTCGCGAGGCAATAGCTGGAGCCTGGCAAAAGAACTTACCGCCGACAACACAGATTTCTCGTGCGCCATGGGATCGAGAGATCACAAAGTTTCCTCTCTTGATCGCGCGTAAGCTTTGCAGGCCTGGAGGAAGATGGAACATTGCTTTCATTCAAAGCCATTTATGATCTCCAACGAAAAAGAAGCAAGCCACGCGATTTCAACCGCTGCTGCGGTCCTTGGCGTGGAGCTCGATGGTTGCTCGCGACCACCTGAGGTTATAAAAATGATCCAGGAGAATGCTTGATCGATCCTCTCCTCTCTCCTCTCTCCTCTCCTAGCAGTTCTTCTCCGACTTTGAGCTCTCAAGTTCTTCTTGCGAGAATGGGGAGAATGGTATTGAAACTCCTCTTCTTGATCCTCCCAGCGATCGCGCTAGCCCAAAGAAACACAATGTTCTTCCCAGAATTTAGCTATTACAAGGGAGGAGGAGGAGGCGGCGGCGGCTCTCCCTCATATGGTGGCGGCAGTGGCGGTGGCTCCTCTCCATATGGAGGTGGCGGCAGTGGCGGTGGCTCCTCTCCATATGGAGGTGGCGGCAGTGGCGGTGGCTCCTCTCCATATGGAGGCGGCGGCAGTGGCGGTGGCTCCTCTCCATATGGAGGTGGCGGCAGTGGCGGTGGCTCCTCTCCATATGGAGGCGGCGGCGGCGGTGGCTCCTCTCCCTATGGAGGCTCCGGAGGTGGTAGTCCATCCGGTGGAGGCTACGGAGGAAATGGTGGTGGTGGATACGGCGGTGGCTCGTCCCCGTACGGTGGTGGCTCTGGCTCGAATGGAGGCTACGGTGGTGGTGGTGGCGGCGACAATGGCGGAGGCTACGGTGGCAGCAGCGGTGGCAACAGCGGCGGAAGCGGGTATGGCGGCGGGAGTAGCGGCGGTAGCGGCTATGGTGGCAACAGTGGCGGTGGATACGGTCCCAGCGGCGGTGGTGGCGGATATGGCGGCGGCAGCGGCGGCAGCGGCGGCTATGGTGGTAGCAGCGGCAGTGGCAGCTCGGGTGGCTGCTCAATCAAGTAAGCAAAGCTCTCGATCGATCTTGGAAGAACTTTTATCCCCATGGATTCGTTTTGCAGCTTCTGGAAAGACCATGTGGATGCATGGCCGGACGTGCTCAACGTGTACAGCACAATATCCCAGGCGTTTGGACAGGTTCCACAGATGATGGACGGCAAGCAATCGCTCCTGTCGGCCCTGGAGGTGCGGGGGAACGACCCCTACAGCTCGCTCCTCCGCCAGGGCACTGCCGCGCTCCTCAACTCGTACGCGCGCAAGCACTTCCCCTACTCGCCTGACGCGGTGAGGGCCACCTTCGGCAAGGCGCTGGCGAGCAAGGAGGCGGCGGCAGTCCAGGCAACCAAGTTTGAGCGCGCAAATGGCAGCGGCTATGGAACCAACACCTTTTGCTTCTAAAAGATATAATCTGTATGCAATAATATGATTTATGGATATTAACTTTGTGATCCCACGAATGCCTCCTGGGATTGCCGTAGCCGTTTGTAGTCACATATGAATAATGAATGTGATGAAAAGTTACCTGGCCAAATTAATTGACTAACTTGGACTGTGATATTTTTTTGATCCTAATAAAAAACATATTATAGGATAACACTTACATCATTGCTCTAGACATTTATAACAATTTTTCTTATTTCTTCTTTATCTTCTTGCAAAAAACCATAATATTACTTTATTCATTAATAATAAAGTTACTTTTACTTCTTGTAAAGAAAAGGAAAGCTCAAACATTTTATAGTTTCAAAACAATATTGATTATGCTATATGAAAATTATTTCAAGATATATATATGCTTATACCAAAAGAAAATTTAATACATGTGGCAATTGTTTAATTTGACCTACTTCAACCTCTAATTATAAGCTACCACATATCACTTCAATGGGCTCGCTATATACTTACTAAAGGGGTTTATGGACACAAAACTTCACCCAGCCCACTATAACCAACTTGTTAAGTTAATGTTTGGCTTGTTTGTTCTAGGTAGAAATATGGTTACTTTACCTTATAATGTTAAGATCCCCAACAAGATCAAGACTGGAAAATGTAAAAGACAAAGAGAAAAGCTAGTGGAAACGAAGAAAAAACTTTAGAATAGCGTTAATTCAAATTGTGGAGAAATGGAACAAGGCTAACCTATATATACTATAGGTTGATGAAGCTCTACCACTCTTGGATTGAGGATGGCCTAAATATAGTTGAGGTCGAGGAGGTGCCACATCATCATCATGAATGTGGCTCGAGACTCAAAAATCATACGGGAAATCAAAGAGTCAGGAATAGAGAAGTGTCTCAAGAGTCAGGAATAGAGAAATGTTTCGAGAGTTAGGAATGTAATCTGCAAATCAGGAATCCAGCAAGAGTCAGGAATATGGCAAGAATTGGGAGATTCTTGACAGCACCCCCTCCTCAAGAACGAGTGGAACGAGGACGTGAATGAGAACGAAGAGGAGGATGAGATGGGCAGCGAGGGATGGGAGATGGAGAAAAAGAATGAGGACTGGGACAAGAAAGATAGCGGCGGTGGAAGTTCTGAACAAGGTCAGGAGAATGAATCAGGTTGTCTGCAGGTTCCCAGGTGCATTCCTAAGGTCCATAACCCTTCCAGTCAATTGTCCCACAATGCCACGTTAAGTGGGACACTTCCCCCCTTCAGCCGTGCCTAGTCATCTGCCGTGAACCTTGGAATCCACAGGTGAAAGGACACTACTTAGCTATCGTCAATGAGTCAATGTAGCTCCTCTGCTCAAGCCCGTGCCTCCTCTGTCTCAAACACCACTATATAGCATCCACGTCCATGTGGGAGCAAGTTTTTGATTGTGATCCCCTACTCTAGCGTAGCATTCAGCCAGTCCATGGCCATGTGGCTAGTGGGAAACTTCCCTCTGAATACTGCAATCATTGCTCTATGTCATAGTTCTTCTTCTCTAGCCGCCACCACCTGGCTGAGTGCCTCGCCTAGCTTGATTGCCTTTGCTGTCACCTTGGCATCTAGCGCTATTCCAGCTCGTTTCCCTAACTCTCCGGTGTGAGGCTCCGTCTTAGAGGCTTTTGAGTGTGGGATTTCCTTTACCACCTTTCCTTGTGTGGAGTAGATAGTAAAGTTTAGACCGTGAGATTTTGGAATCAAGGATGTCTTGAACTTCGTACTCAAACCCATCATCAAGTTGCACTGGTGGAGGTGAAGGAATGACCCGATTTGGAATAGGACTAGGAATATAAGGCTCAAGAAGAGAGGAGTGAAAAACGGGGTGAATTTGATATGAAGAGGGAAGTGCAATGCAGATGATTAATGATGGCAGTGATAGGGAAAGGACCAAGGTGTTTGAAATCAAGTTTGGGACATGGCCTGATGGTGGAGATATTTTGCTTGAGAAGCTAGACTTTATCCCCAATATTGTAAGGGGGACAATCCTGACGATGGACATTGGCAAATGTTTTGTGAAATTCCTAAGCATGATAGAGGTGGAAGGAGATGGAGTTGTGGATTTCTTGGAGGTTGGAGACAAATGCCTCAGAGCGGGGATTTGAATTAGAGGATTCGGATGGAAAAGGAAGTGAGAGATTGAATTGGGGATTTCGGCCAAAGTTCACAAAGAAGGGGGAAACTCGAAGAGAGGAGTGAACAGAGTTGTTATAGAAGAACTCAGCAAGGGGAAGGATATCGAATTAGTCATCCTGATAATAGTTGATGAAACACCTCAAGAATTGTTCCAATGTTTAAATCGTTCACTTGGACTGTCCATCAGTTTGAGGATGATACGCCGAAGAGAGGTTGGCCTTCACTCCAAGTAGCTACAAGAACCATTGCCAGAAATGAGAGATGAACTGAGGTCCCCAATCCAAAACCACATTTGCAGAAATCCCATGAAGTCGGAAAATTTCCCTGAATACTAGTTTTGCCATGTCCTCGCCTGAAAAGTCCTTGGTACACGGCAAGAAGTGCACCATCTTTGTGAAGCGATCCACCACAACTAAAATGTTGTTGAAGCCTCAAGACCTCAGAAGATCACTCAAGAAATCCATGGAGATGGATTCCGAAGGACCTAAAGGGACGGGGAGGGAATGAATCAAACCTGAAGGAAGGTGGCAAAATACTTTATTCCGGGCACAAGTGTCACATGAGGTAATAAAAGCTTTGATGTAGTTCTTGATCCTTTCCAAGTTGAGACAGCACAGCACCAATTGCAAAGTCGAAAGCGTCAGCCTCAATGAAGAAAGGTTGTGAGGGATTAGCATGGATCAAGATGGGAGCAGAACTGAAGGCCGCCTTGAGTGTGTTGAATGCCTATTGGGCAGCAGTAGACCAAGAGAAGGGAACATCCTTGTGAGTGAGATGCGTGAGAGGAAGGACAATATTAAAGTAGTGATTAATGAATTTGTGGTACAAGTTGGCGAAGCCAAGGAAAACTTGACCGTCTGACATTGATTGTGGAGGCTCCCATTCGAGAATAGTCTTGACTTTGGCAGGATCCATTGTGATACCCTCATGAGTGACAATGTACCCAAGGAATTCCACAAACTCCTGATCGAAGGAACATTTCTCAAGCTTCGCGTATAGGCCATGTTCCCATAGCTTTGCCAGCGCCTTGCGCACATGCTCGTCGTGCTCCTTTTGAGTTTTTGAATAGATGAGGATGTTATCGAGGTAGACAATCACCATTTGATCAAGAAACTCCCGAAAAACGTCGTTCGCCATATGTTGGAAAACTATTGGAGCATTTGTCAAGCCAAATGGCATAATAGTGTACTCAAAGTGGCCATAGCGGGTTTGGAACGTAGTCTTCCATTCATTGCCAGGCCAGATCCGAATCAAGTTGTATGCTCCATGGAGGTCAATCTTGGTGAAAAAGTGGGCACTGCCGAAGCGTTCCAATAAGTCCGAGATCAAGGGCAGCGGATAATAGTTCTGAACAGTCACCTTATTCAAACCTTGGTAGTTGATGACTAGCCGCAAACTCCCATCCTATTTCTTGACCAAGAAGATAGGCACTCCAGTCGAGGACTAGGAATGCTGAATGTACCCCGAGGCAAGGTTATCATCCACGTACTCTTTAAGGGCCTTAAGCTCGGACGGGGGTAACCCATAGATAGGCCCCCACGGAGTAAATCAATAGGACAATCATAAGGCTAATGAACAAGTAGTACACTAACTTTTTTCTTCTCAAACACATCCCCAAAATCATGATACTTCTCAAGAAGACTGACAGGAGAAACATGTAAAGCAAAAAGGGAAATAGGTTCTTCATGAAGGAGTTTTTTCATAGTGATTGTGGAGATAGGATGAAGCATATGACTAAATGGAATGATGAGATGAGGATATTATATAGTCTAAGATGGAAGAGAGGAAAAAAAAGAGGGTGAAAACTTCATAGAGTCAAGAATAGAACCCCGATTTGAGTTTAGGGAACTTTTTCTAATTCGGACCTGATAAATAGCAGGGGAAGCCGTGGGAGATAGTGATGTGGGAGAGATGAACTATAATTCCTTCCAACAGATTTGAGGCTGGTGTAGTTGGAACCAAGGAAGGCCGAGCACCACACAGGAGGACTTGTTGTTGATGATGTTGAAGGCAATATTGGTGACGGTGGACCCAATGTCTACTTGAACGGGCAATGTTTCCCTAAGTCCAGAAGAAGGAGACACAAAATGCCCGCTAAAGCTTTCAACCCTCAAATCCCGTATGGTAGGAGAAAGAGGAACGTGATGTCAGGCAGTAAAGTCTGTGTCTATGAAGCAGGAAGGTGCACCCAAGTTCAATAGTGCTAGAGCCTTGAGTCCTGATTGTCCGGTGAAAGAAAGCAGACATGGGATGCAGAAGTTGCAGGAATTGGTAGTGGTTTTGATGAAAGGTGGTGAGGAGCTTGATAAAGAAGAAAAGTGATTTTTATTCGGGGAGTCCAAACAGACAGCTCCTACTCTGTTTGGACAAGGTTGTTTCCCAACTGCAATAGAGGTGGACTTTGAGGCAGAGTGAACTCGAGCAGTCGGGGAGGCTTCTTGGGACACACAACTGCTTTGTGATTAGGATCAGCATAGTAGAGGCAAAGATTATGAGATATTTGACGTTGCTTCTCAGCAGGACTCAACTTCCCTCTTATGAGTCGGGGAGTACCAGAAATATCTATCGGGACTAGAGCAGTAGGTTCAGGAGTATGCCCTGAAGACTCAAGCTGGGATTCCTGAGTCCGAGGAAATGGCGATGCGGCGACTTTCCTAACGACTTTCAAATAGACGATTGTCACATCGAACAGCTTTGTTGATGGCATCCTATAGGTCCATGGGATCTTCCATGGTGAGCAACAAATCCTTGACACCGTTGTTAAGGCCGAAACAAAATTGATCAATCAAGGCCTATTCATCCCACTAAATGTCCAAGGTAAGGAGTTGGAACTCTGCAGCACAAGACGAGACCCCTGAGAGAGACATCTCATCTTTGTGGTGGCAGCCTAAACTCAATCCATCTCGCCAAAATATGCTTCGAGTCTCTTTGAACAATTAAAGATCCATCAACTCTGGAACCACGACCCTTTTCATGCTTTTCTCTAGGAGAGGAGAAAACCATGACAAAGCTGCACCTTCGAGCAACATCCCAATCGCATCAATTTGAGACTCGAGAGTGAGGTATTGCCGATGTTGAAGTGCAAAGATAAGCTCCATTTGGTTCAGGAATCCACAAAGCTCTAAATGCTTGCCTGAAAATTTTGCCGGGAAACTCACCTTCAGTTCATGAACTTTGCTTGATCCTTGAGCTGAAAGTGAAGCAAGCTCTTGTTGCATACAAAGAAGGGTCGCTTTCAACTTAGTATTCTCATATTGGATTTTTGCAAGGACTTCGGCAAATAAATTAGGATGACTTGGAGACTCCATCGGCAAATAAGAAAGAAAAGGGGGAAAAAAGGCAAGGTAGTCAAATAATCAAAACAAGCTAAAGAAAAACAAAAAAACACAATCTAAATCAAATTGTTAAGACCCTCAACAAGATCAAGATTGGAAAATGCAAAAGACAAATAGAAAAGTTAGTGGAAACAAAGAAAATGCCTTAGATTGGTGTTTGATTCAGATTGTGGAGAAATGGAACAAGGCTAACCTATATATATTATAGGTTGATGAAGCTCCATTACTCTTGGATTAAGGACGGCCTAAATATAGTTGAGGTCGAAGAAGCGCCACATCATTATCAGGAATGTGGCTTGAGACTCAGGAATTGTATGGGAAATCAAAGAGTTAGGAATAGGGAAGTGTGTAAGTCAAGAATTCAACGAGAGTCAAGAATATGGCAAGAATTGGGGGATTCTTGACACATAAACCAATCTTCTCTGCAGATTTTTAGTTGGTTTATAATTATTTCCTTTTAAAAAAGTTTTGATAATATACATAAATTTACATAAAAACAAATTACACACTTTCAGTGAAGAAAAGTTGCTAAGAATTCTCAAAGTGATCCAAAATATAATAATGCAAAAAAATAAAAATAAAGGTAAAATTAGTGTTATGATTTGTATATAGCATTTTTATTTTTAATTAAATACATAGTTTAATGATTTCTAAAAAGAATAAAAATTATTTTATTATTTATTATAATATTTTATATAATAAATTATCAAACTTGATAAAAGTTATAAAACGATTTATATTTCCATGTGATAAAAATAATTTATTTTTCTTATTTATATTGTACAAAAAGATTTTTTATAGTGAAAATAATTGAATTAAATTTACCTAAATGAGTTAAATTTCTCAATTAAATAGTATACATTTTTTATAGTATATGATACTTTTGCTATATACAAAAATTTCATTTAGTTATTTTTATAAGTGAAAAAACCTAAAGTGTTAAAATTGTAAATAAAATAGCTTAATTTTAATTGTTGTTCTTTACGATATAGGTATATTTCAACACTTATAGTAATAGTTAACTATATCTAATATGAAGATAAAACAAGCCAATTGTGAATTTGTAAAAATTCTCATAGTACACATTTATAATATAAAAATAGTAAAGTTAAATATAAGGGAGATTTGTAATATTTAAGTATTATTATTGTTGTTATTATTGATTGTATCTAATACAAAATTTAAATATAATATAAATATACTTTAAATATATTAAATTATTTCTAAATAGTTTTCATTTAAATTTTTTTTATCATTTACTCAAATCAATATTTTATATAAATATAAAGAATATAATAAGTTATTAATTTAGCTATAGTCTTTGAAAATAGACTTGAAAGTTTAAAAATGACTTTTAATAGTTTTTTAGGTAGATTTATTTAAAAATATTTTTTTAAAAACTATAAAAATATTTTATTGATTTTAAAATTATTTTTATCCAAAAATTTATAGCTTTTACTATGTGGGTATTGACTTTATTTAGCTGGAATAAGGGGTTTAATACTATCAAGTTTTTCATTTATAGTTTTGACAATAGAGTTAATTATTGGAAGTGTAACTATTGTGAATGTAAATTAACTTAAATTTATTCGTATAAAGAATTTAAAAATGAAAGATGAACAAAATTTCTTAAATAAAGATATAAAAATTGTTAAAAAAAAGGGCAAAAAATGTTGTAGAAAATGTTGAAGAAGATGTATGGTTTGTTTTACTTTTATTAATTTGGTTTTACTAAAAATTTATATATATTAGTCAATTAACTAATTGTAATTATCAACCGGCCATGAAAATACTCAATGGCAGACTGATTCACAATTCAGAATAATCAACTAAAAAGTTAAAATATTTTGGAATCTTTAAGAAAATAACTCAGAAGCTTACAATTTCTATTTTATATATACCAAAAAAGTCTATTTTGGAGATGAAGGAAAAAAACCCCACCTTAGTAAAAAACTAAATTAATTCCTAGAAAGAAATTCAAACCTTGAAAAGGAGAGCCATGGCAGATTTCAATTTTACAAGCTATCCAACACTTTTTTCATCACACACTTTAACACAGTGCCTGATATATAAAGTTTGAATTAGAATATCCAAAGCATTTTGTTTGTGGTGGTATCTAGAATCTTGCTGATCCAGTTTCTCCCAATGGAAACTTGACGCGTGGCATCACTTGGTTCCTACCCCCGTTAAATCTAACCCTTCCTCTACTAAAATTAAAAGAAAAAAGCTCTAGGGCTTGCGTGATTAGGTCTGGAGCGGCCTCGCGAGTTTTGCTCGACTTCGATGTGATTCCACCCCCCTGTGAGGATTCTGTGAGCTCCGGCGCCTCCCGATGAGCAGGATGTGCTCGATCTTGATGAGCATTGCCCGGATTGACAATTCGCTGATAGCATTCTTCGTGTGGATCGATACTTAGCGCACAGGGATGGGGGACGAAGACGCCGCCGAGATTGGCTGATTGATGCCAAGGCCGCCCTGCGCCAGGCCAAAATCTAGGTATTCTTCCTTCTTTCTTTCTTTTTCTTCTTCCTCTTCCTCCTCCTCCTCTTCTCGCGCATCGCCATCGGCAAGAAATCCAGAGATTTCCACCAGCAGCAGCAGTCTGGCAGAGATTCTCCTCCGGGAAGAAGAAATATGGACGATTTCGAGAAGGCAATCTTTTTCAGCTTCAATCCCACCGTGGACGCCAATCTCAAGGCGCAGGCGACGGCGTTCGTCCAGCAGGCCAAGCAATCGCCGACGATAATCCAGGCCTGCGTCGAGAAGCTCCGCTACTCGCAGTACGCCGAGGTCCAATTCTGGTGCCTCCAGGCGCTGGAGGAGATCGTCAAGCAGCGCTACTCTTCCCTCGCATCGCAGCAGCGCCACCTCATCCGATCGTCTCTCCTGGCGGCGGTGTGCTTCTACGATCGCGACGCCAGCAGCGCTCCAGCGGCGCCGCCCTTCATCCGCAACAAGCTGGCCCAGGTGGTGGTGCTCCTTCTCTGCATCGAGTATCCATCCCAGTGGCCGGGGGCGTTCGTGGAGCTCATCTCCTTCCTCTCCAAGGGACCGATGGTGGTGGACATGTTTTGCCGGATCCTCATCGCCCTCGACGAGGAAGTGATCAGCCTCGAGTTCCAGCGATCGCCGGCGGAGCTGGCCCTCGCCACCCGGATCAAGGACGCGATGCGGCAGCAATGCATCGGCCAGATCGCGGCGGCGTGGTACAATCTGGTGGCGGTGTACAGGTCCGCTAGGCCCGACCTCGCGGCTCTGGTGCTCGAGGCGATGCAAAGGTATGTTTCCTGGATCGACATTGGATTGGTGGCGAACGAGAGCTTTATCCCACTCATGCTGGAGATCCTCGTCTCGCCGCAGGAGAACCGGGGGCTCCGTGGTGCCGCCGCGGATTGCTTGCTGGCCGTGGTGTCCAAGAGGATGGATTCGTCGGCCAAGCTTGCGCTCCTGCGCCAGCTCCGTTTGGGACCAGTTTGCGCGAGGTTGACGAGCACCGAGGATGGCGAGTTTGGGAGCAAACTTAGCGCGCTTCTCACTGGGTTTGCTGCGGAGATTTTGGAGTGTGGGAAGGAGCGTGACACTGGCGAGATGCTGGACGAGATCCTTCCATCGGTTTTCTACTTCATGCAGCACGGTGACGAGGATATATCTTCGACGACGTTCCTGTTTCTCAGCAACTTTGTCAAGTCGGCCACCGGGAAGCAGGCTACTCACTTGCGGCACATATTGGAGCTCATTCGGTACAGGATGCGGTACAGTGCCGACATGAAGGATGCTCTGGATGTTTTTGACCGGGAGGGGGAGGAGGAGGAGGAGAGGATGGACGAGTACCGGAAGGAGCTCCTCGTTTTGTTCCGTAGCGTTTACCGAGTTGCTCCGGAGGTGACAACTTCGTTCGTCAAGGGTGTGCTAGTTTCGATTCTGGGAAGCTCCGGGACGCCGTTTGAGGAGGTTGAAGCCGGGATCACGCTGCTGTATTGCCTCGGGGAAGGCGTTCCTGAGAGTAGCTTGAAGGCGGACACTGGAGACTTGCCGGAGATGCTCGGGGCGATTTTGACAATGACTGTTCCCGGCACGTCGCACCGGGCAGTGGCGATCGTTTTTCTGGAAACAGTCATCAGATACGTAAAGTTTGTACAGCACCACGAGGCGTACGTTCCTGCTGTTCTTGGGGTGTTTCTGGATGGCAGAGGGATTCACCACCCGAATCCTAATGTCAGCTCCAAAGCAAGTTATTTATTTTCGAGGCTGGTGAGAACTCTTCGGTTGCAGTTGCTTCCTTATGTCGACAGCATACTACAGGTGTGTTTCTTTTCTTTCATTGAACTCTCTTCTTCTTTTCGATTTTTACACGTTTTCTCGTGTTTCTTTTGCAGAGTTTGCAAGACACCTTGTGCATTTCGGCAAAAAAATCATCTCCAGAAGAGAAATTTTACACTTTCGAGGTATTTTATACGAAAACGCTTGAGGTAGCTTGATATGTTCCTTTCAGGCTGTTGGCTTTCTTATTGGAGCGGAGGATTTGCCGCGTGATAAACAAGAAAAATATCTCTCGGCCGTTCTTCTTCCCCTCTACCAACTGGTAACACGTTCTTTTCAAAACGAGCATGAGTTTGAAAATTCTTCCAGGTTGAGTCTACATTGGCAAGCAAGGTCTCCTATGCCGATGGTAATCAGGCTGCCACCGTCGCACTTCTGCAGCAAATCGTGCTGGCTATCAATCACTTTAGCAAAGTGAGTGCGATTTGCATTCGACCTAGGGACTTACCGCGGTCTTTCAGGGTTTTGGAGAGCAGCTGCTTGTGAATAGTCGTCCAGAACTTGGGAACACGTTCAAACAGGTTGGTTCATTGTCAATTGTCATTTTTCTCTTGTCTAATTGATGTGTTTGATATTTAGTCCGTGGACGTCGTGTTGAGAATTCTTCTCGCGTATCCCAGAGTTGATGCTCTCAGAAGCAAGGTAAAAATGAAACGAGCATTTTCACCTCTATCCTGTGACATTCTTTCAGGTTATTTCCTTTCTTCACCGGATGGTAGACATTCTTGGTAGTTCAGTATTCCCTATTTTGCCAACTGCGATACGGCAGCTGCTCTTGCAAAGCGAGGTAACTATTTTGTATTATTTTTTCTCTAGAAGTGATATCAAAAGGTTTCTTTTCAGTCCAAAGATTTGGTGGAGTTCATCCAGCTGCTTAACCAACTCATAAACAAATTCAAATCTGCTATGAACACAATCATTCAGGAGATTTTTCCTTCAGTCGTAGATCGGGTATTTTTTCTTCTTCCAAAGGGCTCTATTCCGGAGAATGTTGTCAGCAATACCGAGGTACGCATTATTGTTTTCCGAGATTTTCGACTAATCGACGATCTTCTTTAGGAGATGCGCGAGCTTCAAGAGCTACAAAAGGCATTTTTTAACTTTTTGCATGCGGTTACGTCGAACGACCTTTCATCGGTGCTCCGTTTCCAAACCGGTGGAAGGCTCAATGAGATCATCCTACTTTTGTTAGACAGTAGTTGCGGCCACAAGGACATACTTGTGAGAAAGGTATGTCCTTTTGTCATCTGTCATCTATGCTGCTCACGCGCTCGTTAGCAATGCAGATTTGCGTACAAGTCTTATCTAGATTGGCGTGGGACTGGTGCGGTAACAGCACAGTTGTGGAACAGGTGACAAAACCTTTCCACTGTGACAACACGAATGTTCTCAAAGTCGTGCATTTATGCAGGTTCCTGGATTCCACCGGTTCGTGATTGACAGGTTTGCCGCAGATTGCTGCATCCGAAGTATTCTGCAGGCTTCGTTCAACCTCAACGATGCCAATACGGTAGCTGCATTTACTTCGCGCTGATTCCCTTGTGTTTGATCGTTTTCTAAAATTTCCAGGTGTCCTTGCTCAACGAGATTGCATCCGCGCAGAAGACATTGTATGAGAGGTGTGGCGAAGACTTTTTGATACAGATGGCAACCAAAGTCCTCCCGGCTGTTCGCTGTCCGCCGAACATGGCCGAGGAGTATTGCTTGCACATTCAGGTAGAGCGCGTAGAGAGCTGTGCGAGTGTGTGTTTTTTAAATCCTTCTTGCGGTTGTTACAGCGATCGGATCCCAAGGTCTTGAAAACGTTCTACAGGAACTTTGCGGAGAAGCTCCGCTTCCAATACAACTCCGGCAACCAATAGCACGTCTAACAGTTTTGATTGAGAAATAAAAAAGAATGGCTATTTTATAGAACGATTGATTCTTGCAAGCTTAAGTTACCCGAACTAATGCTTGGATCCCATAATGGAAACAATCGGAAGAAACAATTCACTTGAGAAGAGACCTCGTTAGATGTTCCTTGGCTGTAGCAAGTGCTTGAGAAAACGTCTGGAAAAGAAAGCAAAAGTGAAGACAGTGGCAAAGGGAATTGTTAGAATCACCTGTTCTGAGAATGGGACGTCGGACTCCGCGCCGCGCATGGCTACCTTTGAAGCTATGCTGTTGGCATCAGTCTCCAAAACGGTGCTGGTTATACAACAAGCCAGCATGAGAATGAGAGAAACAAAACAAAGGAAAAAAGGCGACTCACCCTCCGTCGACAATCTCGTCCAAGCACAAAAGGATCAAATCCAGGTTCTCCAGGACCGTCTTCTTGTCCACATTGCCTCTACACGCGATCGAAGCCTCGTTTCAAGGCGTAGCAAAGGCGGAAGAACTCACCTGAGTAGAATCGACACAGCGTCGAAAAACGCTTGAAGAACAGTCGCGAGGATGAGCTCGTTCTCGTCCTCCCTGCCAGTCACGTAGAAGTAGAGGTCGGCCACGAACTTAAACACCACGACATGGCCCTCGTACAAGCCAATCTCCGCTGCGAAAGGGAGAAGTCTGAGAAAAGGAAAAACTCGGCCTAGTTTTCTCTATTTGCTCACCTTCCTGGCGGGCGTTCATGCGCTGCGTCTTGGTGAAGACCGACTTCTCGAAGGCGAGCTTGGCCGCGTTGTTGGGCCAATAGTCGCTGTAGTACTTGACGGCCACGCGCTTGCCCTCGTCGTCCAGCAGCAGTATGTTGCTCACGAACGGATCCAGCAGCTGCGCGCCAGGGTTTGGAGGAGAATCAGTCAGATCTGGAGAGCAGGGAGCAAGATCAAGATCACAGAGCATACCTCTCCCATTTGCGCAGCGAAGACGATCCACTAAAAACCCTAAAGCCCAAAAAACGAATATGCCTCTCCTTGGGATATACCGCTCAGGAATATTCAGTCTCTTGCTCCTTCAAGCATATTCTGTCTCCTCGTAAAGCACATTCCGTTTGTTTTACTTTGCACTAAACTTCTTGACCAAAACAACGTGAGAATTTTCTAACACTTTTTCGAGTGTGCGCACGTCAACATTAGTGCGTGGGGCTGCTTCGTTAGAGTGGGGCGGGGTATATTCCATGGCTTGCGTCCCAAGGGAGAGAGATAGCGCTTGCCTTGCCATGGATGACTTCTCCTCCTCGCGCAATGCGTGGAAGGGAAAGAAAAGCAGCACGGGGATTTCGATCGCGACGCAGCGGGAGTGGAGAAGCGAGGGCGAGGGCGAATTTAGCTCCGGAGCCATCATTGGATCATGAAGAGCAGGGGAGGGCATAGCTCCTGGCGGAAGATCGTCTATGGCGGAGTCTTGGCGCTGGCCATCATCGCGCTGCTGGCAATGCGCCCGGGATCGGAATCACGCGACGTTGGTGAGTTCCTCCCTCGGGAGATTAGAGGTGAAGCCAACAAGGTTGTCAAAGAGATTGTGGAGGAGAGCGCGATCAACAGTAGAATTGACCATATCGTGTCTCTCCCAGACAACGAATTCCTCTTCATTGTCTCGAGATCCTCGGCGCGAGACGAGAGGATCGTCAAGGACCTCGCAAAGGGTCACTGTTACTTGAGAATTCCGTCGGGACCGAGGCCAATCGCCGCGAGGATTGTGGACAATCTTAGCGGTGATGGCGGGAGGAGGATGATCCGGTGCCGAGCAATCGACCAGCAGCTCCCATTGCAATCCCCGCTGGTCGCCACCGCCCAGATTCAATCCAGCGACGGCAAGATCACTCTCGGGAGCCGGGGCCGATCGCTGGAGCTCGTGAATTGGAACAGGATCGTCTTTGCGGCGCTGGCCAGGGAAGAAGATCTTGTGCTCTTCACAAAGGGAATTTTCTCGGTGAAGAAGGAGAATCCCCCAAAGCACGCGAGATGCGTCTTCTACACGGACAATGGCGTCGCGGTCACATACACTCGCGTGCTCGGGATCGCCCAAGAGGTTATTCGCTGCGAATATCCGCCGGGACAGGGAATATCTAGGGGCAGCCTGGTGTCGGTGGTTCCCGGAGAAGGTACAGGCGGCGACGCGGCGGCGCCGTCGGTGGCGGTCTACGGCGGCGCCGCCAGGGAGGGGCAAAGTGCCCGGCCGCGGCATTTGCTATGCGCGTGCACGATGGTCCGCAACGCCGCCAAGTTCCTGCGCGAGTGGATGCTCTACCACTCGCACCTTGGGATCGAGAAATTCGTTCTCTACGACAACAACAGCGAGGACGGGCTCGAGGAGGCGGCGGCGGAGCTGCGGAATCGCGATGGATTGGCGGTGGAAATCGTGCCCTGGCCGTGGATCAAGAGCCAGGAAGCCGGCTTCTCGCACTGCGCCGCCAGCCGCAGGGACGAATGCCAGTGGATGGCATTCGTGGACGTGGACGAGTTCCTCTTCCCCAAGCTCTGGCTACATTCCGGCGCCAAATCCACAAACGCAACCGGGACCGTCGGATCGTCCCCTCTAGCGCGGGCGATCGCCGCCGCCACCCGGAATCGCTCGCAGATGGTCGGCCAGATCTCCTTCCGCTGCCGCGATTTCGGGCCATCTGGGCAGGCCACGCATCCAACGGCGGGGGTCACGCAGGGGTACACGTGTCGCGTGGTCAAGGAGCAGCGCCACAAGTCACTAGTCCGGCTGGAGGCCGTTGACCGGGGACTGGTCAACGTGGTCCACCACTTCACGCTGGGTCAACGCTACGCGACCGCGAGGATGCCGTCGTGGAAGGGCGTGGTCAACCACTACAAGTTCCAGGCGTGGGACGAGTTCAAGCAGAAGTTTGAGAGGCGGGTGTCGGCGTACGTGAGCGATTGGAAGGAGGAGCGCAACATCAAGTCGCAGGATCGAACGCCCGGGCTGGGGAGCAAGGCGGACAAGCCCGCCGACTGGGAGCGCCGCTTCTGCGAGGTCCAAGACACCGCGCTCCGGGATTACATTCTCAAAACCATGGCTTCTCCGGACAAGTTGGAGCTTCCCTGGCAGTCGTAGTGAAGAGATGGTTTCTACTATAGGCTTTTGACACATTCTATACCATCGCCCGAGAAACCCGTGAGACGAGCTTGACTCCTTGCTTGATGCGTCAGTACAGTCGGTTGGGTGGTCGAATCGCGATTTTGAAAGTTTACTTTTCAGGTTGAAGTTCTCATCATTCAAGCGGTTGCGCAGTCGTTTCGTCACCATCTCGGAAAACACTGCCCGCCTCGAGCACTGCAAAGCATATTTCGGCCAACGTAACAACTTCCACGTTTCCACTTTTCCACACAATGAGTTCCATTATTTTTAGCTTGGACGAGGGACCAAATCGATCGTGATCGATCGTGATGAGCACCATCTCGATCGAATCGGGCAGAAAAAGCCGGAATCGCAAGCGAAGAATCGTTCGCACTCAGAGGCGGACGATCTCGAGAGCTTCGACGGCCTCGGCGATAGCGAGCTGGAAACGTAGCGAGAAAACTAGCTTGGAGCTCTGCAAATCGACTCAAGCTCTTCTTGAGCTAAGGCTGTCATTCACATTCAGTTGACTGAAGGATAGACATGAAGCCTTAGTTTTACCCCTCTCTCTCTCTCTCCCTCTCTCTCTCTCCGTTTTCGTTGTTCGAATGTCTATCACGAACACAGCCAAAGTTTAGCAAAGCGAATTTTCCTCGTGAAGTAGCCCACTTGTATCTGCGCAGCACTAGTGGAACCCGACTGCTCCAATATAATCCGTAAGACTCTGACGGGAACAGCTTCCCTGTGCAAAAGACACAGTCCCATACCTAGCAATGCGTGAAAAGGAAGTAAGAATCCATAAGAACCACAACTTGTGACATGTTATCGATTAGCAAAGATTTGAGTCTCATCTATGCTTTACGCTTTTGTCTTCCAGGCAAACATCTGTTAGAAAAAAGAAAAAGAAATCCACAGTACCTGGAACTTAATAAATCCTTCCTAAGGAACTGGCAGCTTCCGGTGCCGCCATGACGAAAACTATCAAGGTGGCCATCACAAGAGATCAAAACTTAGAAAAAATGGACGTGTCGACAGATCAAAGAAAAAGAATGTAAAATTGATCTCAAGCTCGATCATTCTTTCTTCCTGGCTCGAGTGGAAGGATCTTCGGCACTCTCGACGAACATCATAAACAAGTAGCCAGCACACCACAGAGCGATGAATCGAAACGGGATCCAGTAAACGCAGCCAAGCAAGCTCAAAATGGAACCAAAGTACTGCGGATCGCGCAAGTATCCGAATGGAAACTTGTCTACCCAGGGAATGCTCTTGCCGAAGCGCACGCCATAGTAGACTCCATCCTCGCCAAGCAGCTGATAAACCCTGAAACCATCAATCGACACCGACAGTGAGCACAATCTTCCCAAATCTTTCAAGATACACACCTGATATTCAATGCCTGACCCACAGCGATGGGAATCCACACCCACAGCGGCGGCCAAACAGAGAAATCAGCGACGGATGCCAGCGCCAGGAACTGCACAGCCTTCATTGCCGTGGACGCCAGCGCCATCGCGTGGCACGGATCTGCTCCACCGCACAGGCGCGTCCATAGCGAGGGCCGCATCCAGAGAAGCGCGTAGAATGGGAAGGGCAGCAGCACTCCTGCTGAGACTAATATCGCTTCCATTGCTTCCCAAGAACCCTAAACCTCTGTGCGTCTGCCACGTGTAAAGAGCACATTAACAAAGGACAAACATGAGCATATTCCTTAATTTGAATTTGTTCTAACGCAAAATTATCACAATTTTAGTATCGACAACTGGGAAGATCAGTGACAGTACCTTTGTTGGTTGACAGGCATTGTCTCCTCAATCAATTCCCAGTTTGATCGTTCGCAACTTCTCTTCGCTGAGCAAATGTTGTCGCTCTCAAGCTGTTCGTCTCCCCCAAAATGTCGCGGTTGAATACCCAGTTCGATCGTTCGCAACTTCTCTTCACTGAGCAGACGTTGTCGCTATCAAGCTGTTCGTTTTCGCTGCTTCCACCAAAAACATGTCGCGGTTGTTCTGTCGATCCGTGGGTGAGAATTGACAGCAAAATTACCTCCACGAAAGGAGCTTGCTACTGCCACGCCATTTGCCTTACACCCCTTCTGCCACGCTGCGAAAACTCCCGCAAGACGTAGTCCCTCAAGCTCGTATCGTTCACCTCGCAGAACTTGTGCTTCCAGTTGACAGGCTCCACTTCCTGGGTGCCGAGGCCGGGAGTCCTGTCGTTGGAGTCCAAGTTCTTCTTCTGCTTCCAGTCGGAGACGTAGGCCGAGACTCGCCTCCGGAACTTGCCCCGGAACTCGTCCCAGGCCTGGTACTTGTAGTGGTTGATGACGCCTTTCGACGATGGAACGCTGGCGTTGGCGTAGCCCGGCCGGAGCTGGAAGTGGTGGACGACGTTGAGCAGCGAGGGATCCAACGCGCCCAGCAGCACAATCGACTTGTGGCGCTGGAGCTTTCTCGTCCGGCAAGTGTAGCCTTGGGTTACTCCAGTCACGGGATGTGTCTGCTGTCCCGACGGACCGAAAACTCTGCAGCCGAGGAAGATCTGGCCAACTGTGATCATCTTGTTGCTCTGCCACGGCCTCCAAAGACCAAAAACTTTCTTCTGAGCTCTCTCTGAGGAACTCATGCTCTGCACCAGTGCCGTGAGGGGCCGGGAGTTTTTCTTGATCCACGCGGTCGGATAGATGAACTCGTCGACGTCTGCGTAAACCATCCAAGTGCATTCCGCCTCAGCACGAAGCGCACAGTGGGAAAAACCAGCTTCCTGGGATTTGACCCAAGGCCAGAAGTGCCTGCTGACGTTGTACTGCTTCAAGTCCTCTAGAACCGCGGTGACATTGTCCTCGCTGTTGTTGTCGTAGAAGAAAAACCTCTCCACTCCAAGCTTCGAGTGGAAAATCACCCATTCCTTCAGAAACTTCGCCACGTTGAATACCATGGTGCACGAGCACAGGAAGTACTTCCTTGTCACCTCCATCTCTGCCTTCCAAACCCCGAGGCCCTGCTCGTAGTAAGCCACCGAAGGCATCAGAGCCTTGTCCACGCTCAGCGTCACTTTCTTCCCAGCAATCGCCCTCCAAGAACTCAATGGCGGATGCGCACAGCGGAAGACCTCCTGGGCAGCACTGGTGACTTTGGTGATCGCAGCTCCATCACCAAACACACAGTTCAAGTCCTTGACGCGCCGCTGCTGGCCCCTCTTTGTAACGATGCCCTTCGCGAACACCAGAACGTCCAGTGGCGTGACCACAGCCTCGAAAACCAGAAAGTCCCACTGGAAAGCTTCCACCTGTGGCGAAGAAACTAGCGCCCGGCCGCTGTCTACGTCCGTGAGGGACACCACGCCTCCACTAGCGCCGATCTTGACCTGGGAGGAGGAGGAGAAATTGCAGCGCACAGCTAGCCTGCGATTGTCCATATCCATCCCCTGGACGCTAACAAGCGTCCCATCGCCGACAACGCAGCCCAGACTCTGGCGCTGACGAAGAAAATCGCTCGAAGCTGGGGTCTTGATCAGCAGAAGGACTTCTTCTGGCAGCGCCACAACGTCCTGGATGTAGACATGATCCACGCTCTCTGGCTCCCAGATTTCTGCCTCCTCGACACGCAATTTACTCCCGGTCAGAAGATTGCTGCCAAGAACCGGCAAGAACACATCCCCTGTGCAAGAATCCGAGAGACTTAGCCTCCGATCGATCGAAATGCAAGGGGGGACATACCTGGAGACGAGCTCGACATGAGAAATCCAGCTGCGACGAGCGAGAAGACGACGAAGACACCGCACAGCGCGTCCAGGCGCTTGAATCTCGAAATGCCGAGCGCCACGACCGCCGCGGCGGCTTGAGCTCCGCCCTGCGCATTCTTGGAGATGGATCTTGCCATATTTCCTTGCTGAGAGGTGATCCACCCTAACCCTGGCCTCGAGGCTCCCACATCACTGCGCTACTCTCATTGTCACTCCCATTCGACGTGGCAGAGAGGCTCACATTTAATCCTCCAATCTATGCTGCTCTGAGTTGACTGACAGTGTAAGGAATCGAACCCGGCGTCGTCTCGAAAAAAGAAAGAACAGAAATTGAACTGGCGACCATTCTTTGATAAAGGAAAGAATGTTATTGGCAGGAATCGAACTAATGACCATTCTTTGAAAAGAAAAAAGAAAAAAGAATGCCATTCTTTCATTAAAATTTCTTGCTTTGTACACTTTGTGGTCACCAGTGAAGAGAGAAAGACGACGATCTCTCTCTCTCTTTGTGGTGTCGTCCAAGCGATCAATCATCCATCCTTTCCCCTACTTCCGGGAAAAATGCCGCAAGTTCTTCTTCTTTAGCCCGAGGACTCTCCCACCCAGTAGCTCTTGACTGACACTAGAATCTTCTCTCGATTGAAAGGCCCTGTTTCGTGATCCACCATCCGGCTCTCCCACTTCATACCGCTCGCGATCCTCTTGACTTTGTTGAGAACATCCACCTCGTCCCGGATGATCACAGCTCCTTCAGGGCGAAGAATTCTGTCCATTTCCAGTAAGATGTCCACCAGATCGCACTTGTTCCTGCCAGAAAAGAAACCAGCTTGAGAAACGAAGAAACTGTAAGCTTCACGAGAACCTACCGCGCTCTGTACATGCTAAACACCCGGTTTGCATGGATGAAGTCGTAAGTCCTGGGGTACGTCGAGAATGCTTCGCACCAGTCGTGGTACACCCCGATGAATCCTCGCTCGTAGATCACACCCAGCGTCGTGTTGTCCATGAACGAGCTCTGCTGGGGAATCTCTCCGAGAACGTCCGCGTTTCCGGACGAAAATGGTGGCACCGCGTTCATCACCCATACCCGGTTATCGTTGGCAAAGGCAGCCGCGAATCCACCCAGCCCCGCGTTCATGTCCATGATATTCCTGTATCGCCCCTGCCCCAGTGGAGGAATGACGGAGTTCTTGTAGTAGCCCACTCGCTCGTTCCACAGCTTTGTGTCCGCCTCGTAGACATCCGGTGTGACACCCGGGACCAGTCCGGTTGCAACTCGGGGTGGGACCTCGGTTGCCCGAGATGGCCATTTCGCCAGCTTCCCGCCGGACACTTCCGATCTTTCGGTCACTGCTGGGAGTGGAGTAATGCATGCCTGCATTGGCTTGTACCTGAAGTCACGATGAGTCAGATCTATATCAATGACTAGAAATGGAAACACCTTTGATTACTTACCACGCCTCGTCAGCGTCCTCTGCCTTGCAAATAGGAGGATCCCTGTACACCTTCTTCCGGTTCCTCACGCAATCGTAATGGTTTGTTGGTTTCCTCCACACCGCCAGATTTCCCCTCTCCACCACCTTCTTCCAGCAGAGAGCTTTCGCGAGCTCCTCAATGGCGGTCATCTCGCCCAGCAAATCTTCCTGGGTCCGCTGCCAGCCCTTCCAGTGCGTCTGCCAATTCACCGGCGGCCCCGACAGCACCCAGTATCCTCCAGGCCTCAAGACGCGATCAACTTCGGCGAGATAGACACCATCTGCAAAGCCGAGGCATTAATTGGCATGGAAAATCGGAAGAGCAGGATCTAAACCAGAGGCAGCCTAGACAGGGAGTGAGATTGGCGTGAGCTTGGGAGGGAAAGAAAAAAAAACCCACCGTAGTCCTTCCAAGGAATGAGGCAGCGGGAGCAGTGGGCGAGATCAAAGGCCCTGGCAGGATACAGCAGCCTTTGCGACGCCATAACTCCCAGCATTGCGGGTACGCCTCGCTCCAGAGCAAACTGCACTTGGCCCTCGTGCGTGTCTCTCGGGGCAAACGACATTGTCAAGACATTTCTGCTGAGAAGAAATGCTCCAAAGCTCGCCACCTACATGATCCATGGCCGATAACTTACATCATAGATAGCCAACGAAACGTTTTCTATAAAGCAAGGAGAAAAACTTACCCCGCAGCCAGTATCAAGCGCCGTCCGGATCGATCCATCCTTGAGAGGAACGAGCTTGCCAATGTCATCAATGTAGGCGTCGGCTCCTTTCGGGAACATAGTGCCACCGCCAGGGAACTTGAATCGATCGCCCTCGTATTGGATCCAGTTCTGGACCGCCTTCTCGACGGTGAGCTCCTTGTGTGGGACATTGGCGTACCAGGCGAAATCCCTGCTCTTGGGCCAGGGGAAGGGATTGCGATACCCGGGAGGGGCCGGGATGAGGCATCTGAGACGCTCCGAGTCCTGGGCGGGGCAGTGGCGCTCCCGGTAGATGAGGCGATCGCGGTCGAAGCGGAGCGATCGCTCGATGTCCTCGCAGGGCGTGTACTCGCTGAATTTGAGGGCGCAGGAATCGAAGGCGAGATCGAGGAGGGCTGGATCATCGTCGCCTCCTCCCGCGTGGTGCGCGGAGAAATCCAGCGACGAGGCATCGCCCACGGCGGCTTGCTGCTCCGGCCGATCGCAGTGAGTGAGATGGACTCGCGTGGTGTCGATCTTGACGGTGGAGCTCGGCTGCTGCTGCCATGCCCCAAGAATGTAGAAGAAGAAGCACAGCCCGCCGGCGCCAAAGATCCAGGAGAGATTGCGCCTCTTGTCGCCGCCGGGCGCGTGGAGCTTTGGCGACGCTGGAAAATCCTTCCCCATCCTTCTTTGAAATCGAAATATTTCGATCTTGGGGTGCCGCTCAAGAATCAATGGCACCGCATCGAAAAGAGCGCTGCAAAGTCCCGATTACCGGCGCCCTGGCGCGCGGCAGAAAGAACAATGCGCGGCAAAGATGAGGCCGCTCCCTCGTCGCAATCGATCACCAAACAGCCCGAAATTTCACTGGGAGAACGCCCGACGCGCCTGGAGCGAGGACGAAAAGGGATCCTGATGGCCTTAGCTGGTGATCTTTGCGCGCATTTCGTGTGCCAGGACTGGAAAAGCCCTGGGACAAAGGCGAGATCGTCGTGGCTGCTCAAGGAAGAACCCTAAAGCACTTGCTAGACAGAGAGAAAGAGCGAGCTCTTTTAGCTAACTTCCCTTCCCTCCAAGTCCAAGAGAGAGAGAAAGAGAGGGGGAGAGACTCGCCCGTGTCGAGATGATATCGAATGATTCCAGGGAATATTTACGTTGGCTCCGCGAGTTCGATTCCTGTGCCTGTCCTGTGGCAGTTTTCTAACAAAATATAACAGAACGACCTTGGCTAACCGACCGACACTCACTAGCCTGACCATGTTAACACCTCCAGTTTAGCTCTTAAACAAATAGTTTTAACGTGTTCTTCCGGTGTTCTCGCTCGCGGCGAATTTCTCCTCGACAATCCTTTGTTTTTGCGCTGGATTTGACGTTGGAGCTCGTCGAAAGGAATCTTGGGGTGAAAGCAACGTTTGCTGCGGCTGGGCTATACAAATCACTGGCCCGCTTCGTCAATGGATGGAAATGTCTCGCCCAGCTAACGCACAGCTCGCATTGTCCACACAGGCTTAATCGTTACGTCCACTGGGAGGAGCTCTGAGAGGATCACGGCACGAACGCAAAAAAAGTCTAGGATGATCAACCCCTGTCCCTGGAAACTTGGAGGTGTCAGTAGACAAAAGACTCAAGTGACCTGGCCAAGTTGCAAGCAAGGATGAAATGAAAATGAAATGCTTACGTGAGATGAGATTGACAAGCTTGAGCCACGCTCGATGGAAAAACTGCGATCGATCCAATGGAAGAGAGCCTTGACATCAATCGCGCTTTGTTTCGTTGTCCTGCGTGGCTATGGACGAGTCCAAAGCGCCGACACTCGTCAACAACGAATCTTCTGTGATTGTTTAAAGAGTAAATGGAAGTACCTCGCTCGCTCGCTCGCCATCGCTAGGAGTTAAGCGGAGGAGTTAAAGCTTCGTCGTCTAGCTCTCTCGCCCAAGCAGGGCTCCCGCGGACTGTTTCCAGCGCAATCTTCGCTACTCCACCAAACTCCAACCGATTGCACAGCGAAAACAAGGTGTGAGACGACGACCTCGCAACCAAAACAAAGCAAGAAACATTCAAGAGTAACTAGACAACAGAAGAAACGAGACAATGAAGCCGCAAAAAAAAAAAAAAAAAAAAAAAACCAACTACGAGGTTCATGGCTAACTAAACAAGAACAAGCAAACCAGAGCATACGAACCTGGAGTGTCGTGGTACCCGCACACGCAAGGCTCGTGTTTTGCTCGCTCGAGCACATAAACATCGTTGCTTTGGAGAAGCAAGCCTGCGAAATAATGTGTCAATCGCTTTAAGCGAGAGATCTTACATTACATCCAGGCTTTGGCCGAGAAAGAATGACACGCAAAATCTCGCGATCTTGGTGGACATGGACGGCTCTGGCGGTGTGTCAGGGGGGTGTGAATGCCCAACAGGGGGAAACAAACAAAGAACATTGGAAGTCGATGCCGCGGGGACGCATTTAGAGCAAGCGATCGAGTGGAACGTTGACATGATCGCGAGAATACCTTGCGAGGAGCGATCGATCCATCGGAGACGCTAATACGCCGCTACTGGATGTTAACGCCTATGGCGGCAAAACCCTAGAACGGAAAATGGGCTTCCTTGATGTTGGCTGTGGAATATTTCTTATTGATCAAGCTTCCATTTTTCAAGCGCGTGGTACTGGTGCCCGATTAAACTCCAAAAGGTCGTTACATTGCCACAAATCTTTTATTTCTTGAATAGTTTCTCTGCTGTGTTTAAGGCGAAGACTAATCTACCGAAGAAACGTCAGTGCGTGATTTTTAAAGTTTTCACTGATCAATCCAGCAGGGCTCCAAACATATGTGGACAACGATAGCTTTCATCGAGATCAAAGAGGTTTTGAGGAGCGGTGCTAGAAAATCTTCAAGGTTTTCAGGTTCGCAACTTAAGAAATGACTTGATGTGCTGAGCACAAACTCGATCCCTAGGGAACAGCGTCACCATTTCTAAACGCAAAAGGGCGCTCTCGATCCCTGACAAGCGTCCTGGATGCCACCATTGTGAGGCCTGGAGCGCTGCAAATTATATCCAATTCTGCAAGCTCTGAGGAAGATCACGAGCGTGAGTGAGTGAGCCGGTTCACAACTTTGGAGAAAGTTGTTTCAAGCCAGACTGATCACAGTGCTAAGTCTCACTATCATCGAATTGTTTTGGCAGCTTTGCGCGTGTACAGGCCAGCAAAAGCATATTAACGCGAACTCACAAGTTCGAGATACTCCAGTAGCAATCAAAGCTTTGGACCATAATTTGATATCTCGAGAGCTTTAAAAAAAGTCCAGGGACTTGCGAGAGCATTTCATCAGCGCTCCAAAGATCAAAGCCTCGTCTCTCGACATTACAAATCTATTCCATGGATTGGATGCCTCTCGGGGGAGCAAATATGTTCCCTACAATAGCTCTATTTGTCCTAAGTTCCAATCGCTCCAAAAGGAAGTATAGCTTGGAAGGAAGCCTTCTTTATAAAGTACTACAGCCTTACATTATATTTTCCTTCCTGCCTTCCACTCCCGCAGTGTTGATCATGCCACGAATGATCCAGCTGGACGGCAGTGATGCAGAAGATCCAAGTGCTTTAACTGCTACACCTGGCGGCATCTCTGACCGTCCATTGCACGATAGCATTTTTTAAATAATCGTTCTAAGCAACAAGGAAGCCTTTGTGCTGTGTGGCGCTTTGCGGGAGGAGGACGAAGGCGCGTTCTCGCTGTTGGCGCCGTGTTCGTGAGCTCTGCCGCGCCTCCCCCGACGGTGAGTCTGCCGATGGCGAAGATTTCGTGAATGATCTCCTCCGGGATCTGCATTGCTAGGGTTGTGGCGTCCCGTGGATCCGAGCATTGGCGCCGCTCGATGGGATTCGCGTGCCTGTGAGGCGGATTTGCGAGATTATCGGTGCCAGGATGAAGGACAGGGAGATGAAGCTCAATGTGGAGAAGAAGCAGCAAAGATTCGTGCCGCTGGCGTTCATGGTGATCTTGCTGTGCGCGATCTCGTTCTATCTCGGCGGCGCCTTCAGCTCTACCAAGGCGCGTGTGATTCAAGTCACGAGCGGCGCCCCCGCCTCGAAAGATCCGATCAGTATCCAGTTAACCAAGGCGGATTGCTCCAGCGCTTTCAAGCAGGAGCCATTCCCAGAGTGTAACATCACATTCCAAGATGTGACGCCTTGCACCAATCCACTGGTACGTTATCTTCCTTTTTCTCTCCCTTGTTCTTTCTTTTACTTAATACTAAATGGGTGTGACCGCAGCGATGGAGGAAATTCGATAAGCACCGCATGGCATTTCGCGAGCGGCATTGTCCTCCAATGTCCGAGAGGTTTCAGTGCCTAGTTCCTCCGCCCGATGGATACAAGGTTCCTATCAAATGGCCGAAGAGCCGAGACGAATGCTGGTATAAGTAAGTTCGTCTTCTTCTTTTTTGTCTTTGGTTTTGGTTGCTCAAGCCTTGTTGTTTTGATGGCTAGAAACGTTCCATTCGAATGGATCAACTCGGAGAAGGCTAACCAGAATTGGCTTCACAAGAGTGGGGAGAAGTTCATTTTTCCGGGTGGAGGAACCATGTTTCCAAATGGAGTGAACGAGTATTTGGATCAGATGGAGGAGCTGATTCCTGGCATGAAGGATGGATCGGTTCGAACAGCATTGGATACTGGTTGCGGGGTAAGAAGAGAAAAAACGCATTCTCGTAAGCCTTAATAGTCTTTTTCCTTTAAACTTTCAGGTGGCAAGCTGGGGTGGAGCTCTGCTGGATCGTAACATCATAACCATGTCACTGGCACCAAGAGATAACCACGAAGCGCAAGTTCAGTTTGCTTTGGAGCGGGGTATTCCTGCAATCTTGGGCATTCTTGCGACCCAGCGCCTTCCTTTCCCGGCCAATGCTTTCGATATGGCACATTGTTCGCGATGTCTGATACCTTGGACAGAGTTCGGTAAGCTGATACTAAAGTTTCTCGTGTTTTCGACGGACATGCTTCTCTTACAGGAGGAGTTTTCCTTTTGGAAATTGACCGTGTGCTGCGTCCTGGTGGTTTTTGGGTCCTTTCTGGTCCGCCTGTCAACTACGAGGTGCACTGGAAAGGATGGGATACCACAGAAGCGAAGCAGAAGGCCGATCTGGACGCCATCAAGGGCCTACTCAAGAAAATGTGTTACACCCTGTACGCGACGGAAGGTGATATTGCTGTGTGGCAGAAGCCTGTGGATACGACTTGCTACGAGAGTCGAGAGCCTTTGACGCATCCTCCAATGTGCGACGATAGCATTGAAACCGACGCTGCTTGGTAAGTCACCATATTTTCTTTTTCTCTCACGGAACTAAATTGCTTCGGTTGAAAAGGTACGTGCCAATCAGAGCGTGCATCGTTCCCCAGCCATACGGTGCGAAAGGCCTCGCAGTTGGTCAAGTTCCAAAATGGCCACAGCGGCTGTCCAGTTCACCAGACAGGCTCCGATACATCTCGGGTGGCAGCGCCGGCGCTTTCAAAATCGATTCGCGCTTTTGGGAGAAGCGCGTGAAGTACTACAAGACTCTCCTTCCGGAGCTGGGCACAAACAAGTTCCGAAACGTCATGGACATGAACACCAAGTATGGAGGCTTCGCAGCAGCTCTGACGAACGATCCCGTCTGGGTGATGAACACAGTCTCCTCCTACGCAGTGAACTCCTTGGGCGTTGTTTTCGACCGAGGTCTCCTTGGCACACTGCACGACTGGTAAGTATCGCTCTATTTCTCTTACTGCTGAGCTTACCAAAACTCTTTCTCAGGTGCGAGGCGTTCTCGACGTATCCACGAACGTATGATCTTCTCCACTTGTCCGGCCTCTTCACTGCGGAGAGCCACAGGTATGCGAGAGGGAGAGCAGCAGCTCTGATTCAGATACTGATGCTTCCATCACAGGTGTGAGATGAAATTCGTGATGCTGGAGATGGATCGCATTCTCAGGCCGGAGGGCCACGCGATCATCTCCGACTCGCCGGAGTTCGTGGAGAAGGCGGAGATCATCGCTCGGGCAATGCGGTGGGACTGCACTCGATACGACAGTGCAAAGAATGGCGAGGAGCCGGTTCTCATCTGCCAAAAGGAGCTGTGGAAGGCATCACCAGCATCCGACAGTGACGTGATTGAGTGAAAGAGTAGTAGGCCGCGATTCGTTGGGCGTTGTAATCGAGCGCAGTGGCGACGGCCACGCCCCAAAATTTTGTCAAAGTTGTATCAACTACTTGGAATTGGTTTCTCTTAAACTTGAGTCGTTGACTTTTGTAAGCTTTAATATGACTTTTATGTTGACCTTCTCTACTAGAACTTTTGATCCTTGACTGCACTGGGTATGGCAATCTCAGCAAGAAGAGAATGAAAGCTTTGCTATCTCGGCAAACTTTGAACTGTAAAGCATAAGTACAAGGCCACAAACACAGACAAAATGGAGAACGTACTAGCTCGAGACCCTCTTACAGTTTCTTAGAACTGCAAAGACCTGCTCCAGTCTAGAGTCTGATTTGTTTCGGACAAACGTACCCCTGCAGCAATGAAGTTTAAGCAACAATCAGCTAGCAGAAACAAAAACGCCACTAGATACCTTTGCTCTGCTCGGCTGCCACCTTGCCAATCTCTGGCCACGACAGACCACTCTCTGAAAGAGCCTTCAACCCTGAAAACACAGAGCAATGTGAGCGATCAGTGCTGCATTCATCAACGTACCTGAGAAGCATCGATTTATCCCCCGAGCGAAGAAGGCATTGCGATACGGCTAGCACAATCTTGCTTCATCTTCTCACTGGGTGTGTTGATATTTGCCACAGCAGTGAAGTCGAGCTCCACACTCAGGAGCTTTTGCATCATAATTTCAGCCTTGCTTCTCTTCTCGAGCCAATCCCATTTCAGGCTCTGAGCCCCACACCGCAAGTACAGCACTCCCCTAATAAATACGCCTGTTTCCTGATTAGGAAGGATGACACTTCGTTCCACGTCCAATTCCCCCTATCCAACACCAACACTCTAAGTCCACCAGACGCGACCTCCACAAGCACCCCGATTTCGCCTCCAACTTCCAGCATGTAAGACTTGTAAATCCCAACTTCTTTCAAACACCAAGCGCGCACCCACTTGGCGGAGTTAATGGCTGCCATATCGTCGATCTCCAGCAGCACCAGCGCACCGTGCTGCCAGCACTCCCCGAGGCGATAGCACACGCCCCCAACACAGACCGTGTTGGAGGACAGCATGGACACGGTCTGGTACTGCGGCACCGTCCAAACGCCCAGCCTCGAGTCGAACACATACGAGTTTAGCCAGATCCGGAAGAACACCACCCCCTCATCGCTAGCATACGTTGTCAGCATGCAGGAAGCGATGTTAGCTTGAACCCCAGGAACAGATACCCATTACTGCATCAGCGGATTTCCCACCAGGAAGCCTTGCTTGTTCGTGAAGGTCTTCCGCTCCATGAACCGGCACAAGACGAGGCCACCGTGAGAGACCAAAGGCTGCGAGTTTTGTGGTGCTAGCCACTGCTTCCAGCCCGGGAGGGACGTGCCGCAGCCTCGTCACCTTTCCTTTGTGCTTGAAGATCGACACAAAAGGGCCCCTGTAGTGGTACCGTGTTTGCAGCCTCCTCGTTTTCCTGTTCACTCCGTGATGCAGCAGGAGGAGCGTCTTTGCTGTGTTGCGCCCGTGTTTCCGCCACAGCGCCTTGAAGCCTGAATCGTCGCGCAGCAGCGCAGCCCAGGCCTTGCACACCAGCTGCGCCCGCACTGCATCGCGGGCTGACAGCCACGAGAGGATTTCCAGCTCCAAGTCCGGTGACAAGCTGGTCATTGCCCGATCTGGTCAATAGTCCTTTATATAATCTAATATGTCTGATTGATTTGCGGGGTGATCTTCTGAACGATTTCTCGACTTGTACCTGTCACCGGGCTATGTTAATCTTCTCTGTATCGTTCTTGGTGTCTCCCAAAAGACTTTGAAAAGGATTGGAGTTACACTGTTTGGAGATTTTAGAGTTTTATTTAGCTGAAATATACTAGATTATCTTTTAGGGTTATTTAGTTAGATGAGGTTCATTCGTCTCTTCTCCTGTGAATGCTCTCGGTTCAGCCGCGCATCGCCAATGTGGAGGATGAATCAGCGAATCCGTTCATTTGCGAGCTCGGCGAGCCTGGAAGGCCACTCCGACTCGAGGAAGTGAGTGTGTCTAGATGAATGGATCTTTTAAGCTGTGATTTTTGTCTGAAGGAAGAAGAAAAGGAGATTGGATGAGCTCTGCGTGGAAAGATATCCTCAGTTCGCGCGGAATGTGGTACAATCCTGGATCATACAAGGCAAGGCAACGCTCGTTTCTTCTTCTTCTTCTTCTTCTTCTTCTTTGTTTTTTCCGTGGTGTGGTCTTTCTTATTCCAGTGTTTTTTTTTTGAACAATGGAAGAGTGTTTCCGTGTGTCCAGGGAAAGTTTTCGTGGATGGCAGGCCAGGAACAAAGTCTGGGATGCAAGTCGCAGAAACATCAGCAATCGAAATCACAGCCCAGCCTCCAAAATACGTTTGCAGGCACGTCTTATTCCTCTTTTCTTCTGTTTTTTTTCTTCGTCATAAAGGAAATGACGATCAATCCAGGGCCGGAGACAAGCTCGCAGCAGCGCTTGAGCGATTTGGGTGTGATTTAAATGGTAAAGTGGTGCTCGACTCGGGGCTCTCCACCGGAGGCTTTACTGACTGCATGCTACAGCATGGTGCCACGCGAGTGTATGGAGTCGACGTTGGCTATGGCCAAGTAAGTCTTTGTGTTTCTTTGGAAGGGAAAAAGGAAAGCGCTAACTTGGATTGAAACTCTCTCAAGGTTGCCGAGAAAATTCGAACCGATAAAAGAGTTCGCGTCATGGAGAGGACAAACTTACGTCTCTTAACTCGGCTACCCGAGATGGTAGACTTCGTCACTCTGGATTTGTGCTTTATCTCGGTTTTGTTGGTGAGATTCTCGCAGTTCCAGCAATTTAGAGGATTGACAAGCTTGTTTTTTCTTTTTCCAATCTTAGGTGATGCCTGCCGTGTGCTCGGTGATGAAGCAGGATGCGAGCGGCATAATTCTCATCAAGCCACAGTTTGAAGCGGCCAGGTCTCAGGTGAGTCTCTCTGTTTTAAGCGTAAGCAGGCGTATCATCGTTTTTTCTCGCAGGTTGGCGGTGGTGGGATCGTGAGAAAGCCCGAAGTTCACAGAGAGGTCTGTAGCAAAATGGAATATTTATATCTTTGCTTGACCTCTTTTTCTCTTGCTTTTGTGTGTAGGTTCTTGAGAAGGTCATAGATGGTGTTGAGGAGTTTGGCTTCGCTTGCAAAGGCTGGATGGAATCCCCAATCAAAGGCACCGATGGCAACACAGAGTTCCTGGCATACTTCCACAGGATGACCAAACAAACACCATCGCAGGTTCTGGTATCTAACACTCGCTTGCTGATTATCTTTTTTTTCTTCTTCTTCTTCTTCTTCTTGCGCAGTTAAAACGCGAATTTGTTGCAAATAAGTCAAAGAGTTACTACTTGGATCTTCTTGAACGCAAGGGATCTTAATTTCTCTTTGGAGCAACGGAAGATTCTGTACAAGAACTTTGCTTCATCTTTGCAAAGTTTGGGTTTTTTTCTTCTGGAGATCAAAATCCATTCTAAAAGCACATAAGCAGTAGCATTTTTGTGGTCGACCTCAAAATGTGGCAACATAATCAAAGCACCGGAATTTTGTCTCTTGGACGGTTTTAATGTTAGTGAACGACAGAATGATGGTCTTGCAGCTTCTCTCGAATGCAGTGCTTCGAAGGAGAGTCACAGATTCCAAGCTCTCGGGCTTCCATAGCAGTGATCCAGGCTGCAGCGGACAAAGCAGCCTTGGCAGCGGAAAAAACGCTTGCGAGAGAGCATGCTCCAAGAAGGAGTTCGTCCAAACGCCCGATGCAGATGCAGAGCCAGTTTGGTAGTTTGCGAACCAGATTGACAAGCGGATGGTGGAGAGCCTTGAAGTGACTTGGATGTCCACAACAGCTGACGCTTGGTTTGCTTTTTTTTTAAAAAAAAAATTATTATGACTATTCCTGCTTTTGTATATATTATATCTTTTATCCATATATGATCTATTAGTTTCTTATTACATGTATTGTTTTTTATTATTTGTATTTCTCCATTATTGTTTGAAATGGTTTTGCTTCTTTTTTTTGATAGTTAATATTAAACTCTCCTTGTGAGGGCCAAGTGTACGGTTACGATGCCGTATACTAATATTAGCGTAGTGGGATTTTGGTAGTCGTCGGATTGGTTTCAATCTGGATCACTCGCTTCTGTATATAAACTAGGGTTTTTGGGCTAATTAATATGCACATTTCTGTATTCCCTTTCCATATTCCAAGCACTCACATTGGTGGAGGTGAGGAGCACCTTTGATTGTCCCTGAGGAGTGCTTGGATTTGGGATTTTGGTTTAGATCTAGCTTTTGCATTGTCTAAATCTAGTTTTTTCCATTTCCTTCTTTTTGTTCTTTCCTTTCAGGATTTTGGTTTAGATCTAGCTTTTTGCATTGTCTAGATCTACCATTTCCTTCTAGCTTTTTGTCATTTCTCTTCTTTTGCTCTTTCTTTTTCATTTGTCTCCATGGCAGATTAGCAATCTCCTCCTTTGACTCTCGAGCAGCAGTTGGTCCAATTGCTTGATGGTATGCACTTGCAATTGAACAACCAAACTCAATTGATGGCGGCATTCACGACACGTAGTCCAACTCCTCCTACTCTTGGTGCCAATCCTTGCGTTCGGCCAGAGTTCTTTCGTGGGAATCCTGGGGATGATGTGTACCATTGGTTCGATCACTTCACGGTGATTGCCACATATCATTCTTGGGATGATGCTTGACAGTTGCGTGAGTTTCCCACGTGTCTCCAAGGGACAGCATTGCAGTGGTACAATGGTTTGAGCGCAGCCACTGGTGGGGATTGGAGTGTTCTCCTGGACATCTTCAAACGTGCCTTCGGACATGCCGATGATTGTGATGATGCTTTCTAACAATTGCATCGTCTTCGCCAAAGGCCATCTGAGTCGGTAATGCAATTTGGCGTTCGTTTCCGAAGTCTTTTGCTTCGTGCGGAGCCAAATATGTCGGAGCGGATCAAGCTAGGAATGTTGTGGCCAGCACTTCGTCAAGATCTTGTCGGACTTGTGCATGCACTTGCTCCTGCCACCCTTTACGATGCTCTTCGCTTGGCACAACGTTATGAGACGTCGCCTCTTCCACTTCTCGCTGC